CTATTCATTAATTCAAGCATGCCATTTGTACAGTCGCATTAAAAAAAAGCGTACAAGTATATTACAGAGAAAAATTAACGTCACCCTATTCTGCATAAAACGGGCTATCGGGAATGATTGTTTACCAAATGTTGACAGTAAAGTTGTCATAGGTTCTCAAAAACACAAAGCGTTGGCTGAGCCAGTTTAACACCACTAGGATCCCGAAATCCTCTCTTTTTAAAACTTGTACGCTATTTTATTGAATACGACTGTACAATGCACTAAAAATGAAGCGAGAAACAAAGGAATATTATGGTTTTTCAAGTAAAAATAGTTATCTCACTTGAAATTTTGTCATTCCTCATTAGAGTTCTTTATGCCACATCTGCAAAAGAAGCTGATACGGTTAATACAGTGAAAATGTCTACAACACGCAGAAGTCATATCTCGTCACCATGACAAACCAGAAATGACAAAATTTCAATATGAAAACTTTGACTATAGTACTTATTTTAGATCACAATGTACCTACCTGAAAAATCGGATTTCTTCGTCTCTCGCTGCATTTTTTGTGCATGCTACTAGAACGCACAATGAGATGGCATGTTTGAATTGATAAATAGTCGAAAAACACGAATCGTATGCCGAAATATTGTGAAAAACCATCACAATCTTTCGATTCCTTTGTAAACAAATGAGAAAAGTGAGGTTGTGTTTCAATGTTTTACCTCCAGGGTCGGTCATCATGCACGCGACTTTTTCTCCAAATAAAAGAAAACTGTTCAATCTTAACGGTTTTCAGATGTAGGCTAGTAAGCTTATAGGGTTCTTTCCTGCTTAGACTTTTTGCATGCTGTCGATTTTCGAATATGATTGACCTAAAAGTGTCTCTCCAAATATTTCAAGTGTGTCTAGAAAACCAAATGTAAGCATAAATTGCATCTGTTTCATCTTTTGGATAAGTGCAAGCGACCCTTCTGGGCTCTGGCACCAATTCGAGTTAGTCAAAACGGTTTTAAAGAAGCTGTCGTGTAGGCAACACGAATTCGGGTTGTTCTCTGTATATTATGTCATATCAGCCGGAGTTGATTAATGAATGTAGTGTATTAGTCAACTAGTGTTTTTTTGATCATAAATTGAGTAGAAAAAATACCGTCTATGACAGACAAGATCGTAACTGCCTGGGGGTCGATTCTCATGCAAAACTCAATGGTGAAAACCGCATATATCGATATTTGTCTTCGTTTCAGAGTTACAAGGTGTTCTTCGAAAATAGGCATTTTTGAAAAGTGGCTACAATTTTTTTTTTTTGGCAAAAATTGTATGTTCTCATGAAAATAACTGCAGAGAATTGAGTTTGTGATAACAATCATTCCTGAGGCACTGGAATCAGCCTTCCTATATCTTTTTCAAGAATATAACTTGTTCTTCTTGAAGGAAAAGTGTTATTTTGAAACTAGGTATATGGTGGCTGATTTCAGTGCCTGAGGTTCAATTTTCATGACAAACACAATGCTTTGTAAATGTTTTTAAGGAAACGAAGAATTTTCGACAAAAAAATGAGTTTCGGCCACTTTTCGGAAATTCATATTTCCGAAAAACACCTTGTAACTCTGAAACGAAGATAGATCCATATGCAGTTCTCACCATTGAGTTTCTCATGTGAATTGATCAACTGGCACCGACATCAGTTTTTTTCTATCTACAGTTCTCAACACAGTAAATGGACCACTCATAATTCGACTCTATTTCGAAGACCTGTATTTTTTGAAAAAAATGACCGATCTTCATGCGGTTTTCGATATCAGATGTGATATTTCATCGTCTTCAAAGAGAGCTAGAACGCAAATAATCCAGATACGTGGAGTAAATGGGTACCTTTTTGGTGTTTTTCATTCAACAACACGGTTCATACAGAGACTCAATACACGCCCTACGAACTTGTTTTTGGAAAATGCTGTTTGATACCATCAAATTTGAATAACAGAATAGACCCAATGTATAACTTTGATGATTATCCAATGGAATTGAGGTATAGATTACAAAAAGCATGGGAAGATGCTAGAAATAACTTGATAGAATCGAAAGTTAAACGGAAATCCACATGGGATAGGAAAATTCAGTCAGAGGTAAATTATAAGCAAGGTGATAATATTTTATTAAAAAATAATCCGTCTAACAAATTGGAACCTTTATTTAAAGGACCTTATGAAGTTGTAGAAGAAAAAGGTCCTAATGTTATTATAAAAATTGATAATAAGCCTCAACTAGTTCATAAAAATAGAGTTAAGCCATATTATGACATGTCTTAGTTTAGTTAGCTTAAGTAGCATTGTAAATATAGGTATATTGTAGAAAAAAAAAATATATCATTAAGATAAGTTTTTTTTTCTCCTTCTCGGGGGAGGTGTAGTATGTAAGATAATATAGGGTGATATTATATTGTAGGAATACTCTGTATAATAGGTTAAGCGAGGACAACGCACCGTGTGGGTTGTTAACACTGTTGTTATCAAGACGCACGGTGTATTCATGATATTAGGTTGTTTAGGTTTAGGGTACGTTCCTATGATTTATATATATATACCTGGTACCACCAATAAAGAGAAGATTGATTCTAACTTGACTTTGAGTTGATTACTAGAATGTCTGTCACCATACATTCACAACCCAGTTATTAACCCTGGAATAGGAATGATCATTCATCCTATTACATATGAAAAAGTCCACAGAACAAAACTTACACAGGGTGTAAAGTGGAACCATTACACTATGGTCTACATTTCCAATGCTGCCAGAACTCGGGAAATTTTTCGATATAGCTTGGATAAGGTTGTCATTATTTTGGGGTGCCTCTCGCCTTCTCGATAGGCTAAGTTTCATTCGGCTCCACACATGTTCAATCAAATTCAGATCTTGAAATAATGCTGGTCACCACATTCTTCTAACATTATTGTTTTCGAGTTGTGAAACACTCAGTACAGTACAACAATACTCTGTGTCTCATACTTGGACAATGAATATTGGAAATCAGTTGATGAAAATCATCGATATCAGGAAACAAGTTTGAATTGAAAATTTTCGTCCTTTATTTATTTCTTATTATCATCTGTATATTCCACAATAGTGCTTTTTTCGTGTTTCATTGTCCTCCACAAAACATGAGAACAGTTCTTTCCAATAGTCAGCTCAAGTGGAGTTCTAAAGAAAAATTTCAAGAAATGCAAAACTTTCGAAAAAAAATCCAATTTTTGTTCCAATGGCCAATTAAGGAGAAATCACGAAAACGTCCCGAGAACGTCCCGAGATGAGGTTCCGGTGTATCATAATATGACTAAAATTTCTCGAGTTCTGGCAGCATTGGAAATGTCTCGGGAAATGTAGACCATAGTGTAATGGTTCCACTTTAAACCCTGTGTAAGTTTTGTTCTGCGGACTTTTTCAGAGTGTTCTAGCTCTCTTTGAAGCCGATGAAATATCACATATGATATCGAAAACCGCATGAAGATCGGTCAATTTTTTCAAGAAATACAGGTCTTCGAAATAGAGTCAAATTATGAGTGGTCCATTTAGCGTGTTGAGAACTGTAGTACAATAGGACTTTTTACTTCAATTTCTGAGATTTTAAAGACAACTGAACGCACAACAGTTTGATTCCATCCGCATGAAACGCTAGATATGGAGATCAAAATATAGATGAGTAGGTAGGTACCTATCTATTCTGAAAACAGTTAAATGTCAACAGAGTCTCCTGCTACCAGTGACTCATAATAATTCGGCATAATTTGGCGAATTAACTACCAATTACGAGACCAATTATTGTTTCGCTGCAACGTAAGTCAGGAAGAGGCGGCAATGTTACCTCGCTTTGGTGCTATGGCTAGACTCTACGCTTTTACTGCCCGTATCGACTAAATTGATGCTGCTGCTGCTCTCAGCGTCGACTCGTTTACGGGGTCTAACAATAGCTCTAGAGCTGCCACCGGTGGCGCAAAAACTTTTATCACGTTGACTAAAACAAAATATGTTGAAGCCAGAAATAACTTCTGTATAGTAGAACGATAGATGCAACAAGATGAGCATACAATGGAGAAATAAGATCAAAAGTCATGGATTGTCCCAGTGGCTCCCGTTCGTTTTGGTTCAATTTCACTAATAGCTTATTTCCAACACTCTCCAATAACGACGGCACATTAGCAACAGCATCGCAAGAAATTTGTTACGTTTAATGAAGTTTGCATTTGAATGAAAACTGTATTATCTATACAGTGTGGAGACTAACTGGAATAAATTCGTTAGCGGGGAGATGAATATTAATTCCCGACATACGACAATGATTTAATGTATTTACCTACCTTTTGCAAGCAGTATCGAGAATATATTCTTCCAGGGGTAGCTGAAACCACCCTCAACAATGGGTTGTGAGTTTTCAAAATGTCACCCTGTATTTCAAAAATGGGCTATCACAAAAAAAAATTATTTCATAATTCGATAGAACTCACCCAAACTAGCTCACCACCGCAAACCGTTTCTCGCTGTGAGCTCCCTACGTTTTATAAAAAAAATATTGAAATCCCCGATTTTTCGGACCTCTGAAAACGAGGTGATGATGTGACGTCAAAACCATAATACTGAAACAAGACTATTCCAGACAGAGATGAATGATACATGATTTCTGACAGAGTGAATTAGCGCGAGATCACAGTTGAAAGAATTAATATATCAGTTGCCTCAGTCTCCGTCTGGCGTTTGGTATTCTCTTTTAACTATGGCGAGATGAGGTTTCTACGTCATAAGAGGGTCCGTTTTCAAAAGGTACTATTATTTATGTCCAAAAATAAAACATTCCAATAAATTTTTCGATCGAATTATGTCGTCAATCATTATTTATGTATAAAAGGATCATTATAAACATGATATGACTAAGGTGTACACGCCCATTATAGCCACTATAGCCACTGCATGTGGATTATCAAAAAACATTATTCTTATTTGATAACATTTGCTTTCTTTTCTAGGTGAACAACAAGAATTCTTGGTCGGAAATCTTACCTAGCTTGAATTTGCCAATCTCCTGTGTCAACGGGAGCATTGGCCTGAAACAAACATACTTGAGGTAAGCTGATTGATTGATTGATTGATTGATTGTCTTTATTACCCCAAGAAACATTATTGTTTATAATAGGGATATATACAACAAAACATACATATAACATAATAAATCGAAACAATAATAATTGCACAATTATTGTTTTTCCTAAAAAAAAATTATAATAAAATATAAAATGAAAATATTATAATCCATTACAAGTAATCAAATTGTGAATGATTAGTACTATTAGTAGATATGGAATTTAAGTTTACTGAGCAGATATTTCTTTAATTTCATTTTAAATTTTTCTGCTTCTTCTATATTTTTCAACTCATTAGGTAAGGAGTTATACAAAATTATTCCATGTGATCATTGTTCTGAATTATTTAAGATTTTTCAATGAACGGTCATTTGCTAAAAATCAACAATTAAAAGTGAATGTGTTGAACGTCATATTATATTGATCGCTCCACCAACAACTTCCATCTTCGTAAGAAAATAAATATCCCTTTCGTGCTTTCTTATAACATAATTATATGTATCATTTTTACCAAATCAACAATGAAGTATTAATATTAGAATTCGAGAAATATTGGAAAAACTTCAAACGAAATTGTTGATATTTTGAAATTGTGATCGTTTTACATGAAGACATTTTCTTTTTCTTTTTCAATTAATGTTCCATGTTCGATTTTTTGAAATTCCAAATTGAATGTCCGCCTTATATGTTTCGAGTTATTTGATGGTTTTACGCGGAATTTGCATGCCTCAGAACTATTTTCGTCGAACATGTATTCAAGACGCCAACATTCTAAAATAGTTTCACGAACCGAAATTCCTTTACCTAATCAAAATGATGTTATGTAAAAAACGAACTAAAAATATCGAAAAATATAATTCCAGCAGGTACTACATCAATTTGACTGATGATTTATAAGTTGTGTGAGGAACATCAAGAGGAATCAGAAATTCTGATGGATGCAAAAATTTCTCATAAAGAATGAATACGCTTTTTTACCACTATATATACATTCGTTAAAATATCGACTGAATTTACCATCCGAAATTTGATTTGAGTTATTAAAGAACATGGTAACTCGATACCCTTTACAATTTACCATCTGCATAATTTTAATTTTACATTATTCCGCTGTAATATTTGAAATTTCATGAAAATAGGTACTGCTTTTATTTCAATCTCTTGTCCTTATTTCATCCATTCATGAAAGCCTGATTAGTCAACAAGTTGGGATATTATACAGGGGGTTTCAGTTTTTACATGCTAATCTACGATAGGGCATGGTACTCATAAAAATAAGAAGAAAAAGTCAAAGAAATTTTTAGTTTCCGCTATACAGGATGATTCAGAAAAATAATCATTGTATTTTATTGTTACTCCAAGCCACCGATTTTTCAAGTTTTTTTTTATATCGCTCCGTTTCCGAGAGATTCCATTTCGAGTACTATACCATATACCCTATTTTAGATGAAAAATCAAACACCCTGTATAAGTGACGACGATTCATTTCCTGAAAATTAACAAATTTATACGCGACGTCTGATACTGCCACCACATGCAACAGGTTGTCCCAAAAATGAATCGAAAGATTTCAATCACAGATTCTAGGAACAAAAATATTGAGCCATCCAAAGGGGAGCCAAAGAATATGTTTTTTTGTAAATATTTTCGAAACCTTCTGTGATAAAAAAACAAATTTTGTACAGGCACCTAACTTTTCATGCCTAATTTGCAAATGTTGAGAATTCTCCGAAACTCTGACCCGTGGCGTGGGCAATGGGTGGGGCTCGGGGCACTTTCCCCCCAACTTCTTTGTTTATGCAATTTTTTTGGCAGTTTGACCAGGAAATATGAAAATATCATAATTTCAACTCAAAAATGTTACTCTTTTCGCCATTTTCGAGATAAATATTATTTTTCAATTTATTATTTTTATTGCACCCCTCATATTTTCTATCAAACATCAAAAGTAACTGTTGAAAAATGGGGTATTTTGCATCAAACCATAATTTTTGGGAAAATACGGTACCCTACTATTCACTATTTTCATGACGCAGCAGAATTATTAAATCGATTTATCTTGAAAATGGTGAATGTTATCGAAACTTATCAAATATATATATTTCCTGGTCAAATTGCCGAAAATTGCATAAACAAAAAGTTGCGAGTGTCCCTGGTCCCACCTATTTCCGACGCTCCTTCGGACGCTCCTGATAAAAATTTCGGAAATTTCTCAACTCCTAATCGGTCATAAAAATTTGGGTATATGTGCAAAATTTGGTTATTTCCTTGGTTATTTCATCACAGAGGGTGAAAAAATTCACAAAAACCCTCGCAAAAACCATCATCTCGGGCTCTCCTTTAGATGGCTTTATCCCCCCAAGTGGTCATTTTTGGACCTATGTTTGTATGCACTTTTTTCACTATTTTTGTTCCTATAATCTGTGGTTGAAATCTGTCTAAGTAATTTCGTGACACCCTACCCAGTATAGACCAGTTTCTCAATATCCAGTTGTGGAGCTATTAGTTGGAAGAAAATTCAGGCAATGGTGGTTGAGAGTAGTGGATTTGGTGACATGACTGTCAGTGATGTCTTGAGTTTGGTAAACCGTTCTTGAATTCAACAAGATCCTAATATAGATTGGCAGATAGACATTTTTTACCGTAGTTACCTTGACGACCGCGAATAGAACACAACAGAAACTTGCTTCTTCTCTTGAGTCAAGTCAAATGAGTTGTTAACATACTCGTGATCAGGTTAGTACAGAACAATTTGAGATATACTCCTCGTCAGCATAGATGTTCATTTCACCGCAGAAACAATATTATATGCTCATCTTTCAGTTTTCGATCATTGGTCTGAACAACAGTCTGAAGTTACTTGGGTTTCAAATTAAACGCTTCAAATAATCATCATCAATAGAAAACAGCAGAAGCTTGCTTCCTCTCTCGAGTAAAGTCAAGGGAGCTGTCAACACATACTCATGATCGGGTACACAACAATTTAAGATACACTCCTCGTCAGCATAGATGTTCATTTCAACGTATGACCAATATTATAAGCTCAATCTTCAGCTCTCGATCATTGGTGAAATCGTCTGGAGTTTTTATATTTCATGGCCTAGAAGTCCAAATGATTCCATAATTCAGATGAATTGTAGTTATAGATAGCTGACGAGCTCACTGTTGTCAGATATCAATTTGCGACCGTTCTTCCATTCATCCTTCTATTGAGGATGGGGAAAGGCTTGACACCTAAAACACCGCACCTGAGGGCGACAACGTGAAAAGATCGACCTACACCAATCTGCAGTGTGGTGGTCTATGCCAGCACCGTCACTGACTAGACCTTCGGTCGGACCTCCTTTTCAACCTCATGCACCGAACGCGTTGATAAGGAAAGTGAAGGTTGCTAGGTTGCTCGCAAAGCACGCACAGTCACAAAATCGTAACGTAGTTGAAGAGAGCTCCCCCCCCCCTTCCCGCGCCAGGCCGTCTACGTCTGTCTACGAGCAGTCTGCTCCGATGTGCTCAGCTGACTCAGCCACACGTACACACGGGACGGGAAAGCCCCGACCTCGGCGGCAGATGATGATAATTGACCCGCCGAGGAATGCCGGATCGGAGAGATGCACCACGCCACGCGATCCGATGGTCCGTGGCCTACTACTCAGCCAGGCACTACTCGGGTCGCGTGGCGTAGCGGGCCAAATAGAGGCACCCCGTTCCAATGAATGAGCGGTCCACGGTCCACGCACGGGACACACGGGTCCCTGCCTTCTTCCAACCCCTCTCGCTGGCTGGCTGGCTGGCTGTCGCGTGGCTGCTGCCTCTAACCGCCACCGGCTGCTCTCGCATCAAGAGTCAAGAGTGCCGTGTCTAGCCTAGCACTGGCGCTGGTCGGTAGATCCGTTTCGTTTTCGAGCTAGGTCAGTTTCCTTCCGTGTCGCCTTGACTTGGTGTCGTGTGATCGCTCGGTGTATATTATCGAGTCTACTCCTGATCTATCTAAGCCAAATTGGTCATCGAAGAACCCAAATTCACTGCGCTGGAACAGAAGAAAAGTTGTGGGTGTGGGGTGCTTAATTTGGATACTGTGTGGAAATAGCGCAATTTTGCAGGTTTTATGATGGAGAAGGAGAAACACCAATCCTTGTCCTAGTCACTGCGTAGGTCGTCCGTGGATACTATAGTATGGTTCAAGTTTTTGGCTCCTCTAGCTCCTCAAGATTGAATGAGACAACTGAGTATGCAACTAGTTCTAGAAATTAGTGATTTTGAGGTGGCCGATGTATCACAGCATAAGATTTCAAATTCACTGCGCTGGAACAGAAGAAAAGTAGTAGGGTTCTTCATTTGGATACTGAGGTTTTTTTAGAAGAAGAAGAAACACCAGTCTACTTCCTAGTCACTGTGTAGGTCATCCATGGTTTTATGTTGGAGCTTGGATACTATAGTATGGTTCAAGTTTTTGACTCTTCTAGCTCCTCAAGATTGTCGGCGGAATGAGACAACTGAGAACTGAGTATGTAATTAGTTCTGGAAATTAGTGATTTTGAGGTGGCGGCCGATGATATTCTCGACCATCATCGTAGATTGGTAGTTATTATGAAGATAATTGTTTGAACTGATGTATTCTTTTCCGTAAACTCGCAACCTCATGTTATCTTTTATCCAGCAATAGCCTGTTATTGTGACTCTTTGTTCTTTGACCCCACATAGGTGGTCTTGAGTACACTTTTGTTTTCAATTTTCCGATATCCTTTTTTGAATGCATACTGATCGTGAATTGATGTTGAATGTCAGTGAATGAAACGAAATGAACACTCCGTTGCTTCGCTAGTATCATCGCTCTCATCATGTATCACATCATAAGATTTCTTTGTGTAGACGAGATCCTTGCTCCTGATGTTTTCATTGTCTTTTTGTTGTAGATACCTGGACCGTTGGGAGAAGGTGCACTTCCTTCACGAAGAAGCAGACCGTGGCAGCGATGACGACGAAGAAAGTAGGCACAAGCGCTGGTCCGCCAAAGCCCTGCATTCTGTGCCGTACACCTACAATTACGCCCAGCATAATATAAACGGTGAGATTGTTTTTTGTTCCTGTTTTCCACTGCTAGCTTTAGAACGAATCCTCTTGTCAACCTCGGGCATGATTTCATCTTGACTCTAAATTTAATTCTCATACTGTCATTCCTATGAAGAATGAGCTGCTTTCAATGTAGTGTGAAGATATTAGGACGATATGTGGTAATGATGAAAATATAATATAAAAACCACGCTATAGAAATTTACTCTCGCCTTTCCGACTCACAGCTCGCCTTAGAAAATCGCCTTTTGTACCATTGTATATGAAGAAGAGTGTATCTTGTGTGGAAATTTCAATTTTAGAATTCGTAGGATAACCAAGCTCACTCAGTTTTAGAGTGTTTTTGGTCATGTCACGTTTACGTGAAGGATTTGTTTCACGACCCCCGTATATGGAATCAAATTAGATTATGCGAGTCCCTCGTGAAATATAACGACCTGAAACCGGAATCCAGCGCCCCATTATGATAGTGTCTGGCTATTTTATTTGCTGTTTTTTCATTATTTCATGTTCATGGAATTTATTTATGTAGCTGCACGGCAAATTGAAGTGAATCTGTTGCCAGTTATATTGGAAATTGTATTCCTATAACCATATTTTCCAATTAGTCCAATGCTTTTATTTAAAATTATTACCATAGCAACTGAAAAAAAAAACAACGGGTGAAGCCATGATTTATGGAAACGAAAATAAATAATTGATATGAGTTTTGACTTTTGAAGTCTTTTGACTCTTTTGTAACATGTTTGAGAATGATTATGTTGAATGAAGAAAAAATAACTAAAAAATATTATTTTGAAGTCTCCCAAGTAGGTGGGTCTACTGGACAAGATATCAAACAAATATTTTCAAAAACAATAAATCATGAGAATGCGAATTCTCAATAGGCGTTTTCGGAAACCTACTCGGGTTGACTCGATCCCTAACCTGCACGTTCGTTTACCTAACCCGAGTAACATACCCATGTTCGGAAACTTCGGTGTTACTTACTCGATCACTAACTCGGGTTCATGTTTCGCAACCCTGCTCCAAAGCAGGGTTAGCCAGAGTTACTACCTTAGATCATACACTTACTACCACAGAACTACTCACGATTCATGTATTTCTAAGGTCACTTCAGATAATATTTGATATCATCAATTGAACAAGAAGTGAATTATGTTGAATAGCATTAGTTTGATGATTAAAATACACCAACATCATGAGCAGAAGCAATATTCATCATTTCTAGAACAATAACAACGTGTATCTTTCAAGAGTTTAGTGGTATGTTTTTAAAGATATGGAGAAATTGATCCGAAAATATTGATATCGTATAGCAAACTGAAAAAATTGCATAAAGCTGTGAGAAATCAAGAAGTTCTATTCGAAGAGGTATAAAGCCAACTCAATAAAATAGTAACCTGATAAGTTCGTAAACTATAGTATTAGGATAAGTGATCCGACTGATCCATCACGTGACCCGTTCAGATCGAGTCAACAACCCAGAGTAAGTTTCCGAAAACGCCTAATGTATTGCTTTATACAAAAATATATATCCATTTTTGTATGTTCATAATTTATCTGAGAATATTCCTTTCCAACATTTTCATACCCAATCAGGGGGTTCAAACTTGAACATGGAAACTTGTGATTTTTATAGACCTCTAATCGCAGATTCGTGATAGAGTCTCAATTCAAAATAAATCATGGCTTGTACAGGGTCGGTACAGGGTCTTCACGTATATTTTGAACCCCCCTTAACTATTTTATTTATCATCGAATTTTTTCGTCCAAAGAACAGTCTTCTATAATTTTTTCTGTAGATTTTGAATTTGTTAACAGAAAAACAATTGAACATCTCAAAAAAAAGTTATGGGCAAGATTTATAAATTTTTGAATGGAACACCCTGTATTTTATTGCAGCTTTAGATGCTTCCTCAAGAGCTGATTTCATCGATCTATCACAGTTGGGGTCTAGCTGAAATGATTACAGAGATATAGGGTGTAAAAAATTGGTATTTTTTCAACTTTAGGAATTTTTTGTGTTGAAACTATAAATTATTGGCCAACACGGTTTTCATGTTCCTATCTTGACTTTTGATTTATTATCTACTGACATTCAATTGGAACGAATACAGGGTGGTTCAAAATTCAGAATTCTGATCACCATGTATGTGTTCCAATTGAATGTCAGTAGATGATAAATCAAAAGTTAAGATAGGGACATAAAAACCGTTTTGGCCAATGATGAATAGTTTCGGCACAAAAAATTCCTAAAGTTGAAAAAATCTCAATTTTTCACACCCTATATCTCTGTAATCATTTCAGCTAGACCCCAACTGTGATAGATCGATGAAATCAGCTCTTCAGGGAGAATCTAAAAATACAATAAAATATAGGGTGTTTCAATCAAAAATTTATACATCTTGGCCATAACTCTTTTTTGAGATGTTCAGTTATTTTTCTGTTAAAATATTCAAAATCTGCAGGAAAAATTATAGAAGACTGTTCTTTGGACAAAAAAATTCGAAAATCCTACTTTTTCAATACTTGTACGCATTTTTATTGAATACGACTGTACTTGCCAATTACTTTTTGTTTTGTTTACTTAATTGTTTTTTCTGTGACGGGAAAAAAGTCTGGCATTTCATCTCTGTTGGCAGGATATAAAATGTCACTTTTCATAAATTACTTTTTTCCCGTGGGAAAAAAGTGAGTACTTTTTTCCCGGATATATATCACATATATATACTCTGTTAATGGCTTTTGTTGTGCTATAGTTCCGAAAAATGAGTCAATAATACCGTCTCCGAGAAAGAACTGCAAGTCCTTTTATCTTCCATTCGACTTCGCAGTTTCGTATATTACTAAACAACTACTGAATTCGCAATTTTTTGAAATCAAATCACAGAATTGAACTGACAGAAGTGACATCAGATATTTGATTACTTCAAAAGAATGATAAAGATGCCTATAAAACGCAGGTGTCCCTACTGTTAAAAACTTGAAATTTCACGTCGATAATTTTCAGATATCGAAATAATGTAATATCTTCTCAATATTGATTCGTCCTTCCTTCTGTCACAGAAAAAAATAGTGTATTATACACGGGAAAAATATTAGATTTTAGCTCACGGTTTTTTGTCTCCCTCCGCTACGCGTCGGGAGACAACACAACCTGGAGCTAAAATCTACTACTTTTTTCCCTTGTATAATAAATAACTATTTTGTCCTCATTATTGTCATAATATTATTTTAGGTACCATTGTCTGATGATGGCCGTAGTGCCGAAACCGGTAACTTTTTGAGGAAGTTTTTATATGAAGTGTGGTCGACCGATTTTGTGTTGTTTCTTTTTCATTTATCCTTTGAAATTACTTTGAGATTTGGATGATTTCCATGATTACTTAATTCATTGATTCTCTCTGGCTTATCTCGGAAAGCGTCACAGATAAGCTTTCGTGTTATTTACATTCCGGATTCCGGTACATAATCGAAATGGCATGCATAACCCAGGGTGACCCAAGTGTTGAGCGCGCATCAATCATAAATACCGAAATCGATAACATATACTGGTATTTGCCGAAAACCGCTCGCACATGTACATTTATGCTGTTCCACTGAGAGCCGCACCTAGAATTTATTTTCCACCCGTTCCGATTTCATTATCATATTATTTCGGGGTTGAAATTTTCAATTGGCTTTCAAGTGCTCAGTTTATGACTGGGCATCAAAATTATTTGGGTTTTTAGCGAGGGGTAGACAACTCGAGCGAAATGTGTACACCATAAGCAATACTCAATCAACTGTACTCAACCTATAATCAAATGTAAACGAATACTCAAAATTGAATGAACAACATCCCAAATGTAATCAACAAGTTTCAAATGCAGTCCGTTTCAACTGTAATCAAATTGTCTCAAAAGTAATCAAATCGTCTCAAATGTAATCAAATAGTCTCAATTGTAATGAAAAACATCTCAAATGTAATCAAAAAGTCTCAAATGCCTCAAAATGTCTCAAAGAGTACTCAACACAATCAAATACTCAAGAGTGTCAAGAACTCTCAAATTTAATCAACAGGTACTCACTTACACAGTGTGATATCGGTGAAGGTACAATTTCCAAATACAAATTCTTCAGAAAAATATTCGATCTGAGACATACTAACACATCTACTATACGGGATGATTGCTTGTGTTACAAATTTTCACTTGAAAAATCTCGAGAAAAGCACAAAATGATAGTGAAATTAGCATTCCGCGCAAGTTATACACTATTATTTTTCTACGGCTGTAACAGATAACAGCACATTTTTTATTTCTTCGTCTTGTGGCCATCTGATTTCCTATCAAGTAATGCTCATCATTGTGCTCATCTATTGCTTGAAATTTGATATTCCACGAGCGATGAGATTTTTTTGAAATAATAACACAATGGAGTCATTGTGATATTAGATACAGATATAAAATTGATGACATACAAAGTACCTCATTGATGTATCGAACACAGTAAAACAAGAGCAATCTTGTGTTATAACCGTAGAAAAAAATATTTTCCAAATCCAGTTGCAGCTTGCACAGTTCGGGACGCAAGAAAGTGTTCAGTATCAGGCAGTAAAGTTCGGCATTCCAAAAACGTCTGGTTTCCGTCTGTCATCAGTTATTGTTGTAGGCTTATCATTGAATTTTATCGAATCATCAACATTAGCTTTTCTTAGAGTTATAACGTCTGAATACTGGCAAATGCCATAAATTGAAGGTGTTGTAGACAAAACTGAATTATTATGAAGCACATTTTATTTATAGTCTTTGTCAGTATTAGGATATATTATCTTCAAGAATGTCTTTATTCGTGAATATTCCAATGAATTACATTCGTGCAAAAAAATTACCAGCTAATTTTTAATTCAGGCATATTTTGTAACTTCGGACTCGGGCTCTTTCGCCAAAATATGAAAATATACTCTAGTAATTTTTAGATAACACAATTTCTTGCAAAATAAAATTATCGGTAATTTTCATGTACTGGGTGATTCACCATGAATGCTCCCCCTCTAGCTCAGTTTTATTGAACCGATTTCAAAATTTTAAATATCATCTTGAATCATTTTCGATAGTTTTTTTCCACTACATCAGTAAATACAGGGTGCTCGGAACAAACGATCTACAGGATACTATTTGATTTTTTTAAAAGGAACATCCTGTATTTCATTGTATTTTTTTATTCTTCCTGAAGAGCTGATTTCATCAATGTATCACACTTAGGGGAATGATTACAGAGATATAGGGTGTCCAAAATCGCGATTTTTCAACTTTAAGATTTTTTTGTGTCGGAACTATTCATTATTAGTCAAAACGGCTTCTAAGTCTCCATCTCAACTTTTGATTTACTATCTACTGACATTTAATTGGAACATTTACAGGGTGGTTCAAGATTCAGAATTCTGATCATCCTGTATCTGTTACAATTATTAAATAATAATAATAATAATAATTCGTCTTTATTTTCTTACAAAATAGGCGAAAGTTTTGCCTAGGGCTACTCTTACACTCAACCTAGATTTTAGAGAATCAGAAAATATAATCAACAACTGCATTCATTAAGACAAAAAATCATATCATTATCATAACAATGCTATGGTATTATTTTAATAAAAATAAAAAAAATCATCTCAACAGTGCAATGGCATTTTATCATTTTATCATATCATTGATTGAATACGCCAATAAATCAAGGATCTTGTCTGTAGATAGTAAATCAAAAGTCAAGATACGGACTTGAAAGCCGTTTTGATCGATAGTAGTGAATAGTTTCGTCACAAAAAAATCGTAATGCCTAGACTTCCCAGAACTACAAGAAGAGGTGAAGAAGACGAACGACATTGTCAACCTAACTTCCTAACGTCACCTTCATCTTCAAATCCTTGTTTGATCTAGTTAAGATACGAATATTCAAAGATAATCCTCATATTATCTGATTCTCTAGTTGTGAATTGTGTTCTCTGTTATCTACACCAAGTATTCAATCCAGAAAATTCATTAAAAATTCTGATTTAAATGACAATCAGAACTATTCTTACACTGAAATAGTTCAAGGATAATTAAGTCACGCGTTTTTTATGTTATGAAATATCGGGAATTTCAATAGTTATTTTAAAAAGGTACAAAGCTCTGAGAAAAATGGTTTGCGACAGTGAGCTAGTTAGGGTTAGTACTTCAAAATAATGAAATAACATTTTTCACTGAAACAGGTCCATTTGATTGGAAAATATTTGTCAGGATTTGATTACTCAAAATTGAAATGTTATAACTTCCATCTCAAGAAGAAGTGTGGATTTGTTTCTACTGAGTGGAATTCATTAGTCAACCTTTTATTATTCATAATACTTTTTTGATATTTTGTTTTGTTTGTTTGTTTGTTTGTTTGTATTTGTTTGTATATTGCTACTTCAAAAGTGGGAACCAACTTCCCAGAATTCGAAACTTGTGCGGGGTTAGGAAGAGCGGGACCTACAGCTTATAGTGGAATCCGAACCACTTCTAGGGCATCGAGGTGCTGTATCCAAATTATAAACGAATATGTTTCATGGGATAAAGACAATCAATCAATCTCACCATACCTATATTTTTTCTCTCAGAAACGAACAGGGAATACCATCACCTTTCCACCAACTTGTACAAATCCTCCGACTACGACCGCCTGGCGCTGTCTCTGATATCCCCTCTGCCCAACGAACAAGACTTCGCCATCAACGTGTGCACCCTGCTGTCCAACGATGGGAAACACACCCTCAAGTTGGACAAACACCCCAGGCTCGTCGACTTCCTGCTCGGCCATGCTGGAATCTTCAATCATGGTGAGTACATTTTGATTACTTGAACATGATGACTACCAATAAGGTAATATTGAATTAAATGCCCAGTATATTTTCTTGAATTCAGATTGTACAGGGTGATTGAATATAGATTTCTCGACTTCAACAGCTGATATCTCGAAAACGAAGAAAGATATTTTAAATTTCGAAAAAGTTACTTGAATGAGATGTCATTTCCTTCTAGAAAATGTGTTCTCTGCCTGATTTTATCATTTCATATATAGGGTTCATGAAAAAAAATTTATATAAATATAGGGATTTCAGAATTAGACCATGCCACAAACTCAATTATGATGATAATGAGAAGCGGATTGAATTTTGTCTTGTCATATCTGAAAGATTAAATTTAAGTAAGTATAAGTGTAAGTGTTTCAGCAAGATTTTTATTAACTGAAAAATAGCACTCCAAAATATCTCTTCTTTGTTCCAGTGGATATGGCATCGTAAGAAAATTGTCGAAATTTTGCGCACTTATGTCACTGGAATGTTGGCCAAATGTCAATTCACTTATTCATCATCTCATTCTATTTCAACCATAGCTAACTTGGACCAAATATTAATATTTAATTTTGCTGATATTTCGTCAAGCCCTCGATAGAATATATGAAAAGTATATATCTTCGAAATCAGGAAAGATAGCTCTTTCGAAATATGCGATAATATAAAGGGGGATCCATTTGAAAAAAAAAAAATTTTTTCATGAACCCTATATATGAAATGAATCAAGCAGAGAACACATTTTCTAGAAGGAAATGACATCTCATTCAAATAACTTTTTCCAAATTTCAAATATCTTTTTTCGTTTTCGAGATATTAGCTGTTGAAGTCGAGAAATCCATAGTCAATCACCCTGTACATGAGGTTCATTAAGCTGTGCGGAATTTTGAGTTCCATACGGAAGGTCAAACAAACTGAAGCGATAATATTTTATGTTTAGGTTAGGTTAGGTTAAAAGGTTACGAAAAAAAATACTCCATTTGTATAATTGATTGATAGTAGGTAATTTGGCATGCACACCAAGATTTTGCAAAATAGAGACATGCATGATGAAAGTTGCAAAAAACAGGTATTTTTTGAACGCTAATATCCTCGTAATAGTTTGAAATAACTCAATCAAACCCGGTATCGTTGAATTCATTATAATCATCTCTAACCTATTATGGAATTAAATATAGGGTGTTCCATTTGAGAATCCAATAGTTGATGTCATTCCCAGGAGAACCGGAAGATGTAAAAAAATACTGAAATGTGAGAAAGTGCCCTCTAGTGAGCATATTCGATGTTCCAAATTTCAGAAATATAGCTAGAAAAACAAAGAAGGAAAGGGCGGTATACCATGAGTCTGCATCACCCGGTATAAAAGTGACACCAAAATAATGATGTACGCGTAAAAACTTCTAAAAATGTCATATTCTCATAAAGAGTTATCTCAGGAATTCAAATATGTTACAGTATATACATAGCGTGTTCCATTTAAAACTTCATAACCGGAAGTTACCGGGGAGTAATAAATATTCGAAAACTTTCTCTTCACATACCATATACCCATATAAAATTCCATTCTTATACACCGAATATTCTAGAAGTTATGGCTTGTTGAATAGATTCGTAGACACCCGGCATGTCGGCGTGCCACCCTCTCGAAAGTTCTAGTACCGTTCTCTTTTCAGCTTCCCTCAGAAGAATCTTCACGCATTACTACAGGGATGTCAGGAAGCGGCCGACGCACAGCTTCTGGAAAGACATGCTCGCATCGCCCGAGTTCCTCGACCTCGCCGACGAAGAAAAGTTCCAACCGAAAGCCGAAGAACCCTCCAAGCCCCTGCTCATCGGCGACGGCATCGATCCGGCCCTTTTGGCCCTACAAACGCCCATGGACATCGAAGAAAATCGGGTGAATCGTGTAGATTCGGATAGTGATTGTGAATTGGACGAGGCGGAGAATAATAATTGTGATAGTTTCAAGTTGAAGCTGAGAGAGGAAGACGGGGATTTGTTCTGCTTGCGGCGGTCGTTGGGTACGCAGGACTACACGGGGCAGCGGGTGCTGCAGATAGCCACCATCTTGAGGAACCTCAGTTTCATCGAGGAAAACGTGCCGGTGCTGGTGAAGAACTCTTCTTTCCTAAGATTCATGTTGTTGTGCAGCAGCTCCAGGTGGAACGTGCTTCGTAACCTCGGCACCGATATGTTGAGCAACATGTCCGCGGATTTCCTCGTTAAAGAGTTGAACAGCGACATTTTGACATCGAGCTTGATCGAAATCGTCACTAGAGGGCTGGACAGCGAAGACAGAGCTTGTTGTCTCTCATCCTTGGAAGTGTTGAACAAACTCAGTCAGAATGAGCGCAACGAGGACGTGATGCTTCGCTCACTCCAATTCCGCGTTTACAAGAGCGTGTGTTCTTTCTTGACCATTCATGACGTGATGCTGCTGATCTACACGTTGGAGTGCCTGTACTCCCTGTCGTCGCTGGGGGAACGGGCCTGCAATTTTATCGTGAACAATCACGGGGTGATTGACACTCTGGTGTCGCTGGTGACGGTGGAGGGTAAGAGTTATGGGCCGAAGGCGTGCATCGGGATGAAGCTGGTAGAGACGTTGCCGAGCAGCGGGCAGACGCAGAGCCAGGGGCAGCAGCAGGGTGGGAGTGTGCCGGTGACGACTTCGGGAGGCACTGCCGGTAAGTCATATACCTATTAATTAACAATATGGATAACAACGGGTGCCAGGTTGAAGCTAAACATATGAAACAAATGATTGTCTATAAGGATTTGGTGGCATGATGCGCATGCACAAATATAGTTTTCATCACAGACATCATAGACAATGGCATTTATCAGCTTTTGAATCGAAGGAGTATGTGTTTTATCGTTTCATAAGGTCATGACATTCTGTTGTTTTTGTTTACGTTTTGCGGACATGTTTAGTATAGTTAATGCAAAGTCAGTTGAACAGATCATCAAACGAATGTTGGGCCGCGCTGCCGCGCAAAGGGACCGACGTCTTGTGGTGATGTGTTTTTCCTACTGACTTTGCATAAACTTTAGCAGAGGTTTGATGGTTATTATGAATTTTCAGAGTATATTTTCCATCTAAATTACATCCCCCTTTGAACTACTTAAAAATGTCACTTGATAATTACATATTCAACATGAAATTGTCATCCTAGCCTATTTGAAAATGTGGTTATATTGCATTAGTAGTTGGAATAAAAGGAATGTTCACATGTGGATAATTCTTGATGTCCTTTTTTATGCATCATCATTGAAAGGTATGGTATTAATTGATTAATTTTGCATAATATCATAGTTCCAAACTACTAGGTAAGTGCTAGTGTAACCTACCTATACCTTCTGATGATAACCAAGCTGATAACCATCAGTATCCCTGTCTATAGACGCCAGTTGAGAACACGCCCATGATCATTTGTTACATAACTCCCTATATGCTAGTTGAAAACACGAGTTGGTCAAGCTAGTACAACTATTGAAACTAGTGTATGATATGAGTTCATAATATCTCAAAGTGGAATTGATAAGATTCAGGAAACAAGACACTAAGTCATCCCCACCAACTTTAATGTCAGAACTATCTGAACATGTTTTGAACTATCTTTACCATCATCAGCAGAATACAAGGTTACCTGAAATTTCTACAAGAACAAGAAACATTTTTACATATTTGTTAGTCTCACTATGTAAAAGTTTTTCATGAAAATTAGGGAGAGAAAACAAAATTACTGAAGAAGGGAAGAAGAAAGAGGATCGGACTTTTATGGTTCTTCAGCAGACATACTATGTGAATTTTGTTTTCACCATCACTGTCAACTTGATGATGTCCATGTTCTATTTTCTGATAGTTTCTTCTAAGGATTCATTTTTGGATTTCAATTAGTTTTTTAGTTTGACAATGGCCGTTTGCCCAATCCGAAATCGGATAATATGCCCAAATATGCCCCTCTCTCAAATCTCTCAAATGAGTCACACTGTATACCGTATGTTTGTCTAAACCTCATTTTTTTAAGCTACCATACTTTGAATGTGCAAGATGTTCTTTGAACCTATGTTCAATGGTTCTTCTAGCTTGACCAACTATGTTTTTCCGAAATCATCACAACAGAATTATATGTCAAATTTCCATGAAAAATTAAAATTTTCAGTTGATGGAGGTTTCAGGTACAGGGTGGTCAAAGAAACAGACAGTTTCAAAACAATCATAACTTTAATAATAGTTGTCCATTACAAATGAAATTTTCATAAAGCATAGTCTTAGTTTACTAATTTAACTAAAATTTGATAGTTTAAATTATTTTTGATAAGTTTTATACACAGTGTGTCTTATTTCTAATGGAAGCACCCCTTTATCTCATGTAATTATCAAGTTAGGATCGTGAAATTTTGTAGAGGCTGGAGATATATCAAAAATACACAATAGGGTCATCCTCAGTGATATACACCGCTTGCTATGCTGCATGCCAACAGTCATTAAACGATATTAGAAGGCAAGATAGGCTGAAAATCACTTTGGATTCGAAATCAGGACGTGCAAGTCATTGACTATTTATATTTATCCTGGAAAATTTTCAATTCTGAAAAGTTGTCTCACTTTCCATGGAAGCACCCCCATATCTTATGTAATTATTGAGGTATGTGCTGAATTGCAGGAACAAGGAAGAGTCCAAAGATACAGGCAATGGTGGTAATAATTACAAATCATCTCCAGTCATCCTACAAAAGTATCATTTCATAAATAATTATATAACAATTTTGAATACATAAGTGGAAGCTATTCAATAACTTCTCTTGAAGAAGAAAAAACAATGAATACACAAGATTAAGTGAAACAAAAACGGAAATATCGCATTTTGAATTTTAAGTTGGAAATTGGTCAAGTATCAAATTAGAACTTTGTGTAAGATGATCCTTCAACCTAGTTTCAAGATATTTCTAGCTCGGCCGACATTTGCTTTCAAAATCGTCACAACTGAAGGATATAATACATGTAATTTTTTCTTGAAAAATTAGGTATTTAGTAGAGATGATTGTTATGAAAATACATTTGAGTGCATACAGTGTCATTCCTAAAGTTGGCCTTTATATATTTTTCAATTTCTCCCAACAATTGTAACTCACAAAACTGTCCTAAACTTTGGCTAGATACCTAAAGTGGTTTGATTATATTTTGATAGATTACTTTCACATCATTTTTGTACTGAAAAAGTCTATTCTAATAAATTTCGCTCCTGAATCAAACATAATAGAAATTTGAAGCAGGGATTATTATTTTCTGAAGAAAATCATATTTTTGTCGATAATTAGTGATTGCACGTTAGTAGCATGATAAAGCTACTAGAAATAGTTTTGTCGGTGATATTTTTTTTGTATATTGACATTTCCTAGAAATTGAAAAAATATCAAAACCTAAAAGTTGGTATGGAATGTTCAAATTCGAGACACATATGTAAACTTGAAATAAAAACAACTTTTCTCAGTAAACTTTTTTGAAATTCAAGCATATAAGCCTATTTTCAGCTATTGATTTGAAAATAATGTACCTCACAAAGAGATAGAAACTCAGTCATTACCACAATAGTTCATAAAATAAACGAAAATGGTAGATAACGAGAGAAAAAGAACTACCTGGTTATATGCCACGAAACACATTGGATTACATTCTCCCGAAATCTATGCAATAATTGACGCGGTGCTGGAAGGAGAAATTACAAAATTTCATAATGAAAACTATGTGAGATCACTGTTTACTATCCTTCGTCTCTCGCTGCATTTTTTGTACTTTGTACAACAGAACAATGTGATGGTATTCTTGAATTAAGAATAGCAAGAAAAAACACAATTCGTATCCCAAAATATTGTGAAACACTATTTCAATCCTTTGACTCATTTGTAAACAAATAAGAAAAGTAAGGTTGTGTTTCAATGTTTTACCTCCGGGGTCGGTCATCGTGCACGCGACCTATTGAATTCTCGATGATCGGATGATCTCAGACTATAATAGAACGAATACACATAAAAAAAATGTCCGACAGGTACCAGCGTCGCGAATTCCCCGCCGTCCGCCCTCACGACCATGACGTCGACGACGGCCGCTAGTACGCCGATCGTGAGCAGCGTCGCGACGGCGTCCGCGAGAGTGGTCGTCGCTCCTGGCACGCCCGTCCGGCCGGTAGCCATCGTGCCGCAGCGGCTCATCCCCATCACGCCGACCTCCACGACGACGACGACAAGTGAGTAGATTTTCGTTAAAGGACCAATACTGTATCTGCTTCATTTTCAAAATATCAGGAAATGTTGAGAATAATTCATTTTTTAGTAGTTATTTTAGAACCTAGGTGATGTGCCATTATATTTGTGTTTTATGGATGGTTTTCAATGTGTTCAATGATTTGTGTTCCGTGTCAAACTTCAGACCGCTGTCAAAGAAAAATGTGGTCACAAGAAACATGTCAAATGAAAATGGTCTGTCCTTAATATTATAGAACTCCAAATATTGAAAATCACATTTATATTCTGCATCCCTATAGGAATTCGGAAAGTAATAAGAAGGTAGGATTCATTAATTGTGTTTATTACTATATTAGCAATTTTATAATTTGTTTCAGGCACCTTCTTAACCTTGTGATGTTGGATGTTTGAACAGCTTAACAAATAGTTATTCATGGTACTAGTGTGTTATGTTGAAAATAAGTCACGTGAGAAATATAATTCTGATTCTCAAGTGACTTAGGAAACATAACACAAGAGTGGCATTCAAAATATCAAATTTTATTTCTACTAGATACTTAAAGAGTATTTATTCCTCTTATTTACTCAAAATTTCAATACCTAATATATATTAGTACCAATATTTTTCGTTTGAGTCCACTAATGACATTACAAAATGAAACATTGAAGTGTATTTTCAATTTAAATTTTCTAGAACCAACCATGAATTCATATAAACCTAGAGATTCATTAGATCTGACATCACTATACAAACTTAAAATTTAAATTTCAATGAAATTAATTCATTACATAATCATGGAACAAGACAATCAAATATACTAATAGCAAATACATATAAGTCAAATATCGGCAAACAATCCATTTTTCACACAGGAATCGTTCTATACTACTCATCACCAAGTCAATTGAGGAATATACAGGAAACAACCAGATTTAAAATTAACTTGAAAAAATATCTGCTTCAGAGACCTCGATAAATCCATCTTATTTGAATACCTACTTATAAAAGACAAGGTTGATATTGCATGATTATTTGCATTTTTTTTTTACTTGTTATATCTCATCATTATTTCATAATTGTATGTTTATTGTTTATGTATCCCTATTATAAACAACTATGTTTCTTGGGGTCATAAAGACAATCAATCAATCAATTCAACAATTTCGAACAAGGCAATGAATGCCAATTATTCATTATCAGTTCACTCGCCCATCCTTAGCTAAATTTGAACAAAATCTGAAGAAAAAAATGGCGAGAGACGTTCTTGAACAAACCATACGTTCACCTTTCAGCTTTGACGGCCCCGGCGACCGCCCCGCCGCCCGCCCCACCGACGGCGCCGATGACGCCGCAGCAGCTGATCCAGCAGCAGCACGCCCATCAGCAGGCCATCCAGGAGAACGAGCACTTTGCGCTCGCGTGGCTGCGCGCCACCTACGAGCCGAGCGCCGACGGACGGGTGGACCACCAGGAGCTGTACCGGCACTATATGGGGTCGTGCGCGAAGATCGGCAGAAGGGGGGTGATATCGCCGTTGCACTTTCCGAGATGCGTGAGGTGAGATGATAAGGGGGGTTTCGTGGGGTGGTTTTTTTTTTATGTTCTGGTTTCCACGGAAAGGGATATCCTGTAATGTTCGGAGAACATCGTGAGAACCAAGGGAAATAAGGTAGGAATTGGTGTTCTCCTTAAATTTCTGGAGGTTATGTGCCTCGGGGAACACCTCCCTTGGCGCTGTTCGTTGGTGGAACGAGTCTTTGGAAAGAGATGTTCTGCAGGTCTCCAAAGTGACCACGAAGAGGTGCGAAGCCTCAACTCGACGGGTTAATCTCGCGGGGACTGCCAAGGGAGGAACAATGGGCTTATATCACAAAAAAATTTTATTTCATAATTCGATAGAACTCACCCAAACTAGCTCACCACCGCAAACCGTTCCTTGCTGTGAGCTCCCTACGTTTTATAAAAAATTATTGAAATCCCCGATTTTTCGGACCTCTGAAAACGAGGCGATGATGTGACGTCAAAACCCTAATACTGAAACAAGACTATTCCAGACAGAGATGAATGATACATGATTTCTCACAAAGCACCAAGATTGGTGAATCGGCAAGTTGATTTTTGGGACATAGATGTTAAGAACAAGAAGAAGATCAATTCTAACCTATATTAAGTTTCTGCAACTTTCGAATATTAAATTGAAATATTTCGACAAAAGTATGATTGAGGAATGTTCTGGCCTAATTGCAATTAAAAAAACATCATTTAGCTGGGAATTTTGAGAAGAAATCTCGCCCCTCACTGGGTAAACACAATATTATACCTAGTAGTAGTTTTGCTTTGCAGAAATTCATAGGGAAATTGCTTGAAGAATGAATGATCCATCTCCTAGAAGAACATTCAGGGGGAGATGCAAGCAGTATCTAGTCTTGAGAATAACATTGTTTCATACCAATTGATCATATTGTTGCATAGGTAAACATATCGATTAGTGACTGATTTAATGAGGATTCTCCCTCGGAATCTCCATATGATGGGTATTCTGATGTTAAATATCCTTTCAGGTGAACAATTTTCCAATGCAACTATAATAGGTACAATCAATGAAAATTGAATGAATATTGTGGAATTCACCTTTCAGATTTTCTATTCCTCATTTCAGCACTGAGGAACTGTGGAGATTTTCTAGTATGTTAGAGACATAAAAATAATTAACCATTTCCAAATCAATTTTCGGTAGATTATCTGATGAGCCTTTTACAAATCCTGATTCAACGTTCATGTTTTTATTCAATATATCGATAATATGTATTGATATGATAGACAGCAAGATTTGGAGGTTAATTTCATTACGTGTCTTCTTCTCATTTAAGATGAGATAAATAACTTCGGAATCGGAATTCGAGTCTCCATGTAAATGCAGCTCCATGTGAAACGGGTCAACAAAGCAATGTTGCTGCGTTCACGAAATATATTGGATTATTGTGAAATTGTCATGGTGCAAATGGTTTTGAGATTGAGACATATCGTTGTTTAGAGATTGTTTATATTCTAATGATTCAACCTACCATCGACAAGTTGAATATATTTTTCTGCAGTAGTGGTAGTTGATATCAAAAGATATTTCAATATCTATTTCGATCTCTCGGATATTTTGTTTAGATGATATGGCAACAGTGATAAGTGTCACACATGGGTCACTCTATGGGTCACGCTCATTGGTTCCAGGCGAGATGAGGTTTCTACGTCATAAAGAGGGTCCGTTTTCAGAAAGTACTATTATTTATGTCCAAAAATAAAACATTCCAGTTAATTTTCAGATGGAATTATGTCGCCAATCGTTATTTATGTATAAAAGGATCATTATAAACATGGTTTGAGTTGAAAGTTCTACTAAGGTGTACACGCCCATTGTTGATAATCCAGAAGAGCATCGTCCATGAAAATATCTATAAAATAGAGTCAGATCGCCAACTTTTCTTCGGTGTTCCAGAGAAGTGAGTGAGTTTGTGAGCGGGGCATCGCACCCACGAGACGAATTGCCCTTTTTTGGATAGAATCCAACAGTTTCAGGGTATGTTTGGGTGCTGCACTCCAAATATGGGAACAGTATTACAGGACAGGTCGGACCTGTGCCTTATAGATCATAAGCGGCTGACTGGAAGTGAAATAGCTCCTTGCCCTAAACAGAAAGCCAAGTTTTTGGGATGCACTTTTAGCAATTGATCTCACGTGATTTTCCTAAGAAAGGTTATTGCTGATAGTAAAGCATCGAAATAGATGTCTTCAAAGGTATGGTTACTTCTGACAAGCTTAGGTTGGGCACAGTGAGATCGGTTTTTCCAGAGACAAGGCATGCTTGTGTTTTGTTTGCATTGAAATCTACCAAGTTATTGGATCCCCATTCGAGAATTGTTGCCAAGTCCATATTTATGTTGTCAACATTTCTCCCTCGTTAGTTTCTGATTTGCCTGGCTGGTATTGGAGCCCTGGAAGAGAAGGTGGTATGGAGGGTACTATCATCCGCGAAGCTGTGTACTGGACGCGATTTTACTAAATATACTGCACGCTAGCACAAACCACGCCCACCATAATACGTCATATCTCCAAACATTACCGATATACTCGGAGTCAGCACATCGCACTTGTCAATCTCTTGTAGGCAGTAAATTCATATACCCTAATGGTCTACTGGTTAGCGCTGTCGACTTTCAGTCTGAAGGTCCATTGTTCGAATCGCTGTGATCTTGAACTTTTTTTTTCACCAATGTTTTTTTACTTCATTCTGGTTTTCCTTTTTCATAAAATATTTGAAGTCAAATAGGTTAGTGCGTTTAGGATAACCAGTCTCATTTCATTCAATTTTGTTGAAGAACTCAACTTTTGAAATATATTATTAATCAATGTGTTTCTACACTCCATTCGGTTTTCCTTCCTCAAAATTGCAATCAGGGATAGGTTAGTTCGTTAACGATAAATAGTCTCTGAGTTTTGTTTAAGTACTTCGAAGATGAGATATTACGGTGGGCGTGGTTTGTGCTAGCGTACAGTATATTTAGTAAAATCGCGTAAAGGTCATGAAGTTGCTTCCAACAAATCGTTGATATGGAGTAGAAGTAGTAAAGGTGCTAGAATTGATCCTTGTAGAACACCAGCATTCATGATAAGAGAGTCAGATGAAACTCCGTCGACCACTACATGGAGAGACCTGTTTGAGAGAAAACTAGCTAGCAGAGAACATAGCTGGGAAGGCAAGTCATAAGATGGAAGCTTGGCGAGGAGTCCGTGGTGCCAGACTCGATCGAATGCCTTGAAGATATCAAGTGCCACGGCTAAGGTTTCACCATATTTTTCAATAGATTGCTGCCATATATGTGAGACGTAAGCGAGCGGGTCACCAGTTGATCTTTGATGACGGAAGCCATATTGCCTATCGTTGATAATACCTTAATGTTCCAGGTATTTCATGAGCTCGATGTTGATAGCTTTCTCCATGATCTTTGAAATAATAGATAGCAGTGCGATGGGTCTGTAGTTGCTAGGTAGGGTCTTTTTTCCCCTTTTAGGAACTGGTTGTATTCTTGCAATTTTCCAGTGGGACAGTTTTTGGGATTTTGATTTTTGTGTTTTTTTTTCATCATGTCATAATAATTTTCCCTCGGCTAGTAAAACATGGAGTTCCTTTATGTACTTGACACTATTGTTTTAGAAGTTTTTTTTATGGATGAAAAACCCAAAGTCATTTCCACAACTTTTATTATGATCAGAGGTCATTAAAGGTACATGTTTCTGGCCTATATAAGCCCTTCATCAGCAAAGTATAAACATTTTTTATGAAACTATCATTAGAGAGTCAGGTTCATATTTTATATGGGCCTACGTGCCCTTAAATCACAGGAAAGTGACAATCACCCAAGTATGATATTTTCTTGGGTAATTGCCACTTTTCGGTGATGTAACCCTGTACATTGAGGAACTCGAGAATACAAGACAATCAATTTCTCTCAATTCCAGGTCGATATTCGGCGGCACCGTCGGCCCCAACCCGATGAAACCGGCCAACCCCAACGACCCGCAATTCTACGACGGCATAAAGGTGCGCGACCACCCCCTCGTCATCACCCTCCCCGCCTCCTGCACCGCCCTCAACTCCTCGCCCCCCTCCCCGTCCCCCACCCTTCCCAAAACGCTCGCCAAAGGTCAACAAGCGCGCCGCAAGTCCGCGCAACAGGCGCTCAAGGCTCCTCCCACCTGTGGCGCCGCGTCCGCCCACGGTCTAGCGGGCGGTCTCGCGACTGCCCACGGTCTAGCGGGCAGCCTCGCGTCTGCCCAGGGTGCGACGACTGGTCTCGCGCCTGCGCCTCTCGAGGTCGATTCGGAGGTGGGGGTGGGGTCGCCGTCGTCGCCCATATTGAAGGCGCAACTGAGCGCGCCGCCCAAACCGCGGGATGGCGCAGGGTCGCCCGGCGAGGCGGGCGGAGGGGACGCGAAGAGTCAGGTAATGACGTTGTGCGGGCGGGATGGGAGAGGTTTCGTTTCGGCCTGACGCACTTTTTCTTTGTGGCCCATTCACGTGGATGATGCAAGGTGGTTGGAAATTTACAGAACTATGATAAATACGATTCATACAGTGTGAGTCAATAGTGTGGTTTCCTTCAATATCAGAAAAACCGTCAGATATACAGGGTGTCTGGAAAAGGTTGGGACATGGCTCGGCTGTGGACTCCTTGGATAAAAACAGGTTGATTTGGGCCAACTTACCTATATCCAAAATCGTCTCGTTGCGTTGGTACAAAGTGTTGCTCATAAAAAGAGTAAGCTAGGATCGATATTTATAATTTTCGGCATGGCATGTTCTGTGACTGTGAGTCACGTTTTGAGATGTTTTTGATCATCATCAGTGACCTGCAAGTATTTTAAACAACCATGTTGCCTTACAAATTTGGTGATAACTTTTCAGAGGTCAGACTGGAAACTTTTTTCCAGAAAGATATTCCCTTCAGAAATATTTTTTGTGTAGTGTTAATTTTTGATAAGTCTTGAGGTTCATTTGCAAATGAATGATAATTTCTGATCTGAGGCATCTTATGCATTTTTTAGAAAAATATTCTTCCTGCCCACCATGTATATTATTGAAGAAGTGATTTCATCAATGCATCACACTTGGGGTCCAGCAGAAATGATTACAGAGAAATAGGGTGTTCAAAATCGAGATTTTTCAACTTTTGGATTGTTTTTGTCAAAACTATTAATTATTGGTCAAATCCGCTCACATATCCCTTCCTTAACTTTTGATTTACTTTCTACTGGAATTCAATCTGAACAAATACAGGGTGGTTCAAGATTCAAAAATTCTGATCACCCTGTATATGTTCCAATCAAGTAGTTTCGACACAAAAAAAATCCTAAAGTTGAAAAATATCGATTTTGAACACCCTATATCTCTGTAATCATTTCCGCTAGACCCCAAGTGTGATGTATTGATGAAATCAGTTCTTCAATAATATACATGGTGGGCAGGGAGAACTTAAAAATGCAATAATATACAGGGTGTCCCATTAAAAAACATCATCAGCTGATATCTTGGAATTTGAACACCCTATAACTGTTGTATTTGAATTGTTTCTATATATCTGACGGTTTGGGCAATATTGAAGGAGAACACCCTCTTGACTCACCCTGTATATTGCCATTACAAGCGAATCAATTAAGATTGATTGATTGATTTTAATTTTTCATTGTATTCTAGGTCAAATTTAAATACCAAGATATTCCCAAAACAAAGGTGCTTTTCTGAAATCACTATCTTTGTACCCTTTTTCAAGAAAAATAAATTCAAACTTTGTATTTCTGGCATATGACGTTTGATTACTAAATTATTTTTAGTTGACTATGACTAATGAACAAAAATTCATGCATTTTTAAATGTCTGAACTTACTTGTTTCAATCAATCATAAATGGATTTTAAATTAATTTGAATATTATGATCCCTAATCTTAAAGAGTGCTGGTCAAAGAAACCAGAAAACTTACAATTTGCCTCTAGTGTCCTTAATTTACAAGCCTAACGACTATGGTTCATAATAAATTTGTAGGAAATTCCATGATCAAAAAAAATTTAAAAATGGTGGACAATCTTGAATTTTGGTGATTTGAAGACAACACGGATTTTTTCATTTTGCTTCTAGATCCTCATTTTTCAATTATGATTTTTTCTCGTCTTTCCAAGTTGAACTGCTATGCTTCACAAAATTGTTGAACATCTCATAACCAAACGGATCAAAATGGCATAATATCCCAAACTTGGGTGATGTATTGTCATAAATACAATATTAAGCTTTGCATCATTTACAGATGGACTACAAATCTGTACATACCTTTTTTTTTTCGGGTTTGCTCCCACCTCATACAAACAGTATAACTTTTTTCATTATCAAGTATAAATTCTGAGATAAGTAGTTTGTGTTTTTTTATGCCAGTATACAGGGTCGGCAATGGTTTTCCCTCAAATTTCGGAAGTATTTTTAAAGATATAAGGATATAACTACTAAGTATTCTTCCTTCAGCAATTGACCGACCATATAAAAATACCCGATATCGAGGGATTCAATAAATTGGAAATTTTCGAAATTGTTTAATAATGTTTTCAGTTATATGATGAACTAATGTTCATCATACAGGGCGTGGAAAGAAAATTCTGAATTGAGAAAACCCAATCACAAATCTGTGATTAGAGGTCAGTAAAAATAACAAATTCCCATCCTTCAAGTATAAATCGGAGAATATTCCTTTTCAATACTTGTTTGATGATATTTCTTGTACATTTTATATTCCCCTCATTCCTTTTTATCTTACTTGTTATTTTGACTGGATATTTCAATATTTCATGGATCAATTGAAGATGCAGCAAATTTTTAATATCTAATCAAAGTAGCAATGAAGATGAATTGGATCTGGGCCACAAAGTACAGTCGTATTCAATAAAAAAGCGTACAAGTAATAAACATAGAAGATTTCGGCATTCTAGTTCTCGTTGTGTAAAATTGGCTCAGCCAATACTTTGTGTTTTTGAAAACCTATGATTATTCTACTGTCAACATTTGGTAAACATTCATTCTCCATAGCCCGTTTTATGCAAATAGGATGACGTTAATTTCTCCTTTCAATATACTTGTACGCTTTTTTAAAAAAAAGACTGTACAGTGTGTCCAGTTTTCGATGCTTTTGCGTGATATCTCAGTTATCTTTCGAGATAGAACCTTGCGGTTTTCGCAGTCCTGTACCACTTTTCTGTGAAACTCAAGATGGCCTAATCAGATTTTGCATAACTGTTTGCGTTTATGAGATACAGGGCGATATTGAAAATTTATAATTTTTGGACCCCCTCTATATCTACGAAGTTTCTCAGCGAAAATGTCAAATTGGAATCTTATCCCATACAGAATTTTGCGCAGAATTCAGTGGCGCACTCAATTTTTTTTTCTGGGTATGGTTTCGGAGATACGACTCAAACTTATGATTTTTCAAATGGAACACCCTGTATTTTATAAGCTCATTAAATTCCTTATTTTTTCCCCATCAAAATTAAATATGTTGAATAGGTATAAAATTTTCAAAAATGCTCCAAAATCACTAAAACGTTGAATTTTAATAGTCTATGGATTTTTCTTTTAAAAAAGTTTCAATTGAAGGAATATTTCATTTGATTCTTCCATGAAAAGGACAAAAACAATCGCAACACTAGTTAATTAAGATAACACAAAAATTAGGTACCTGATAGCAACAAATGAATGGTAATAAAAAGTTCATATTCTAGAATAAGCACCTGATTTAATATTCACTAAGACAATTGAAATTCGAAATTTATCAGTAACTTATTCATTGAATTGTTCAAATTGATGTCCACTTCCTCTTACAAGCTTTCTCAATACGTCTTAATGCATTCAAAATCATGAAAGGGTGTCTTTGTAATTCCTGGAAAACTGCCTCTGTTGTTGCACGAAGGTCTTCAAGATATTTGTGACTCTTACTGTATGAAGACGTATTGAGAAACTGTGTCAATTGTGTGTTATGGGAAATGGACATCAATTTGAACAATTCAGTGAATAAGTTATTGAATGATTCCGAAATTCAATTGTATTTGTAAATATTTAATCTGGTGCTTATTCTACATTATGAACTTTTTATTACTATTTATTTGTTGCTATCAGGTACATAATTTTTGTGTTTTCTCACTTAATTAGTGTTGGTATTGTTTTTGTCCTCTTTATGGAAAAATCAGAATGAATATTCCTTCAATTGGAACTTTTTATAAGAAAAATCCATTAAAATTCAATGTTTCAGTGATTTCAGAGCATTTTCGAAAATTTCATATACATACATTATAAATCATTTTGAAGAGAAAAAAATGAGGAATTTTATGAGCTTATAAAATACAGGGTGCTCCATTTAAAAAATCATAAGTTTGAGTCGTATCTCCAAAACCATACCCCGAAAAAAAATGTTGAGTGCGCCACTGGATTCTGCGTAAACTTTCATATGGGATGAGATTCAAATTTCACATTTTTGCTGAGAAATTTCGTAGATATAGAGGGTGTCCAAAAAGTATAAATTTTCAAAATCGCCCTGTATTTCATAAACGGAAACAGTTATGCAGAATCTGATTAGGCCATCTTGAGTTTCACAAAAAAGTGGCACACGACCGCGAAACCCTCAAGGTTCTATCTCGAAAGATAACTGAGATATCACACAAAAGCATCGAAAACTGGACACACTGTACATTTCAGAATGGAAGCTAAACAAAAATTATTTTCATTTATTTCCATTCAATGAACAAAATGTCAAAGTTGTGCTGTTTGTATGATTCGGTAAGGTGGCAGTTCTTTCCTGTGCTTTTTCACACTCTTCAGAGCTAGAGTCATTTTTCATTCAGGCTTCATCTTTCTTCTCAGGTTGATTTGAAAGCAGTGGGAGAAGTATATGGGGGTTGAAATGGTGGAACGTTGACCTATCATTTACGAGTCGCTCTTGGGTAATGGGCAAGAACACTAAATTCTGAAAAAAAACATACCAAATTACCAAATCTTGATACGAATTCGAAAGCCGCTCAAAACTCGCTTTTCAGTAGGGTATTTATAAAATCGATTAATGTGAAATTATGTTCTTGCTTATCATGGCGAATCTATTCCTATCTTTTTGACCTAATTTCAGGGGTGGAGGTTTGTAAATGCTTGTAGCTGTGTAGATTTCGTTGGATTAATGTATTTGTTTCATACTAACCCAAATATACTTTTCACCAATATTGCATGTTATAGTTATGTAGCATTATATTTTATCGATTTTTCGTCTTGCAATTATGCAGATTGATCAGGAAAAACTGCTGGTGTGTGTAAAATGAATTAAAAAATGGAAAAAGTTACAGGGATCCTATTTGGAAATCAAGAGTTGAGGTCGCTTCTGGTTAGACAGAAAGTGATAGAATTAGTTTTTTTCTGTTAATAAATGAACAATATGGTATATTTGCTAGCCTCCAAATTTCAAATCACTATTACAAAGGATTCAGAAGTTACAGCACTGGCCATTTTTTTCGCACTTCTCTCATGTTTGTCCCACTTCAATGAATCATCAAACCAAATCCAAAGATAATGTTTCTCATTACTTTGCTTCAATGATTCATTTTTAATGTTGTTTATTTTTTGTTGAACAATCATATATTCAGTTATACTAACTAGTATGTGTTGATGAAGGGTTATTGTCTCTGTTGATTATATTTTCTAAAATAATAGTATTCTCATTCTCATAATATAAATGTACCATATCTTCTGCATGAATAGTACAATAATTACTTTCTATTTCGATTTTGGTGATATTTTGCTACCACGTGTAATACAGTTCAAAATTAGTTGATTGGACCCGATTTATTTATTTAACAAAATGTACCGCATGTCCGTGAGACGAGTTCAAAGTTTTCATGGAAAAACACGTTTTTGTACTCTGTTCAAAAATGAGTGAAACAAATTGGATGAAATTTGACATGGTGCATTTCAGAGAAGAAGCCTTCGATCGGTAATCAAAGAAACCCAATAGAAATTGTGGAAGGGTTGAAACCACCCTCACCCCCTGATATTTTTTTCAGATCAATCTTAGGAGTAGTAATAGGGTTCTCAAATTTTTTGAGCATGATGACTGAAATTATCTTGAATTTGTTGTTCTTGTGGAAATTGCATATTCTGCATATTTCCAAAGGAAAAAAATGGTTTCTTTAATAATGCTCAAATTTTTTGAGCATGATGACTGAAATTATCTTGAATTTGTTGTTCTTGTGGAAATTGCATATTCTGCATATTTCCAAAGGAAAAAAATGGTTTCTTTAATAATGCTAACAGATATTCCTAGTATAAGTTTAATATCATTATAATAAAAATATCAGTGAATAGTGGAAACTTAGGCAGAACGTTTTTTTTTTAATTAATTTTTAATATGACGCCCATCTTCATCGATACAAATGTCAATTCCATTGTTTCCACTGCCAACTAATATTGTATAACGGTTTTATCAAACTTTAACTTGAAATATCTGTACACTATTTAGGAAAACATTTTGTTTCCTTTGGAACTATGCGGAATACGAAATTTTCACAAGAGTAACAAAATGAAGATAATTAATCAGCCAGCTCGCTTAGAGAATTTGAGAACCCTATTACCACCCCTAAGAATGTTCTGGAAAAAATGTCAAGGGATGAGGGTGGTTTCAACCCTTCTACAATTTCTTTCAGGTTTCCTTGATTACTGAAAGAAGGGTTATCCTTTAAAATGGACTTTTGTCAAATTTCATCCAATTTGTTCCACTCATTTTTGAATATCATACAAAAATGTGTTTCTATGTAAACTTTGAACTCGTCTCACCGACAAACGGTACATTTTTCTATATTGATAAGATGGGTCCAATCAACTTATTTTGAACTGTATTACACGTGGTAGCTTGGTGTCCCAGTGATTTTGGGACACCCTGTATAACAAATATAAGATTGGTCTTGAAACAGGCCCTCGAGGAACATCTTCAGTGACCGGTGGTGTATGGGATTTTGAGTTGATTGATTTGGTACTAATTGTCGTATTAGTCCCTCTAGAATTATTGGAGTCGATGAATAATTTAGCACCTAAAAGATAAATTCATGTTGATATTTTTCGTTTATGTAGCAAATGGCCTTCTCTTCACTATTTATATCGATTCCTTGATTATTCACATTAACAAGATGATCCACCTCCATCTAAAATGTTGAAGCCATATTTGGCATTTGTTCTTGGCTGGTTCGTAGGCGGTGCCTAACAAAACTATTTCCTCTTTGATCTTTCGGAATCTGCTCGAGTTTATCTATATGCAAGTTGCTGAACTATCTAGGAATATCCTTCTTTCAGGAGCAGGAAAATCTGTAACTTTGATATTTTGAATGATGAGAATATTTTGAATCGGCCCTGATGCTACATTCCTTCTTGCATAAAAACGTCTAAAAATAAACTTTGAATTTATTTTGCATTAGCAATCTCTACCATTAGTTACTCAACAAAACAACTGACCACACGTCGGAAGTGATAACTTTTATGGCCGGTTAGTATTTCCAATATTTTTGGGCAATATAGTGGAAATGGAGTAATATTAATTTTATGTAATATTTCCACGTATTTGCGAAACGGATGAACAAAATATTGATGAAGGAATTTCAAATTGCATCTTGTCAAGAGTATTCATTACTCACCCTGTGTATCATAAATGATGTGAATGATTTGACTATCCGTGGCTTCGATGCACGTATTAGCTATGCACAGCCAACCAGCAGACTCGAGAACACATCAAATGTAGCAGATACAGGGTGTTCAAGGGAAACTTTTATTTTGAATTTTTTCTCTAATTTGGTCGTACATTTACTTCGAAATTATGTTTGTTCTTGGCGTTGTTAGTGATAGTCATCATTAATTGAATGGGCTTTTAGATTTTTCACTTTCTTTGATTATCATTCAATGGAAGAAGATATGATGTAATTTACCGAAGGAACATAATAATACCACTAGCGCCCTCTTTGAGCAATCACAAAATACATTGCAAATTCGTATTTCTCAGGCAGAAAACCTGAAACTACAGAATTTCATGTTCATGCTATCAAAACTTACGAAGTTATTGAGGAATTTGGAAAGAAAATCTCCCCCAAGAACACCCTGTATCTCCTAAACCAGGTACATTCGTATCCGACATGTTGGACTAAATCTTATTATTTTAGTCTTTACTATTTGTAGTTCATTCATGATTATGCCGGTTTTATGACCTAACGGGCCTACAGAAATTATCACTTCGAAAAGTAGTTCACCTTGTCGATCTCAGAAACCGCCACCTACTGAATAGAATTACAGACTTCATTGCTCTAGATAAGGATCGTTCATCTTGTCAGTGTAAATAACCAAACATCTAATGGGTTCCGTGCAAGAACTGTCAGATGACCGACCCTGGAGGTGAAACACAACCTCACTTTTCTTATATGTTCACAAGTGATTGAAATAGTTTTTCAAAATTATTTTGGCATACGAAACGTGTTTTTCGGCTATTCATTAAATCGCGCATGACATCACATTGTACTGTAAAATTTGGTAATTTCTTTGATTCCTCATCGGAATTATTTCTGCAATAAGAACTGATAGATATACTCGTGAATTTTTTAAAATAATGCAAGATGATTGGAGTCATGCAATCAAACGGGAGGACTGGTGTGACATACTGACGAAATATGATCGTGTGTGTTGTAGACATTTTCAATCTTTTAGCAGTATTAGCTTCTATTGCAGAAGTGGCAGAAGGAATTTTGATAAGAAATGACAAAATTTCATAATGAAACCTATGTGAGATTACTATTTACCTGAAAAATCATATTCCTTCGTCTCTCGCTGCATTTATTGTGCATTGTACAACAGCGCAATGAGAAGGCGTGCTTGAATTGATGAATAGTGCAAAAAACACGATTCGTTTGCCAAAATATTGTGAAAAACTACACTCATCGGCAAAATAAACCGGTCACCAAAAATTTTGCCCAAATTGTTCACAATAACTTTTTAAATTCTTGTCGGATTTTTGTCAAATTTAGATCAAATCGTAGATTCATATTCCGGAATGTTATCCTAAATATTAGTTTTCCTGAAAAGCTGATGACTTGATCATTATTCATGGAAAAACCAAAGTTACTCTTTCACCCTATACTTCAGAATGCCCTGTGGCAAAATTGCGTGATTGAACATGGCTTCATTATGCCTCGGATTGAAGTGTGATCCCTTCTCAACACAAAAGTTTTTGATTCACGTCAATATCTTATTTTTTAAAGAAGATACGAGTGTTTTAAGGAAGTATGGTGTTTTTCATCCTGTTACCAATTATCAGAACTTACATGAACTTCTTGATTAACAACTTCTAAGGTTGATATCACATATTTCTACCTTACTTTCTCAGCACTTACCGGAAAATCAATCACAAAAAACGAACAAAAAGCAGACCTGTAGTCAATAACGAGTATGCTCTCCTCGATATTTAATTACAGCATTCAACCGCAGTGGCATCGAATTGATCAAATTACTCAAGTAGCCTCGAAGAATTGAATAAAATCCTCTTTGAAGGGAGAATCGTAGCTCTTGAAGAGTATCTGACAAGGCTGGGCGAAGGCGAATGAGTCTCTAGAGGTTACCCCTAAGATAGGTAGATAGGCTCTGGATTATTATTATTGAAAATTGAAAAAATCTATACTTTCTTGAAACACTTATATCTTCCTTTAAAAAGTGGTCATTCAGAGAAGTGATCACTCTTCAATCTAAAACATAATGAAGCTAAGTTAAACCACTCACGGGGCGTTAAGAAGTTATAATTGAAAAAGTAGCTTTCGTTTTTCTCTGTATAATGATCGAGAATAAAAAAGTGAGGTTGTGTTTCAATGTTCCACAGAAGAGTAAGGTTGTGTTTCAATATTTTACCTCCAGAGTCGGTCATCGTTCATACAACCTATGTAGTTTGCACGCTGTCTCTCTCTCTCTCTCTCATTATCTTCGAACAAAAAAATATATCCGATGTTTCGTACGACAAGGCTTCGTCTCACCCGCACCTGAGCCAGGCGCTTCTCGGGGCAAATGCAGCGACTGCTCCCGCAACAACCAACGCGACTCCGGCCTGTCAAGTCAGCGGCGCCGGCAAGGACAATCACTCCGGCTCAGGTCAGACGAGCAGCACGTCGCTGATCAAGAGCCTGCTCGCCACTAAGGTAAACGATTGCATGTCGTCGGTGAGCATGAGGACGGCGTCAGACTGCCAATCTGTAGCTCAGGTAACACACTAATACCACTGAACTAACTGTAACCGTACAAATGGAATGCCGATACAGCCACCTGCGCGTGAAAATTTTCCGTCTCACGTTGAGATCTTAGGGTTCTGCGCAGGGTTTTCGTTAGGCCCGTATTTATAGTCGTTCCTTAAGGCGACCTCGTCCCTCAAGGCTGCCTTAAGGACCAGTTACCAATTTATAGTCGTAATATGAACTCCAAGAAAGCCTCAAGGAAATGTCAATTCCAAGGGAGGTAGAGAAATGCCTTGAGAATTCCTTGATCCAATTTCTAGTATCATTTCAGGTTATATTATGAATTCCATGAAAAGAATGATGAAATTGAATGTAGTAAAAGTATACAGAGAATTTGATTCCAGTATATCGATTTCGAGCAGTAGAAGCTAATTCAAGTTTATAGTTTATAGTAGTAAATCTTTTTTTTTTTTCAAATAATAGGTATATACCGGGTGACACAGGCTATCGGGCCACCCCTGTAACTTCTGCATTCGTCAACGGATTTTTCTGAAATTCGATACAGTTATATAAGGAACTATTTCGGATTTGATCACATTACAATCCAATATGGCGGACTTCCGGTTTTTCTGGAAACGCCAGCAATTTCGTTTTTTCAAATGGAACACCCTGTATATTTTTACATATTCAAGTTCAACAGGTTGAAACAAGTGCAATCTTGATGTCAAATGTCATTTATTCCACAGCCTACCTAATAGAAAAATTTTTCTAACTGCAAGGAAATTCATAAACTAGTTGTTGATTTTTGAATGTATACAATTTGTTACTGCACCGAAAAACAAAAATGATATTTCAATTTGTTCCTTAATGTATGTTCTAGAGAAACGGGTAGGTGGCCCATAGGGGTTCCATTTGAAAAAAAATAATTTTTGATCAAAAAGTGATGTGGCTGAAATGATTCCTGGATGAGTGACACAAAAAATAATTTTTCAGAAAAAATTATGTTCTTCTGTTATGTGTGACTCATTGTGAATAGTCTTGACAACATCTCATTTATCCACGAGGTAAAATGAAAAAACAATTTCAATTCGATTTTTTTCGAAAAAATGACATTTGAAATAAAGATTGCACTTGTTTCGACCTGTTGAACTTGAATATGTGAAAATATACAGGGTGTTTCATTTGAAAAAACAAAGTTGCTGGCATTTCCAGAAATACTGGAAGTCCGCCATATTGGATTGTAATGTGATCAAATCCAAAATGATTGCTTATATAACTGTACCGAATTCCAGAAAAATCCGATGACGAAAGCAGAAGTTACAGGGGTGGCCCGATACCCTGTGTCACCCGGTATATTACAAATAATGGAAACTCAGCATCTTTACAATTATAAATTGATATTTTTCCTTTCCCTGGCATATTATTTCATAGCAGCTTGAAAGAATCCGTTCTTTTGTATTGTAATTTTCCAACGTCATCGATTAACTCTTCGACCCTTTCTGCATTTTGCGGAACCTTGGATATATTTTCTCTGTGATCGAAGTAATATAATGTTAGCCCCAATTTGAATCAACCTTTGGAGATTATTACTGGTATATTATAGCTCTTGCCTACTAACTACCTAACTAGGTTGTCATCTAGAACGACAATGACTGGATTATTAGAATCTTTCGCTGTCCACACTCAACAGTAAACATTTTCAAATTCTACATTTTACATTTTGTGACAAACACGTGACATTGAACAACAAATTTGATCATAGAACACTAAAATTATACACTGTTGCCAAGTGTGAGGGCTCCTTTTAAAAGGAATACTCAAGGGAAGTTGAGCGTCAAGTACTGAGGAATCCTCAAGAAATCCTCAGATAAGGAAAACTTGAGGGGTTCTTGAGGAAACGACTATAAATACGGGCCTTAGTGTCATCGAGCAAGTTCCGATATTCCCGAACAGTACTGCCCAGTACATTTTATCGTTCCGATTTTACTGAAATTTACTGGCAACGAAAGTCGAACTGGAAGATCTCACAGTGGCAGTAGACGCTGAAACTGCCACTAATCTACAAAATGGTTTGTTATTCCCACTTTTGATATCAAATATTTCACAGCTATGCTTCATTTCATCATTACTGGAACTGGAGCTACTAGTCTTACGGTTTGTGATGAATCCGAATCACTAACGGATAATAATATTATGATTAATCACTTCATCCATTATTTCCACGTGAGTAAAGAAGATGATAATAATAGTGATGAGAATAAAAACCATTAATATCAAACATCGCAAGATCATAGGTTAGGTTTATGTTTTGCTGAGTACCAGTACTGCCAAAATCTTTCCGAAATGTAATGAAAATTTAGAGATACTGCTATTGTTTAGTGTTCCTAAATTACTTACTGTGGCCAGTTATGTCAGCAATATCGGAACATGACCTGTGTGTACTGAATCTTGGTAGCAAAATGTTATAGACTGTAATAGATTTCAAACAATGCGCGGCAAATTTGAAATTTACTTATTATTATGTTTCAACAAGGAGGAGATTCTTTGGTTACAATGTACCTATTAGGATTCTGGACTGTCCAGCAAAAATGAAGAGAAAATGAAATACAACACATACTCAATTCCACAATAAATAAAAATATAACCAAAACATTGCGTTTCTTAGTGACTATAACCTATTGGGTTCAATAAGATTTTACATTATATATATAATATATATGAAAGAAAAAATAGATACATAGATAATAGCCAAGCAGAAAATGTGAATAATTATAATTCCTTAGCATCTTGATCTCCAAAATCAGAATGAGTTTCAGAATATAACATATATGTTACTTGTTGATTTTTTCATTCCTCGCTTTGAGGCTTTGGTTCAAAGGTTCTTAGGTCTGCGCAAGGTTTCAATAAATGTATTATGGATATCATGCATTGGCATTCCATTTGTAGGGTCAGTGACTAATACCTTAGCCAGTGTTCGTTTCCACAGCAAGAGGTCTTTTCTACATCATTCGCGAGGCGGGATAATACGCTACTGGACTGATGACTGGTGAATAATTGGAATTGAATTACTCCACTGTGTCGTTAAGAACTGAATCAATTTTTGCAACACTCACGTTTAATTGGTTTTTGCAACACTCAAGCGTTTTTTATGTGAATAATGTCTGGGATACATCATACATGTTATTCTGTTTCCATATTGGTCAGATAATTTTTCATTCTCACTGATGAAGCAAGGTTGTTAAATCACTAATTATAATCAAGTTATTGAAAAGTTGTTAGTGTCCTGTCGTTGATTCAAACTACTGTGCTATTATCTGCCCCTACTTACGAAGTCGTGACATCAGTTGCTATTGCCGGTGATTTTCTAGCCATTTGAAAATTACCATGGCATTATAGACCATTTTTGGACCTAAAAATCGACAGAAAAAAATTTATCAAAAAATGGTATTCCAACTCAGTGAAATATACTGTAGATCTCACACACTCTTAGTCATGTTTCCGAACACCAAGAGGCGTGGCTCGATTTCATGAATGCGCATTGAGCAGAAGGGATTTCAGCGTTGCTGGGTTATGGCATATAGCGGTCTAGATCACTCACATAACTACTGTCTAGACCGCTACGATAGATAGATCTTCAATTAACTACGAACATTGTGGAACATTTCTAACATGTTGCTACCCGAAAATCTCAATCTGAATGGAATGCACCAATAGTGATTATATACCGAAGTGTATACAAACTAATGATTGGTGAATTACATCAAAGTGTCGTCACAGAACTTCAGTTGTTAGATGATTTCCAATTTCTCATTATAATATTATTTTTCATCCTGATTGCTCGAAAGATCACCTCTATCGATTCGTTCTGATTGGTTCGTTTGTGAATGATGTAGAAATGAATTCTTGCATTTCATTTGAGGGTTGTGCCACTTGAAGCTAAAATCTTATTATCTGGGTCTAAAATTCGTTTGGACACTTACCTATTTATCAGTAATTGTAGTAATCATAATTACAAGAAAAAAATATTACGAAATCAAGGATTCATAGTTATTTTTTTCAACTCAGTGGCATATACCTCGATTTCAACCGATAATGGGCGACTGCTGTAGAATTTAATATTCCACAATCAACAGCAGATAAGAAGATACAGAGAGACAGATACTTCACTTTCTGAAGCGAAACTAATTGGCGATGCATAATGAGTATATAAAATATGGAAATTCAGTCGCCGATTGTCCTGAAATCTATGTCAATAATGACATGTTATATCTGAGTTATACATAGTTTATTGAGGTACATGAAAAAATATAATTTTTTGGTACCATTTCCTGAAAACATTTGACTGAATGAATATCTGTCTTGCTGTCACTGATTATTATAGTCTTGGAACTAATTAAATATGCTTTTTGTCAATTATAACAGCTGTTATTTATATGCATGGATTGGATTTTGCAAACTAACAAAAAAATGCTTAGTGTTGTTTGTCTTTAAACCATACAGTTGTTACTAATTACGTAATTAAATAAAGACAGTCGACTTTTTATTTCATAGTTATATAAACACTTGAAAAGTGGGACTCCCCCAGAAAAAAAATCATTCATACCAAGAAGTACAAGATTAATGAGTAATATGGAACTATAATTTATACAGACATCCATGTTTCTATTGAAACTGTGTGAAGTTAAATTTTTTATATGTTCAGGTTTATGACTGTGTAAGGTTTGAAATGTAGTTCTTTTTTTTTTCACATTCACTCTTACTAATATATTTCAGACGCTGGTTTCATTACCGTCGTTTTCACTCTCGAATAACTTCTACACAGTAGTTGTTTATCAGTCACTTTCAGGATTTTAAGATCATTAAAAACTGAATTCAGTTTCATTTGTTTTGAGCTACTAGGAATAATGTTTCGCTTTCAACTAAGCAGGCAGCCTTGAAAACCATACGTTACTATTGGATGCAATATTACACCTACCCAATAGTATAACTCATGACGTATTCTTAAGGTAATAGGTTTCTTTGTGAAAATACATTTTTCATTTATTTTTCGTATTCCAATCCTGAGAACAAACTCGAACTCAAAGTAGAAATAAATCTAAGAACAGCCATTCCTTCTGAGGTAGCGCCACGTATTACCTTCTTCTTTGTAACGTAATACAGTTTAAAAGTTTTCTCTCTGTCCCGACCCGTTCTGACAGCCTATCAATTCGTTGAATGACAGGTGGCTGCTAGGCAACAGAGGCTGCTGGCCCAACAGACGGCTCCCACCTCGGAGGCGTCGCAACAGAAGAAGGAGCCTCCCAAGGTGTCGAGGATGAACGGGGTGCGGCAGCTGTTCGTCGACAACGAGGTCGGAGATCCCTCTGTGTCATCCACCACGCAGTTCACCAGCTTGACGAAAGGTAGGTGGAGGGCACTACTATATTCCGGGGTTATACGCTGAATTGAAACTGACGTATTTGTCATCTAACAGGGTACGGACAGATCATAGCTCCTTTCTCTTCTAATCATCTAGTGACTTTGGTTTCGTGTATTGGCGTCCCTGACATGACATTGCTGTCACGATACGCTGAATTGAAACTGACGTATTTGTCATCTAACAGGGTACGGACAGATCATACCTCCTTTCTCTTTTAATCATCTAGTGACTTTGGTTTCGTGTATTGGCGTCCCTGACATGACATTGCTGTCACGTCACATTAATAGGCGTTGAACGATCTTCGAAAATTTTAACTTCATTATTTATCTTAATACGACATTATTCAATTCTGTTTTGGCAGGATGGTAAAATGTGCTGCGTTAAGTGGAGTTCACAACCAAACTTTTGACGTTTTGCTTTTTACGTTTCGCATTCTGATTGGTGAAGCAAAATCTGGAATGGACATGACGCAGAAAGCTGAATATTTTCAGATTTTTGCGTCGCAAGATGCCTCTATGTGTGAGAATGGCACGATGTAGGAAAATGGAAAAATAGACAAATACCCAATACTCAACCTATTTCCACACCATACTTTAATGATAGTCTCACCCAATATTCGCCTTTTTAGGATTGATTTTTCTCTTTGAAGAGCAATTTACGTCTCTGCCAGTACTCATGAATATTAATCGTTATTCAATTAATATTATTGTTGTGATTATTTCACTTCATTTCATGGGGAAGCACAAGTGACAAAACCTAGGCAACTGAAAAACACCGTAAAAACTCACTTTAACGTTTTTTTGTTGAGAATGACATTTGCTTCAGTTTAATTTCAGATTTCGCTTCACCAATCAGAATACGAAACGTAAAAAGCAAAACGTAAAAATTTTGGTTGTGAACCCCGCTTTAGGCTGTATCAATCAGTTGGATGGCAAATTTGAATTTGTCAGCTTTCCATTAAATGCAAATGAATTTAGAACATGGAAAGTGAAGTGACCGAATGGGGAACATTGCTAAATACATCAGCAAAATATTCTAGGAAAAACTAATACGAAATCACATATTATACTTTCTCATTGTGCGTATAATTATCCACTCCACAAGTTTTTGAATGCATTTTATTAGAAATAATTTTAATTGAAACGGAGGATTAAAAGAGGCATATGCCCTACCATTTTTACAAAACTATACCTACATTCAGGAAATATTAAGTGTTCGTGAAAAACTGCAAAAATGATTCCCAACATGAATATATACAGCGCACATGACATATGAGAACATTAGTTTGAATACCTACAAAAAAAATTTCACCATTTTTGAACCATAAGGCCATAGTCTGATATCAATTTTTTTTTTATTGATAGGTAGGTACGAGAACAGTCTCATTTGGTTAAACGTATTAAACTTTCATAAAAATTTGATCACTGCCTCACAAAGATTATGCTGGAGTTGAAAAATCAAAAACTAGAAAATTATCATCATCATTTGGATATAATATGTAGACTTGAATGAGAAATTACGTATGATAAGTCAATATCCTCAGTATAACCTAAAAAACAACAAATGTCTGAAATCGAGTGTTTATCCCCAGAAATCAATAAAGATGGAACTATATAACTGTTTCACAAACACTTCAGAGTGAGAGGAGGCGAGGATCTGTCCGTACCCTGTTAAGATGACAAATACGTCAATTTGCATCAAGGTACCCTACTAGGCACTTGATATTTGAATCCCGCAACAATTTTGGAAATTTGGAAAATAAAATTAGTTGTACGTCTATTTGACCAGCTCAATCGACCCCTATCTCACCCATGCATCCTCAACTGGAATACCTGCCTAGCCCAACGTAGTTTGACCATTCTGTGACATCATCAAATATACTGGGTGACCAAATTTCAGGTCATTCGATCGCGAGGTTGATTTTATACAGGGAGGGACATTTTAGCTGGGACACGGTGTATATCCATTTTTTTGTGTTCATCAATATATCTAAGAATGTTCCTTTACAATACTATCACCCAATCAAGGGATTCAAACTTGAACGATGGAAACTTGTTAGATAGATAGATATATAGAGTTTATTTAACTATGTTACATACAAGTATGTTTATAGCAGGTCAGCAGGGCAAGGGAAAAGTAGCACAGTAAAGTATCAATACTAACATATTAAAATACAATATAGTGGTAATTTTGAAAATGTGATAAAAATAATTAGTATCTGTAATATATATCAAAGAATTACATGACAAGAGTATATGATATGATAAAAAATGACAAGTATCAATGAAATAATTTGAAACAATCACATAAATGAATAGATAAATAATAAGATCAATTAAAAAGTTATAAAAACAATGGCAAACATAAAAGCTATGTTGCCCTATGTAAGTCTAAGCTCTAAGAGATTTCGATTTTTGGAGGTATTCGGATATACTGTAGAAACAATTATCAAGAAGAAATCTTTTGATTGTTGTTTTGAATTTTTTTGGTTCCAGTAGTTTAACAGATTCATGAAGAACATTGTATAGATTGAAATTCAAAGAATTCTGTTGGCTTACAACTAGTCTATGTCTTTGAGGATTCAACAAGTCTGCGGATCTGGTGTTGTAATTATGTATATCCGAGTGCTTTATGAATTTGTTCTTGTTATTATGTATTTCCAGTAGAACTGTGAATATATACAGGGTAGGGAGTGGCATAATACCTAATTTGATGAAGGATTGTTCACAATGATCTCTATACTCAAGATTTGCTAGAATTCTTATAGCCCTTTTCTGTGACCTGAATACCCTATTCGCATTACAAGAGTTGCCCCAAAGAAGAATGCCATAGGATAAGACAGAGTGAAATAGAGAAAAGTACGTTATTTTCAGTACACCAATATTAGTAACAGTAGTATTTTCATCGACCTCAATGGCTTATTCGTGATAAGGTATTCTCAATTCAGAATTTTTTTCCACATCCTGTATGATGAATGTCAATTTATCATGCATCCAAAAAATATAGGTTAGTAGTTGTTTTGCTCTCGTTATCTACCATTTTCGTTCATGTCATGAACTGATGTGGTGATTACTTTAAGTTTCTTCCTCTTTGTTGTGCTCTTAGCTTACATTCTTGGATTGAAAAATCGATGTTTTTTCAATTCATTTAGGCAAAAAGGAGCCCCCCCAGCCTCCCCCTCCGCCGTTAGCGCCGCTTAGCAACAACGCCAAGGGTGGCAAGACGCAGCGTATCGACAACGAGGATAGCGATTCGATCGGTAACAACTCGTTGGCGTCCAGTTCCGGTCTTGGTACTATAGGTGAGTAGAAAATAAACCAACGAGTCAAAAACGGTACTCTTGATAAAATTCGATTACTCTCGAGAATTTTTCAAAGAGTTTATTATTTTCACGTGTACACAGATAAGGCTCATACTTCCTGACTCATCAGAAAATCAGGATTGCAAGAGAGAAAATGTAATTCCTCCTTTCTTTTTCATTTTAGATTGAGATTTTTATACGTTCCTCAAATCAAAATTTCGATTCTCTTTCTACAAGTTGATATTCCAATCGAGATTTGACGCTCCTGAAAATTATTTATTTATTTTTTTATGTAACGTCCAAGGTATTTCAAATTTCTGTCTCATTTCAGAATCTCTTGGTTGAAACTTTTTCAAATTGTGTTCTTGTGATGTACTGTTTTTGTGGAAAAAGTTGAAGGGGATATTCAATTGAATGCACTCAACATGAACCGTTGGTTCTGATTATGTCATAAAATATAGGGTGTGCCAATTTGAAATTCACGGAAATTCAACGAAGTTGCAGCTTACTTACAACTAAACGAATTTCAGGAAATTGTTTCCTCCTCCTTGGAGGAAGGAGCATGAAATTACAATGGGCATTTATTGACGATTATAGGTAAAATGACATTTACATTTGACTTCAGATTACGTCGAATTCTATAAGTTGATAAGTTATATATAAGAAAATATATTTCTACCAACTTGAGCTAAATGAATTTGTAAAAAACTGAGGGATTGAGATCTTATCGACTGATTTCTGATTATTTCATTTAACTAAAGTCCTATAATCACAATTTATATATTACGTGAGCAAATTTCATTGCTATTAAATAGTATATGAATTTGTGAAAAACAGAAATTGAGCAATCAACATATTTTTTTTTATTTTGTGTAACTAAAGTGACTTAATTGTGATTTTTTAACCGAACAATGTTATTTATATCAATTATTATATTAATAATAGATACTGTCGAGTTCCTTGTAATATAATATATTTCCACCAACTTAAGTGGAATAAAATTAGTTAAGAATAATAGTTTGAACTACCACCAGCTGCCTTATCAATATTTTGCGTAACGACAACTCGCTGACCAGCTTCAATGGCCACCTAAATGGCATCCCGAACATAAACAACCCCCTCAACTAAGACAGCAATTCCAAAGATTACGTAAAATTGAGCAACGAGATGAGCATGAAAAGCCATTACTCGATTATAACCCTTCTTTCATTTGAGCTCTTGTGATGTACTGTTTCAGGAGAAATTTATCAAAAAAAAGTTGAATGGCTGGAAGATTATGTCATATCTTCCTACCCAAACAACATTTTTCATGAATCAGCTTGTCTGTTTGACCTACAATAATTGTTCATCAATGAAGAGACCTAGATATGTGAAAACTTCACTAGCGACAAGATTTCCACAAAATTCTCATACACACGCATTGTTTCACTAACACAGTAGCTTCATCAGGTGAAATACTGGTACAATGAAATAAATGATCAAGTTTAAATTTTATTTAATATTTGAATCATTAGAAATTAACAAACTCAAAAATTGTAACATTCCACTCAACGATCAACTAGACCTCAATAGTTCATCACTGTTGAATTTGTTCTTCTTAACAGGTTATAATATATATTTGCCATCAACTCTTTCAAGTTAATCCGTTACACCGTACTTCAATGTAGATATTGAGCTTATTTTCCGAGAATTAAGGTTTATCGAACCTTACCACAGGTAATTCAGGTTGGGAATGCAGGATATATAAGCAAGCCAAGGAAAAGATCCAGGATGTTCAGTCAAATGTTGAAAATTATTTTTTTCCTCGCAGGTATAGGCGGAGTGTCATCAACCGAAGACGGCGACAACTCGCTGACCAGCTTCGAAGGCCTCCTGAACGGCATCCCGAACATAGACAACCCCCTCAACGAAGACAGCAATTCCAAAGATTACGTGAAATCGAGCAGCGAGACGAGCACGAACAAGCCGCTCCGGCTAGCCGACCTGTTGGAGAAAAAGTTCGAGAAGGGTCCGCCGCTGCTGAACGGCACGTTGGGCAAGGAGTCGAAGTCGGTGGATCTGGTGGAGAACCACATCGAGAAGGCGTTGAACAGGGACGGCGGCGGCCATGCGGGCGTCAAAGCGGTGGAGGAGGAGGAGGTGATAGAAATCAAGGAGGAGGTCATCGAGATCAAGGAGGAGGTCATCGAGATCAAGGAGGAGGTCATCGAGATCAAGGAGGAGCCGTTGGAGAAGCCGAGCTTGAAACGGTCCGCGTCGGACGATCTGATGGAGGTAGATACAGTTTGACACATTTGAGATGAAGACACACCTGTATTTCAGTGATCTTTAAGAGCAGACATTATATTTTTGGTACGGACTCAGACCATTCTAGATATTTTCATGAAATTTGACATGCACCTACTAATATGCATTTTTAGATGCAAAAGACTGTTCAATATCTCTACTAGTGGTGTACGTAAGGGGTATATCCTGGAGATTTTTTGAAAAAAATATCGTACGCCCATGATTTTTCCGAGAATTAACATCATTTTTGAAATCCTTTTTTTTTGCAACAATTTGACTTTTCGATTTTTTTCCGTCTGACGAACCGTTTCCCTGTAAAAAAATGAAAACAATTCTCATGAATTTGTGTTATAACGAAATTATTTTGAACTAGTACTATTTTGTATTCGAAATAATGACATTTGATCGAAGATGTTGCGGTCTTATTTTGACAAGTACTCATAAAAGTGAAAATTTTTTACATTTTGAAAGTTTCTTTGATCAATAAAGTGAAAATTAAATGTCAACACCCTATATTTCGAAAGTTAAGAGGCTTAGAGAACATGTTCATATAAACTTCTTTTCTTGAAATGAGCTGAGGAACCATATCCTATATTTTCAGCCATCAATTAAATAACACCCTGTATATGAAATTGATAGGTATTTGAGTGATGATTTTATTTAGAAAATAAAAAAATTGTCCACTGACCCCGGAGGTAAAATATTGAAACACAATCTCCCTTTTCTGTGAAACATTGAAACACAACCATACTTTTTTCATTTGTTTACAGAGGAATCGAAGGATTGAAATAGTTTTTCACAATAATTTGGCATTTGCATCGTGTTTTTTTGCGCTATTCATTGATTAAAGCCTTCTCATTGTGCTCTTGTACAATGCACAAAAAATGCAGCAAGTGACGAAGGAATGTGATTTTCCAGGTAAATAGTAATCTCACATAGTTTTCATTATGAAATTTTGCAATTTCTTATGAAAATTCCTTCTGCCACTTCTGCAATAGTAGCTTATACTGCTAATAATGGATTGAAAATGTCTACAACACACACGATCATATTTGAATTGATTGAATGAATCCAATCTTCTTGCATTCTTTTAGAAACTTCACGAGTATTTCTATTAGCTCCTGAAAACTATATGTGAGTGACTATAGTAGGTACTTATTTTTAAATCCTAATGTACCAACCGGATTCCTTCGTCTCTCGCTGCATTTTTTGTACATTGTTCAACAGCACAATGTGATGGCATCCGCGAATTAATGAATAGCCGAAAAACACGAATCATGTGCCAAAATAATCGTGGAAAACTTTCAATGTTTCACCTCCACGGTCGGTCATATGACAGTTCTTGCATGCAACCCATTATGCTTCCTGAAATACAAGTGACTATTCTGAAATACAATTGACGCTTTCCGAAATTGAATTGATGCTTTCTGAAATACAACTGGAAAAGTAGACCGTGGGCCCAAGATACCACAAGTGTCGATGGCATATGTTCGTATGCCCTTTCAGGGATATTCTCAGACAGCCCGGGGAAACTGGAAAAAGTGCCTTCGAGCGTTTATGACCAGTCCTTGCACCTGAAGTTTTCAGCAACCTCTCGGAGTTTTTCTCTGGCGTCTTTCTTCGCGGCGGAAATAGTTATTCGTGCCTTTTTTTTACCGAAAAAATGGTTTTTCTCTTTCTTTATAATGTTGGCACTGCCCAATTTGTATGCAACCGTTATTTGAGATATACTTTCTCTCTACTAACCGTCGTCAAAATTTTAAAATTTCTTCAATTATTATCGACTATTTATAGGTTAGTGTCAGTTGATGTTGGCATAAATCGAGATGCCCTCTCCGAAATCGTATGCAAAGGTCGGAATAGTGGTTAATGGGTCGAAAGGAGTCGTTTCACCAAAGGGCATACTTTTCTTGATTATCGCCTATCGCCAGTGAAAAATTGTAACTTCCGGTTCCCGGTTCGTATGCCTCCTTTTATCGATAAATACTAACAAAACAGAATATATGATTTTTCACCAAAAAAATGAACAAAATTTTACCTCAACCTCAAAATAAAAAATGAACTCTTAAAACAAACTGACCAAATAAAATATCTTGGTATTTGGTTTGATGACACGTTGAAGTGGGACAAACATATTGATGTTTTGACAAAAAAAATATCTCCAATTATTGGTGCATTGAGAAGATGTCCCAAACTTGATATTAAAATTGCAAACATGATTCTCTACTCTCATATACTGAGTCGTATCAACTATTGTGACCTACAAAGCGCTTAAACAGCCAAAAGTCACATTACCACAAGCGATGATCGATTTGTGGGCATTTGCGACTGCTGCAGTCGAAGACGGGGTGGTTTCGAAGAAAGATTTCAAGGTTTATTTGAAAGATTTTAAATGGGCGCCAGATAAGTTTAACCACACGCAAATACCCGAATAAGGACTTCCCTAACCTCAAAACTTACCAACAAGGTCAAGAGAAATAAATCACCATAATAAAAGACGATAAATCATTCAACTAGTTTATTGAACAAGGATTGCACTTCTCAGGAGGCCCAAGATATATTATTGTAAACAGCATCAATGTCTGGTCATACACCCGAATAATAGAAAACACAAAATCCCCTGTACAAAAAAAAAATACGAACAAAATGCAATGGTAAAACTCATGCACGGATATTCGGTGTCATAGACTGGCAAGCAATACAAACGGTCATATGTCAAAGCCGTGCAGGCGAAAATCGGGAGCGCAGAAATTAAGGATTGCATGCGATAACAGATATAGTATTTAAAAAAAAAAAGTATATATATAATACGCGTCGCTCGAGCTCAGGCGCATGCGCGGACCATACCCGTCACCAGGAGTATGAGATTAATGCCAATAATTTCCGCTTCCGAGTTATTACATGGATATGTATGAAAGAGGCAACTAGGACCTAGATGACATAATCGCTCCGTAAACAATAACCTACTAATAGCAATAATAACAACAAAAGAAATCTATAGCTATTGTGAAAGCATTTATAGTTACAGCAGAGGGCAGCAAAAAAAACTTTCATGCAGATAGGGCATAACACTGGGCATAGCAAGTAGCCATAATAGCAAATAGCAATGGTAGCAGTTAAGGCAGTAATAGCAAATAACAATTAATAGTAGGCAAAATACTGATTGCAGCAATTCAAGCAATGTTAGCAAAATAGCAATTGTAGCAGTATGTATAAAAAAAAATAGCAACAAGCAATTGTAGCAATGGAGGCAGTAATAGCAAAATAGCGATTAAGCAATAATAGTGGAATTTGTTCAAAGACTTGCGTGCTCCTATGTTTGCTTTTCCTGATTGGAACACCCTGTATGAGGTCCCACGTAGGTCAGTACTCGTCCCAGCAGCCTAGTAGTATGAGGGACCACCCTGTATATCGATAAAATATAGATGTGGATGAGGGAACATCTGGGAGCCAAGGTGAGTTAGGTCCACCCTGTAGCTTTCAATCCTACAGCTCCAAAATGTAGACTCCAAGAAAAAACCCTGAGAAAGACATGAAATTACCATCACATTCTGAATAAACTGTTTCCTCAAAACTCACTGACAGTCAACACTAGCCAATGAAAAAAAAACACAAAAAAAAATAAATATATCTGTAAATGAAAGCCCCAACAGATGAATAAACCAATCAGTCTATATTAGAAAATATTTACCCAAGAAAATATTGAATTAATGGAATATCGAAATTAATTTGATGAGGAAAAGATAATTTTGTATGCCAGTAGGCATTCTATGATGAAATTTTGCATAATTCATCAAAATAATATTTTGACAATCTCAAAGTAGAAATCGTTAAGCCCGATAAACTAAAATATCAGAGCTCCACAAAACATGTCAACACAAGATGACTATATGAATAAATAAAAAAAAGAATGCCACTTATTAAAGAAAATATAGCTATTTACATATATAAATACATGTAATACGTTTTGAATGTATCAAAACATCTTATAGAAAACAATATAAAAAGTTCTGAATGATAATAAGTTAATGATTATTATCTGAAACTGAAAATAAGGAAGTAAATCTGGGGGTTTTTTTTCTTGTATTGTAATTCACAGGAATCCTGATAATATGTCCCTTCTGGATAAGACAGCAAACACACATCTGTTTTAGTTTCGTCTGAGCTTCGTCAGTGGATTATCGCTCTTATTGCCCTATTACTTTAGGTCGAGTTTTGTCGAGCATGGGAATATGATCCTTATGGACTCTGTCAATATGGAAATACCCTGTTAATACCCTCAGCACTCACATGGAGCGATTCAATGATAACTTCACTCAACGGATACACAATGATTTATATAGAAAAGAAAACATACCTCGAGCCTGATCTCCAGAAAAAGCACCTCTACCATCTTATGGAGTTCGGACACCTGCATGTATAGTGTAACTTCAAATCCTCTATAAGAGTACAATTTTGGCCGAACCTTCAAAATATGCACACCATGCCAACAACGGAATACCAAAATTTATTATTGTGTTGCACGAAATAGCTCCCTAAAAGGATGACTTGGTAAAAGTCAAAAATATTGTGCAACAACGAAACACCATCAGTACTTGTCCGAACTACCAGAAAAGTGAGTTAACTGCCTCAACCTCCAGTGAGAGGTCGCGGTAGTCGCAACTTTGACACGGAGCACTCAGAACATCATCCATGCAATGCAACCAGAACTTACTCTGACGTCTAACAGATGGCGTCGTTTCAGGAGCCTACTACCTGAAATAAATACAATTCCAAGGGCGTTAGGGATTCCAACCAACCCGTCAACACTACCCAAGGAGCACATCGGAAGTGGGTACTCATTAGATCACCATCCAATTACGATTTATAATGTCGGAAATTTTGGTTTTAGATATGGCAACACTGTGGAAGTGGAGTTAGGAACGGTGGATGTCAACTAATCAATGTCAACTAGTCAATGCCAACCGATCTATGTCAACTGATCAGCTGATCCACTCGAGACTGTCATCGGGTCTGTGAAAGATTGACGATTGACGTGAAATTCACTGAATATGCAGGTGATAGAAGATAAACAACAAACAACAATGTTTTCTCACCAAACAATAATGAATAAAATTTGTTGACAAGGTAAGTCGTTTAGTAAGTTACTAATTAAATAATGTAATTTTAATCCACTAATACATTCGGTACACTCAAATTATTGATGTAAATAGACCAACCAAGCCCGAATTCATGTTACCCTAGTAATTCGTTCTATTTATTTTCAGCATTCGCGAGACGGCCTCCAACACATACTATCGTATCGAAGCAGGAAAGAATCGAAAAACACGTTTATCGTCGAGAATCTCCAGTGAACAGCGGTCGAGATTCCTAGCGTAACACGGTACTACAGTACGAAGTAAATATGATGCGAAGGACGACGATGTTTGGCCATTTCCTTCACGTACTTCCCTTGGACCTACTGTAGAGACGTAAAATGACGAGATGTGGAAGAATATTCATTTTCTTTCTCTCATTTGTGTTTCTTTTATCCTTTTCTGAAGCTAAGTGTAAAAATGTTGAGGAAATATACTAGGTGCTCAATAGTGTGTTATTTATTGGTCTATTTTATTTACTGAGGCTATAAAATTGCTTTACAGTTTAATTTAAACGTAACACTATTTAATAAATGTTTTGGGATCTTGTTCAAAAAATAATTTCAATAAAATATCAACATTGTATTGTATCGTCTCCCATTTGATACACCAACCAATCAATTGTTTGAAATAACAAATACGTATTCTTTAGATGAAATATATAGAATTGAAACTCTTTACATATCATATAATATCATAAATGAAAAATTTAAGTCGAATGTTATTTTGATACGGAATTCTGAAATTCATAATCATGAAACTAGACAATAATATAACTTGTTTCATCTTGACACCGCCAGCTCCATAATCGGACAAAAAAGATTCACTCATTCAGCCTCAACTGAATTCAATAAACTACCTGGCAATATAAAAAATTGCAGAAATATAGGTACATTCAAAAATGAACTGAAAAAACTGATTATTTCTGAGCGAACTGGATAAAATTAATCATGCCATTTTTTTTTACAAATATTATTGTTTGTTTGTCAATTCATAGTTGTTGATATATTTTGAATAATGATATGTTTACCTATAGGTATATAATTATGTACTTCCTTATACCAGAGCCTATTCTGTCTGAAAGTTATTTGTTCAATAAATAAATAAATATGCAAACCGGCTATCGCCCGGTTATTTTTGCAAGATACGATAATGTATCCACATGCCCGAGCTTCCTCGTTCGTCGAATGCTTAACCCTTTTTCCAACCGGAAGTAGATGTTATAGCAGGTGCAAGGACTGGTCATAGACGCTCGGAGGCACTTTTCCCTGGTTCCTTGGACTGTCCGACGAACATATATTATGCTATCGACACTTGTGGTGTCATGGGCCCACGGTCTAAAGGTGTAGTGAATACGATGAAAAAAATGATCTTTTTTCCGAAGGTCGAGCCGAAGAAACCGCTGCTGTCCACTGTGAACGGCTCCACCACCGCCGCCGCAGCCTCCACCGATCCGCCCGACTCCTCCAGCTCGAACAGCGAGGAGGGTCCTTCGACCGTCTCCACGGCCGCCGCCAAGCTGTTCGCCGACATCGCCGCCGACATCCTCGAAGACGAGGACGAGGAGCAGCTGCTGCAACAGGACGGGGGGCAGGGGCAGTACCAGCAGCCGCAGCAGCAGCCGCCCCCGCAGCAGCAGCAGATCATCGTGGATCACGGGGGGCAGCATCGGCAGATCATCGTGTCGCAGCCGCAGATGCAGGGGGGTGGGCAGGTTGTTATAACGACCGGTGAGTTTTCTGTTCCACCCTCTAATGCTCAACCTCAGTGAAATTAATATTATAATACCAAATTTTACCGTTTTTTCCACAATTCCTATATGTTCAACTAAGACCTATGCATTTTTTAATTTTTTTTCTGTTGGAAAAATGAAATTTTCGAAATTTTGGACGCTAAATTACTGTCAGGAATAAATTGTATAAAAAATCACATCTTCTCACATATAAGGCAACAAAGCTTTTTCAAGCAGGAGATATAGAAAATTTATGCTTCTTCTTCTTCTTCTTCTTCTCCTCTGCACAGGTGGGCGGGTGCGTAGACCCCTGCACTCAGGCCTCTTCAGTCGGGCCCATTATGCGCCCTGTGAATCAGCTGGGCATGCCGATTTCTTTGACGAAATTCAGCAGCTTCCTCAGATGAGTCACTTTCACATCCTTTGGGTGCAGTACAATGCTCCCAAAGGCAGCTTTCCTCTGATGCACCAGCGCGGGGCATTCATTGAGTATGTGTGGTGATGTTTCATCATCCTCCAAGCACCATCTGCAGATGGGATCATCTTTGATCCTTATGAGTTCTAGGTGCCTGTTGAGGTGGTTGTGCCCAGTTAAGAGCCCAACTACCATCTTGAGATCCCTTCTATTAAGTGACAGGATCTCTCTCGTGAGCCTTTTTGAAGGTTCCTTTATATGGAGCTTTGATTGTCTCATTCCTGGTGTGTCCCGCCATGTTTCAAGGAACTGCCTCTGTAGCATTTCCTTCATGAAGGACATAGCCGTACTATTGGGTATTCCCAGTATCGGTTCTGGTCCAATGGGTGCCGTTCCTGAACCGATCTTGGCTAGTATGTCTGCCTCCTCGTTCCCCGGGATACCAGAGTGTCCTGGAACCCACTTGAGGCTGACTTTCCTAATTTTTGCCATATTTTCGAAGGCACTTCTACACTCGGACACCAATTTAGTTGTGATCCTATTGGATCTCAATGTAATAATAGCAGCTTTGCTGTCCGAGCATATGGTGACTGGTCCACGTCCACTTCTGCCGACATTTTCTTGGACACACGTCAGAATTGCAAACACTTCGGCCTGGAACACTGAAGCGTATTTTCCAAGAGGTACTGAGATTGCTTTCCCTGTTCCTCCTTTATGCTATATTTGAATGTATTTCATGAAACAACTTTTGTGCAAGGGGACGAGGATCGGCGGGAAAGGATGGTCGGTGTTCGAGATCGAGTTGGGAATGAAGAATCGAAATTCAAAATTTCAATTAAAGGGCTTAATGTGGAACAATGACAAGCCTCTTGAAAGGTGAAAATGAGATATTTGACGTTGAATGTAGTAAACAATATATAAAATCCGGTAAAATCTTCAATGGTGGAACTGATGGAGTTTTTCCTTTGGAATTTAGAAAAAACATTGATGATGGTTAAAAATAGGTCGAAACACACATAATCCACCTTGTATAATACATGGTTGAATTCAGAATGAAAAAACCTTTGAGAATCTGTGAAAAAATTATCAGGACCGTATTTAAAAAACAAAAGTTGAACGAATACGAAACGTCGCATAGAAAAATTGGTATCACCACGTTAAACGTCATCAGAAGTTGCTATGGAAAAGTATTTTCAGATTTTCTGTATCTTTAATAATAACGGAGAAAAAAAAATGGATATTCCAAAAATTCACTTTTTTCGATATAACTCAAAAACTAGAAATGATTTTGAAAATGTTCGATGGCTATTGATATGAGCCTCCGAATGCGCAACTTTTTCCCCATTTAACCGACTTCGTATCTCCTACCGTTTCCGAGATCCCCATGCTGTTCAACCTTATCTTGGACAGACTGTATAAGAAATGTGACAAGCCACATTTGGGAAAAACATACATACTACTGTATTTTCATCACTTGAGTCACTTCTAGATTGTACTACAGCTTCCTCTCGTATCGACCATTTTGTGTGACTTGTCATTATGTAGGGTAGTAACTAGAGAAAATAATAATTTTGTAGTAGCTTGTTATACTAATGCTTCAACCGAGAAAAGCACAACTCATTTTCAAGTTATGTGGCTTGTCATCGTTTCACAAAGTTATTCATGAAAATAATGTGTTTTATTCTTCAAGATCAGTAACCCCTAACAAATCGCGATAGACATATTTTCTATATAAATTACTAACATTAATTTGGCTCACTCTATCAGCCCTATCATTTACGACATGTTTACCCTGTATAATAGAAAATTTTTACTTTTTAAATATCTTGTACCTTCGATAACAATATTTATCAAGGAATTGGTAACAATTTAGGAATTGCAGCAATGAATTACAAATAAACGTTGATATCAGTATTACCACCATTATTATCATATCCTCAATAGGCACGCCGATGAAAACGCAAATGGGCCAAACGGTGATCGTCCAAAACTCCTCCACCGCCCAACAACGCCCGGTGATGCTTCAACAGGCCAACGCCGGCCAATTCCTCCTCTCGCAAGGCCCCCAGGGCCAGATGCAGCTGGTGGCCAGCTCGCAACCGGGCCAGTACGTGCTGCAAACGGGTCCCGGCGGGCAGAACGCGGGCCAGTACGTGCTGCAGACGGGGCCCGGCGGGCAGAACGCGGGCCAGTACGTGCTGCAGACGGGCAGCCACGGCGGGCAGAACGCCTACATGGTGGCGCAGCCGCAGACGGCGGTGGTGCACGGGCAGCAGCAGACTGTGCTGGTGGCGCAGACGCAGCAAGGGGGGGCGCCCGGGAAGACGATCATTATCTTGCAGCAGCAGACGGGCGGGCAGGCGACGCATCATCAGAAGGTGGTGGTGACGCCGCAGGGGCAGCAAATGGTGAGTAATTTGGGCTGAATAACGATTCATTGATGAATCTTTGAAAAGTATTCGCCAACAATCCTAAACGCCTAAGATTATTATTATTATTATAATTATATGGGAAGGGCAGAGGTTTTCACCTATTTTGCCCAAAACTTGAGAACATTGTGAACACAGTCAAAAATTTCACATAAAACAAACATGACCTCTCAGAATGAAGCCAACTACCCTTTGCCATGATATCACATTGTCTTCAATCAAAGGAAAGTTATTCTTGAATTTTCTCAGAAGATTTCTGAAGTTGGTGACAGAAGATTTAATAAGTACAGTCGTATTCAGAAAAAAAGCGTACAAGTATATTACCGTATATTACAGAGAGAAATTAACGTCATTCTATTTGCGTAAAATGGGCTATCGGGAATGATTGTTTACCAAATTTTGACAGTAAAGTTGTCATAGGTTCTCAAAAACACAAAGCATTGGCTGAGCCAGTTTCACACAACTATAAATAAAATGACAAAAACCTCTCTTTTTAAAACTTTTACGCTTTTTTATTGAATACGACTGTACATCGTTTTCAAATTAGGGATTTATATCGTACTTGGGACACTTTAACAGAAATGGAAACTTCTTAGCGCAAATAATAGAAATTACTACAGGAATGTGTGAGTAATGAGGGTTAACATATTCATTATCGCCAGTTGGCGTTACTAAAACGTGAGGTCAATGTCGAAGTCGAAAATCCTAGAATTTTACCGGATAGTCCGAAGGCTGTGGCCTGTTTTATCGAAAATATTAAAAAAAAAGAAATGTAGAATATTTTAACAAATAGAAAACCTCAAGTTTTGGAAAGACCTGGACAGACTCACGTTCTTTTCACTTTCAAAGTGGAACGACCAATCAGCAGTATTATAATGTTTAGCCTGTTAGGATAATGTTTATTTGATATATGTAAGAATAGCATTAGTTCACTGTGATAATTTGAAACACCAGCTTGATAACTTTAACTATAACATATGGGTATAACATAAGTATTGTCTCAGAAGTCTGTAATTTGTACATGCTGCGGCTAATAAATTATTATGAAATTATTATTATGAATTCTCCTACATTGACTGAGAAGAAGTTATCGTAGGAAGAGGACAAATGACACGAAAAGAAGTATATTCATCAGTTCTACCAACTCTGACCTCACGTTCCAGTGAAGCGATGTGGTGGACAATAAAATAATGCTCGCCCTCATTTCCTTGAATTGAATTGCTCAAAATTGTACCTCTTACTCACTTCTGTCGTCACGCTATAAGCATATTACTTGACTGAGCTTTTTAAAATCCGGCTCGAAGGACCATTATAATTTGTTGACTGTATTAGTTGTATTTCTAATGTGAATTTTATATAGTTGAGTTACCTTGAATAGATACTTCAAGGATATAGGAGATTGAAGTAACTTGGATTGATTGACAGTTCGTGTCTAATCATTTTTTTTTTCATCTAAATGACATCGATATCTTCAAGAGAGTGTTAGCAAGATATAATGAGTAAAAACTAATCCTTCTGGAGCAGGTGGTAACCCAAGTTCCTAGGCCGATCGTGCACACCTCCTCCGTGTCGAACAGCGTGACGACCTTGGGGAAAACCGTCAAAACGATGTCGGCCTCCGCCACAAACGGCGTCGGCGAGTCGAAGCACGATGAGGCGGCGGCAAAGTTCAAGGTCGTCAGAGACTTGACGACGGCGTACGTGTGCGAGTGGGGGGATTGCCTCACGTAAGTAGTAGCTCGATTTTTTTCCATGAATTTTAGGAATGGAAATGTTGTGTTGATGAAATTGAAACTATACAGGGTGGGTCACGGTCGATGGTAGTCTATGAGTGTCATTTTGTTGAAACATTCAGTATAATAGTAGGTATCATACATACAATATTACAGAATATGAAAGCAAATTTTCCTAATTTCAATAGACTGATGATTAGCTCATTTTCTGTTATGAGTAATGATTGCTGATTTGGATACTATGAATGAATTGAAGTGAATAGAAAAAATGAGTCAGTATCATTATAAATACGGGGTGTCAAAGCTCGCATACATTTTTGTTTTTATTTTTCATCTCAGTTGAAACAAAACCTACCGATTTGCAATTTGGTGATCACTTTTTTATCGGCAATAAGGGGACTTAGCTACACTGGGTTTTATTATTTTTCGACCCCTCTGACATGGAACCCATCAGATTTCTTATTGGCTCGTTGAAGTGGATTGAACCTAATGAAACATCTTTATATTTTCTTCACTTCACTTTGTGTTTTTCATTTGTTTCAATATTTTTTCCAGTTCCCGAGTTATTGAGCAAACCATATCAGGCGCATCCTCGGCCTCATAATACTCGATTGGTATCATTAAACAATGTTATCATGGTGTGCTTTGGACATTGTTGAATATTGAAAATAATCTATAAAAATAACATAATTTCAAATAATAAGGGAACTACGAGGGGTAGACAACTCCAGCGAAATGTGTACACCATAATCAATACTCAATTAATCAACTATTCTAAACCTATAATCGAATACTAAAAATTGAATGAACAACATCTCAAATGTAATCAACAAGTCTCAAATGCAGTCCGTTCCAAATGTAATCAAATTGTCTCAGAAGTAATCAAATTGTCTCAGAAGTAATCAAATCGTCTCAAATGTAATCAAATAGTCTCAATTGTAATGAATATCATCTCAAATTTAATCAAAATGTCTCAAAAAGTCTCAAATGCCTCAAAATGTCTCAAAAAGTACTCAACATGATCAAATACTCAAGGATCTCAAGAAGTCTGTAAATTACTCAAATTTAATCAACAGACACTCACTTATCCAGTGTAAACCAGTCTCAACGAGTTGTCTACCCCTCGGGGAACTAAGAATGATTTCATAACAAATGAGGTACTGCTAGCAAGGTGAATAAATGATTTTTTATCAGCCGTAATTTACAATTAGCGTCCCACCGGAAAAAATCTGTTTGGTTCCATATCAGTGGATATGAAAAACAAACACCCAGTGTAGCTTATTGATCAGAACTGTTTATATTGCCGATAGAAAAGTGCTCACCAAATTTGGAAAAAAAAACAAAAATGTATGCGCTTATATACTATAAACAAGTTTCTCCACGACAAAACAAAAAAATACGTCTATGAATAGATGAATCGAATTGAATTGATAACATCTCCTAATTTACAGTTGCAACTGTAAATTATAGTCTCACAGTCTCAGCGCATCGCGTGCTATGGAAGAATTTAAGCTGCCTATGTCTGGCAGTCTGGTGAGAAATTGTGAGAACTGAGACTGTAAGACTCTAATTTACAGTTGCAATTGTGAATTTGGCAAATGTTCGTGAAAAAATTTTTTTTTGGATGGCACCTTTGTTACCTGTACCCTGCCGAAGGCGCCATGACCAAAACTTCATAGGTTCCCATCGTTCTCACCAGTGTTGGCAGCATGCGCTGAGAAACTTTCAGCTTTTATAAAATAACGAAGGTCTGGCGTTCATGGAATCTTGCTCTATTAGTTACGTTAAAAAAGCTATGGTAGAAAAATGTTCCGCAAAGAGAAGTTGAACTACAGAAACAACATTTTTTTAAATGAAGAAATGTTAAATTAGAATGAATGTCGAGAGAGAAAAAGGTTTTTTATATCAGCTGGTACAAATTGTATGTTTATGTTGATCCGTTGAAAACGGAGTTTTGAAGAGTATATTTTCCAGGGAGAAAAAGTTCAGGTCGGCTAACGAAGTGTTCATGCACGCCTGTGCTACCCATTGTCCGTCAGGCAGCGAAGAAATCACATGTCAGTGGGACAGGTGCGACAACATGAAGAGGAAACGGTTCTCCCTGATGACGCATCTGCAAGACAAACATTGCACCACGGAGGTACGTTTTCTTCTATGTATTGAACAAAATTCTCCTACTAATAAATTTAACACCACTGCTTTGTCGAACTATTTTCCGGAGTTCATATGTGTGTCTTGATCAAGTTCCCAATGTCTGTGTTGTAATAATAGTGGTTAAAAATGTCCTGCCATACTTGATTTTTCAAATACTTCAGATTTATATTATTATTTGTATGTATGGCAATTCATGCTTCATGAGATAACAGGTTTTAGGCAATCGATCCTACTTATGCTATATGTTCCTTGAATCTAGTTTGAGTTGGTCTCTTAGTTTGACCTACATACGTTCAGCGGCAAAACGCGTAACATGATGGTCATAAAGAATTCGACAGATCATCAAATAGTATATATGTTTTCATCTATGGAAAATGAATTCTTCAGGTGGAAAGTTAATTCTTCGATGTGATAAAAGCAGGTCAAAAAATGCTGGATCAAAGAGGGACAAAACAGAATACCACAATAGTTCATTGAATGAACGAAAATATTCCTAGTTGAAAAAACGCCAATCGGGCAGCCAGTCACCTCCATTTCATCAGTTATGGGAATGTCAGTCTTGGAGTGATTCTTTCCTTCTGCCCTAGACAGAGTTGTGTCTTTTGCAGTGATATAATGCCTCGTGTGTATAAAATGCTGAGAGGTGTTTTCGTTGGGTCAGGTTCGCACCAGATAGCGGTCATGAATGCTATCTGGAGACAACCTTGCAGTGATGAGAGCCAATAAAGCTCAAAACCGGTCTGTAGGTAGTGAAGGGTTCCTGAACAATTCAAGCACAACAACATATTCTGCGTGGCATACTCAGAATTATACACTCACCTAGAATGCCAATGCATACGGATGCGCGAAAACAAAATTATACACTACAGATAGGTCAGAGTTTGCGCATTGCGACAGCATCGACGCCAAATTTAAAATGTTCTATGTCATCGAGGGAAGTATTATGGAGATAATGAAGTGACAGGACAGTTATCAAGAATAGTGACCTTTTATAACCTGCCAACAGAGATGAAATGCCAAACTTTTTTCCCGTCACAGAAAAAAATATAAAACTATATGATTCAGTGACTATTTTACTGGAAAATTTCAGAGAACAAACAGTTCAATATGCACTTGGCAATGGTGTTTAAAAAGAAGAGTGATGTTATAGCTGTCGAATGGAGTGCACAGGTCTGGCTCTGGTCACATCCACAGTACACACAAGTTCACTGAATTTTATATTATAGGAATTACGCATTTCTGTATGAATCCAAGAAATTGAACGTCTTTATGTTGATAAAAGAATGAAAACAGAATTTTGGAGGTCGGCTCTGACCTCATTCCAATAATGCTTTTGCACCTTTTTCTTTCGAAAATAATACTGCTGTCTTTAGGTGTAAAATATTCTCAGAACTCCATTTATTTTTTTTTATATTATTATAATTTCACTAGTAAAATGACGAAATATGTTGCAATTGATATAAGCAAATAAAATATTTAGTCATGCTTTAGGCAACATGCCTCAAAAATGTTAGATGTTCCTTGAATCTAGTTCTAGCGTTTCTCCAAGTTTGACCTACATATGTTTTGCGGCGAAACGAGTGTTTATTGACTGTGAGATCGATTTAACTGAATTTGTTGTCTGTTCCACAGGCCATGAAGCAAAGTTTGGCGCGACGGAAAAAGGCAGCTCAGGGGGCGAAGGTCGAAACGCCTGCGCCCTCGACGTCGAATTCGCATCCTGGTTATGCGCCGGATGCGGCGTTGCACGCCATCAAGAGGCACGCTCTCGAATTCGTCAATCCCAAAGAACTCCAAGTGAGTGAAAGAATGTTCGTTGCTGATGATAATACACTCTTACCTATAAAAAAATATTAATTGTTGCCTTCTAAGTCCGTATGATATGGGAATTCTCTAGTTTCCCCAAGTTGAGAGCTTAAAAAAATGCATACAGCTATTTTTCACAAAACTGGTCATCATTATACCAGTGCCTTTGAAAACGGTAAAAAGTGAAAAAAATTATGGTAGGATGAAGAGCCCATTGGAAATAAAAGAGAATGTTACAAAGATGGAAGGGAAAATACATTGAGGACGATAAGTGGTCGGAAGTGATAGGGGGGGAGGTTTCAAGGGTGAAAAACGGTTTATCTCGATTCCCGGCAAAACTACAAGGCCTATGGAAAAAAGTTGAAAGGCAAAGTTGTAGGTTATAAAAATATCTCTAACTTTTATCTTCACATATCCTCAAAGTTTATGTGAAAAATTAAAAAAATCAAGTTATTGTTTTTTTTTTTAATTTTATTCTCATGCAAAAAAAATCCATGAAATATGATGAAAACTTACCTCTTTATGTCCCAAATACACTGTAATTTTTTTGATTTGAAATATTCATTTCTTCATCTCATTTGGTCTTGAAAAAAAGCACCCTAATTTTCAATCGAGAATTTTCGCGTCAAACTATCTGCTTTTTCTAAGAAGTTGATGGGCTTTTCATTCCTTGAAATCTCTACTTTCTGATGATGTGTAAATGTTTTCAGAAAATACAAAGAAACCAAAAAAGCAGCAGCCACATTTTTTAGATGAAATCCCCTTCATTATTCAGACCAACTATTTTCGCATTTTTAATGTAATCTTAATGGATTTGACATTTCTTTGTTCATTAATGTAACATGGAAATCTTAATTTTTTCGAGTAATTGATGGTAATTCTAATAAATAGCTCAAAATTCTCCATGATGATTGAAAAAAATTCGGATTCAAGTTTCGTTTCTTTGCATTTTTGGAGAACATTTACCCTAGTAATGTATAAATCTTTCCCACCATCAGATAGTAGAGATTTCAATATAAAAAGAGTCCGGCGACTTTTTGAAAAATCAGATATTTTGCTTGAAAATTAGGGTGTTTTCTCGATATTAAGTCAAAATGAGGTGAAGAAAAGAATATTTCAAATCGAAAAAATTACTGTGTATAGTAAGTTTCCACCAAATTTCGTGATAAAAAATGTCTTTGTGAAAGATGAAAAACCAAAAACTTGGTTATTTGAACTTTTCTCATAAATTGTGAGGTTATGTGAAAAAAGTGATAGATATTGTCATTACCTGCAACTTCTTAATTCAACTTTTTTCCATAGGACTTGTAGTTCTGCTAGGAATTCAGATAAACCGTTTTCACCCTTACAAGCTCATCCCTTCCACTTTTCGACCTCAGATCAGCCGTATTCTAATTTTTCTTTAATTTTTGTTTTAATCTCTTCCTTTTTCAATGGCTTTCATTCTACTTTTTTTTGTTTCAAAAATTATCATCGACCCTGGTCTAAATTCAAAACGAAAATTTTCGATAGAATTTGAATCATAATAATTTCCGATTTCCTCAACGGATTTCTTATTTCTTTCCAGTTCCAGAATGCTCATTTCATTGGTTATCGATCCTGTTTGAGTAAGTTGTTGCAGCTCACTCACCTCAAAATATTATATTACAGGATGATACATCATACAGTGTAATATTCTAAAATTTTCAAAGAGCTCTCGTTGGGGCAGACAATTTTTGTAAATTTTGCTGTGTACTTGAAATGGTTATGGGATTTCCAAAATTGTCATGTCCCTGATTTATGAATGAATCATATTTTATTTTGATAACTAATGAAACAAGCATTCTGAAACTGAAGACGAGTTGGAAAAATAAAGTTATGATGATTCAAATCAAATTTTTTGTTAGTCGCAAACAATCGGCTTTACCTGTACCTTATGGTCCTCAAAAATCCAAGAAATCATTTATTTCTAAATGTTTTAACAATAATTGAGGCTTTTTAAGCAGGTTGAATAATATTCTTCATATTAAGCTAAGTATATTACTTATTTTAGAACAATATTTTTGACGTTTGTAGAAAAATTTTTGTTCGCAACTTTTGCGCGAAATACTTTGGGGATCTCGATTATTTTTTTAACAAGGTGCAGCCGAGTTGAAACAAGCAGTCCTTGATAACCAAAGTAGGATTTCGCGCACTAGATACAATAATTCATCAAATTTCCATCAACTATACAATAGGTCGCGTGCACGATGACCGACCCTGGAGGTAAAATATTGAAGCATAACCTCACTTTCCTGTGAAACATTAAAGCGCAACCTCATTTTTTATATTTGTTTACAGAGGAATCAAAGGATTGAAATAGTTTTTCATAATATTTTGGCATACGAATCGTGTTTTTTGCGCTATTCACTAATTTCAAGCATGCCTTCGCATTGTGCGTTTGTACAATGCAAAAAAATTAAGCAAGAGACGAAGGAATATGATTTTTCAGGTAAATAGTATTCTCACATAGTTTTCATTATGAAATTTTGTCATTTCTTATTAAAATTAAAATATCGAAAATGTTTAGAACACACATGATCATATTTCGTCAGCATGTCAGACCAGCCCTTCCGTTTGATTGCATGAATCCAATCTTCTTGCATTATTTCAGAAATTTCACGGTTTTTTTTATTAGTTCCTATTGCAGAAGGAATACCGATGAGACATCAGAGTAATTACCAAATTTTGAAAATGAAAACTATATGTGAGTGACGACAGTAGGTACTTACTTTTAAATCATAATGTACCTACTGGATTCTTTCGTCTCCCGCTGCATTTGTTGTGCATTGTACACCAGCACAATGTGATGGCATGCGCGATTTGATTAACAGCCAAAAAACACGATTCGTATGCCAAAATAATTGTGAAAAACTATTTCAATCACTTGTAAACAAATAAGAAAAGTGAGGTTGTGTTTCAATGTTTCACCTCCGGGGTCGATCATCTGACAGTTCTTGCACGCAACCTATGGAAAAATACGGCGACACTCTAGTATTACAAATATCCATTTAACACAAAGTGCAAAATAAAAAAGAAGTATCTCTTGTTCAAGGAGAATACTCTTTCTCGTAAAAAAAATAACAAAGTAGTCATTTTATTGGATTCCTTATGATCGGAGTTAATAATTGAAATTGTCTTCCAAGATGAAAACGGCAAAGGCAGGCAGTATCGGTTTGGCGGCGATAGCGCTTCGCCCTGGTCCTTCACCTGCGACTGACCAGGTGAGGTGCCATTTGACAGTGAGTTTCGCGTTTGGTCTTGTTTGTTGTTATGGAAATGCCTGCATTTTTTTGATTAGTAATTTTTAGATGTTGATTGTTTTCCCTCAAGTTTTGTTGCACATTAGTGACATTGGTATGGTATCGTTTGATGTGTTAATTTTTTTTTTCAGTTTCAGAAAATATTTGCATGTCTGCGCTTTATTGCATTTTTTCTGTGCATTCACTTTGAAATATTGATATGTTAGTTAGACTTGAAATGTGATTATGATTGCTTCCACTTGATTGACTATGAATAATTAGTGAATTTGAAACCAATGTAGAGATTCACTACTATACTGTTTTCATCATTGAGCAAACCCATTTTTATATTATAATTCTTCAAATATTTTTCGAATCAAGGTTTTACTGGCGACCGAACTTTTTTAGGTTTCTAATAGTGAAATTTTAAGCACAATGACATGTTGAGGCAAATCATCTGATATGTCCTTTCTACAAGTGTATTAAAAAACTGCCTATAATTATTTTATTGATTGAAAGGAGGAGAGAAGATTCTAAAAACTCAGAGAAATATAGAAATAATCATTCAAACAAGTTTCATTTTGCATGATAGCATTTATAGTGACTGTTCCACTCCAATACGAATAAGAATCGACCATTTTCACGGTATTTCTTGTATTACAGCGATGCTTTTTGTTAACTAAAAATTATTATATTCAACCAACCAACCAACCTCGTTTCTAAGCGATAAAACTTTTGATGTTTATAACGTATCTAATTTTGATGTCACGGATTTCTATATCATTTAAGAAAAAGTCGCTATGATAAAGTGTCATTCATTTCTATTAATTCAAATAAAAATAACTTGAAAAAAAGAATGAAAAGGGTTTTGGAAAATATCATCTCCCGAAAATAATTGAAATTCTCCAAGTTTCAAAACGGCATACATTTGCTCATCTTTGCCATAATTCAACGGACACTGAATCTCTTACTTTTTACGAGATCCCAATGATGAGGCGCGAATTCCAGCCACCCTGTTCTTTATAATATTAGAAATAGACTGTAGTTGTAATAGTTTGCGTATTTTATTTTGTTTGAAGAGTTTTAACAAATCCTCCTCCGTTTTAGCTTTAATCAGCAAGAATAGTTTGCCTACCGAGCTTAAAACTCTCTCAGAAATTACCTGTAATTATCTTTTTCCAGGATGACAACGAGGGTCCTGTTACAAAAAGTATTCGTCTTACGGCATCTCTAATATTGAGGAATCTCGTTATATACAGCAGTCATTGTAAGAGGTAAGAATTCTCTGTTAGTACCCCACATTCATATCTTCTTTGTTTTATTGTACATTACTCTGACATCATCATCCATGTGATTCCATTGCTCAATTTTTTTCCATAAAATAATTGTATCTACTCACTACTGACTGAATCGAAAGTATACGTTTGCTCCCACATTTTAAGGAAACAAATTTGTCAATGTCCTTCCCAAGGGAGGAAAAAAAGAATACCTCTAAATTGGTATCAGCATGCACCCTTTTGCGTCAATATACCTATATAATCTGTGCAATCCAAGTAATCATTGTGTTCATCACTATTATGAAACAAAAAACCGTGAGCTAAAATCTAATATTTTTCCCGTGTATAATACACTATTTTTTTCTGTGACAGAAGAAAGGACGAATCAATATTGAGAAGATATTACATTATTTTAAAATCTGAAAATTATCGACGTGAAATTTTAAGTTTTTAACAGTATTATAGGGACACCTGCGTTGTAGGCCTTCATCGTTCTTTTGAAGTAATCAAATATCTGATGTCACTTCTGTCAGCCTAATTCTGTGATTTGATTTCCAAAAATTGCGAATTTAGTGGTTGTTTAGTAATATATGTAACCGCGAAGTCGAATGGAAAATAAAAGGACTTGCAGTTCTTTCTCGGAGACGGTATTATTGACTCATTTTTCGGAACTATAGCACAACAAAAACCATCAACAGTGTAAATATATGTGGAAAAAATCCGGGAAAAAAGTTCTCACTTTTTTCCCACGAGAAAAGAGTAATTTATGAAAAGTGACATTTTAGAACCTGCCAATAGAGATGAAATGCCAAACTTTTTTCCCCGTCACAGAAAAAAATAACTAATAACTGGCAAAAAACTAGATCTCATAACTAACAGTAGGATGAAAACGACTGTTTCGGGCCACACGGTCTCATCAGTCGAACTCGGTGCGCTGTTACTATATTGCCTTTATAGAAGCCAAATATCTAATATACTCAGTTCTTTCTGATGACGGATTTTAATACGTGAAACAGTGCCAAAAACCAGTAAAACAATTTTTATCACTGCTACTGGAAGGTACATTTCCAAATGTGGTAGACTATGCTAATAAAAAACAAAATATCAATTCTTCATGACTGCAGTTTATCAAAACTTCCTCATAGCCATGGCAAATCTCTAAAAATGATGAAGATTTTAGGTCATTTCATTGTTGTTACCGCAACATTTCAAATTTCGTTCTTAGATATCGACGGAGAATATACTCAAAATCAAAGAATTTCAAAATTTTCCAGGGACGCCTCTAATATTTTTTGTTGTTTTTTGTTTTTTTATGTCCATTATATTTTTATCAACGAATGTTTGGTTTCTGTTTGTATTTGAGAAAAACTGATAGGTTGTATTATTGATTGAAAAATTGGTGAGCGAAAAAAACGACTAGAGAAATGGAGAAAGGGGCCGCAGGGACCCCAAGAATTATTAAGCTTAGGGCCCCAAAAATCATAGATCCGCCGCTGCTTTGAGTATTTGGTTTTTTCCTAGTTGACTTTATTACTATTTTATCTTTGAAATTGCAGGTACTTAAAGTCGTACGAGTCCCATTTGGCGAACGTGGCGCTGAGCAATGTAGAGTCGTCTCGAACGATAGCACAAGTATTGTACGACATGAATGACGGAACAACTCACAGGTGACCTAATCGCAAAAGTGGGTTGGACGCCGAGTGAGATGTGAAATTGTGAATAGAAAGTTGAGAAAAAAAAACTTGTAAATTATTTAAGTGAATGTGTACAAAGTGTTAGTTCCGTAGGTTTTATTAAGAGCCTAATTGTTATTTTTATATTATTTACTAGTGTAAAGAAGCTTGTGAATTTGACACGAGAAAGACATTATTATCCTGAATGAACACAAAACAGTTTTGTATCTGTGCAATTTTTTGTTGGCTATACTCTTAGCTATCCTGTAAATAATTACAACTTGTATTGTGGATGAATTTTAACTGTCCATCGTACATGTGATATAGAGAGAAGCACATTATTTTTATTTATCATTTTTATCAGTATTATCTGAAGATGTATTGATGCTTTTATTTCTTCAGTGAGGTACCGAATCTCTAGTTGACTGAATTTTCGTGTGTATGTAAAAACATGAGTACCCATCTCCTATGTTTTCATGTGCTTATATCCATCTTTTCATACCAGTAAAACCTGTTAAACATAACAATAATATGGAAGAAAATAAACTGCATTTAATGTGTGTCTATTTTTACTGGGGTTATTATTTTTTTTCATTGAGGAATGTATCCTATGTACAACTATCAACTCAACTAGAAGTTGATATCAGTGGCGGCTCCTCAGAGGCGGCTGAGCCCGAATAGCACGTGTTTGTCGTGTCGCGAATTGCGGACAATCCAGCGCGAGTGCATTGTTTATGTTTATGTTAGGTTAATGGTTAGGAAAATTTCTGAAAAATGAATGTTTTAAACGATTGCGATTTAGTGGAATAATTTTTGGTGAACCCATTCAGTGCTTTGTCTTATGAAGATAAATTGATTGTGAAAAATAAACGTCCGACACCGGAATTGAAAAATCTGATTGTAAACAGGTAACAAACAAAATCGTTGGTTCAATTCTGATAATTATAAAAAATATATCTGGTTGACGGAATCTAAGGTAGGGAATAAGCTATTTTGTTCGTACTGCGTATTATTTTCAACCGATAAGGGTTTATACTTTTTTTTTTGTTTCTTGTTCTTATTATTTTCTTCCTACTCGCTTTTGGGATCTATCATGTGATTATTTACTTTTTCACCACTGCATCAATTCGGTGGTATATCTGTATTAGTCATAAGTTTTTGCTGCCTCCAACTGTATGAACTCCTTGTTATGAAACTACGTGTTTCTGTAAACAATAAAGATTCTATTCTATTCTATTCTATTCTTTTCAACCGATAAGTCGTCATGTTGGGGGCGATTAGGATATAATGATTTGAAAAATTTGCCTCGCGGATTGGATGGACACCTCAAATCACAGGAACACATCTCTTCAAGTATTAAGTTCAGGTTAACTGGTAAACAGAATGTCAATAAAGCTATTGATTTGGGTGAGTAGAGAGTTGTTTTTCACAATAAATCTCATATCATTCAGCCTCCTCTGTCATGAAAGTCAATGTTTACTTCGTTTTCATTGGTTCACATTCGTTTTTTGTTTGTGGTTACCTAATGGTTATATCATCAAAGCAAACCGCTCAGCAGTGTTCTAATGGCTGCCGTCAGGTGGGGCGAGGTGTTATTTTCTATTGGGAATAAGTTGAAACCATTATAATTCATTTAAAAAAAGTTATTCTCCATAAAAACAGTCAGCAAATGTGAATTGTCGTCAAGAGTAAAGTAAGTACCTTCATATTTGACACAACTGAAAAATGAGATGTTTATACTGAATGAAAACGTTTGATATCTGATGTTTGTATTTCAAATTGCAGAACTTTCTATGAATAATATTTTCTTCCTAAAATGAATTATAAGTTCCAAATGGTTCCAACTTGGCGAGACATACTGAATGAATTTGCTCACGAAAAAACCCAGTATACATTTTCATCATGATAATGGATTTATAAAATCAACTGAAACAATACTTAACAATTAAATTGAAAATCCAAGAAGTTGATTTGTTGAATGATCCTAATAGACCAAATAAATGAATCTATCGTGGATGAAGAACAAGAAATCTTCAATCTTACAAAAATAAAATGATGTTCCAACTTGTGGAATATTATGATACACGATAAGTTCTGTGGGTAACTTATCTCTGACGATAATGTTGATGCAATCAGTTTCCTGGAAAACATGCGGAATAAATGTACCACAAGATCTAGAGATTTGTTTAAATATTCTGATTTTCATATTACTTTTGTGAGGATGAAACATGGACTAGAGGTTATGGTTATGAAGACAAATCCGAGAAGAGGGACTGACGTTTCGTGGACTGTTCACAGAACTCAAATTTATGGGTTTCAAATGTTCTGTGTCATCTGTTTCTGACGTTTTATGTTCAAAGGATTTGAGGTTAGGTCACTCACTGTACGGTGAAGGTGTAAAGTTGGAGGTGTATTGGAGATACATAAAGATTGAATATTAGGTAAATTAGAAGAAATCACCATTCAATTAAAATGAGTATTGACATTTCAAATTATAATAGAGAAGCCGATCTCATGGTAAGCAAAATTTTCATATTAATAAGGTATTAGGTACCCTGTCTGTCCTGCTGTCTTTTGAATGTCTGGCAGGCTGGGGAATTTAGTATAAAGATATCAAATTCTGAAAAAAAACAATCATATTCAAGTAATGTAGGTAAGGAAATACTTGATATATTCATTTCCAATGGTAAGTTTAGTTTCTACTCTTTTTAAAAATTATACTCATACTAGTTTGAGAAACAGATGGTGATCTTTCAATCATGTAGATCTGCTGCAATAACTAATTATTTGAGATACCAGACCTGTGTCTCTGGGATATATAAGTGATGATTCAAGTCAAACAACTACAAATTATGACCTCCATAAAGTTCAGTGTTCCATTCAATATCACTTGGTATTGTCAGACAAAAATCAAAACTGATATTGTTTCAGCAAGATGAAATTCACTTACTGAAAAAGTCACTAGTTGAGTTGAAGAACAATATTGATAATCACCAATCAATACCTAATGATGATTCTGCATCAGCATTGAACAAATTGGTTGTAGAGAACACAAAACTGAAACATCGTCTTGCTGTACTCAATAGGGTAAGTAATTACTTCAGTCTTTCAAATCATTTAGCAGTATTATTCTGGTAGGTACAGACCTTTGTACAGTCTTCCATACCTCTGAATGCACATATAAATGATGAAATAGTAAAGAGTGATATTGACTGAAAAAGGATAATCAACATAGAACTCTTTTTTTTAAATAAATATTGAAGGAAAATAAGACAAAAAGATTACTCAGGTATTCTAACAAGTTCAAAGCTGATATTTTATTCACTGCAATTATTCATTAAAATTATGAAAGAAATAATGTGTTGAGAGGAGCATTTTGGTCAATTATTAATAAAATCAAATTATTTTTTTTTTAATAAGGAAATCTATAAACTGCAAATATATTGAATAGCCTATAGTCCATCAGTGCAACAAAATTCTCTTGTGTATAGGCAGTGGCAGAGCTATCAGCTAAGAAAACTCCAGTAGACAACACCAGAATGCAAAGCATAAATGACATTTTAACGGATATATTCTCAACAGCAATATCTCGAGCCTTTCCTGACCTTACTGATCCCCCTATTGTTATTGCTTTGTCTGGGTCAAACCCCAAATTCGGAGATTATCAATGTAATTCTGCCATGCCCTTGTCCAACATATACAAGCAATCAGGGAAAAAAGTTGCCCCAAGGGACCTGGGGCAAAAAATAATCGACAATGTAGAATCACATGAAATTATCGAGAAACTAGAACTAGCCGGACCTGGATTCATAAATGTTTACCTGAATAAACAGTTCGGTCTGAAAAATTTGTCAACTATTTTCGTGCATGGGGTCAATCCACCCCAGCTACCAAGAAAGCTCAATGTCTTGGTAGACTTTTCTTCGCCGAATATTGCTAAAGAAATGCACGTGGGTCACTTGAGGTCAACGATCATAGGTGACAGTATATGCAGATTATTGGAATTCTTGGGTCACGATGTGCTGAGGATCAATCATGTTGGAGATTGGGGGACGCAGTTTGGGATGTTGATTGCTCATCTCCACGACAAATATCCCGATTTCCATGAAAAGTCTCCGCCTATCGGCGATTTGCAAGCGTTTTATAAGGAATCTAAACAGAGATTTGATGAAGACGAGGATTTCAAGAAAAGGGCTTATGCCAGCGTGGTGAAGCTTCAATCTTTCTATCCCATATACAAGAAGGCCTGGGAGTTGATTTGTGATGTTTCTCGAAAAGAATTCCAAAGAATCTATGACAGGTAGGTACCTTTAGTCAGACTACACTATCATACTTTCATATACAGGGTGGTCCGGTTTTGTGATCCAAAAAAATCAGCAGTGTGTTGTACTCGTTCAAATATCAGAAAAAGTTCATATATACATATACGATGATTTATCTCAAACCGTTCCGAACTTTTCATCAAAAAACAATATTCAGACTGGTATTTTCAACACCCTATATCTCGAAAAACGACGCGTTCAAAAGTATATTTTTTATGATCTTTTTGGATTTCTTGTATTGAAAACCGGACCACCCTGTATATTAATTTAATACTATAATAATAATTTTCCATAAAATTTCACTGAAGGAAAGTAGCCAACTGCCAGTTTTCTTCAAATCAAGGAATTTAAACGGAAATTTCGAGGGATTAAAAAATGAGAAGAATCCCCTAGTAGGGGTGGGCGATAGTGATTTTGGATTATCGATAATCACATTGTATCGATATTATCAAAATTGTCTATATTATCGAAGTTATCGATATTATCAATATTATCGATAAATTGATGAATATTGTCGATATTTTTTGCATTAAGTACCCGAAAAGGAACATTGGTCGTGCTACGGGTAGAAAGCGAACTATACCGGGTGTCAACAAATCTATTAGACAAGTCATAACTTCTAGACCATCAAAATGAGATTTGGCATAGGTAAATGGTATGTGAAGAGGAGAGTTTTCACATATTTTTCACTTTCCGGTCACTTCCGGTTTCACCGGAAATGGCTCCGGTTCTAAATTTTTAAATGGAACACCCTGTATATTGTAACATTTTTGGATTTCTGAGACAATTCTTGATCAGAATGTGACATTTTCGAAAGTTTTTATGCCTACTTAATCTTTTCGGAATCACTATTGAAATTACATCTAGGTGGCCCTGATCGGAAGTAAACTAATCTAAGGACCTCAGGTGATATCAGAAAATTACAATCGCGAAGTTTCAGTGACAAGTATGATAGATATGAATAAGACAAGTTGGCAAAATTACATTTTCGTGTCTAACTATTATTTTTCAAATGGTGATAATTTTTTGACAAGCACTTTCCGAAAAAAGGATATTTTGACGAATCTAACGATACTAAATTATTTGCGATTAGATCAACAAATTTAACAAAATTAACAAGAAGACTTGATCGAAATAACTATAAAATATTATGCATCATGCCTATCCTCGGCACATTTGACAAAAGTAAATTAATTATTATGAAATATTTTCGTCACTAATATTTAATTTATGTTCTTATTTGTAATCCAATCGCAAATAAATTAGTATCGTTAGATTCGTCAAAATATCCTTTTTTCGGAAAGTGCTTGTCAAAAAATGGTCGCCATTTGAAAAATAATAGTTAGACACGAAAATGTGATTTTGCCAACTTGTCTTATTCATATCTATCATACTTGTCACTAAAACTTCGCGATTGTAATTTTCTGATATCACCTGAGGACCTTATATTGGTTTACTTCCGATCATGGCCACCTAGATGTAATTTCAAAAGTGACTCCGAAAAAATTAAGTAAGCATAAAAACTTTCGAAAATGTCACATTCTGATCTAGGATTGCCTCAGAAATCCAAAAATGTCACAATATACAGGGTGTTCCATTTGAAAATTTAGAACCGGAGTCATTTCCGGTGAAACCGGAAGTGACCGGAAAGTGAAAAATATGTGAAAACTCTCCTCTTCAGATATCATTTACCTATATCAAATCCCATTTTGATACACCTAATGGTCTAGAAGTTATGACTTGTCTAATAGATTCGTTGACACCCTGTATACTACATTCCAAATGAGAAGATAGGTGGCGCTTCTTGTGAAGGAATGTTTACACTGATGAAATAAATATATGACGCCTTATCCAAATTGATGGTAATATTTTAATGTACGAAAAATAATTGGAATTTTATGATGTGGACATTTTCCCATAAAGAAAACTTCTACCATTGAACCACGTCATAATATTAGGCAAGTGTAATATTGCCTCAGATATTAACCAATGAAAGCGAAGGTCAACACTTCCCTATGACTTCCAATGCTGTCTTCTTAGTTGGAATGGACAATTAACAATCAACGGATATTTCGAAAATAATCTAAAATCATCATATTATCGATGAATCGATAATTTTTCATATGAATTTTCATCGATATTATCAATAATTATCGATATATCGATAAATGTGCCGACCCCTATCCCCGAATGTCTCGAAAATTTCTAAAGAAGTTCTGTAGATTCCATGGGATTCTTTGAGATTCAAAAAAATACAGTAGTTCTTGGAAATTGGTAAAATTCTAAGTATTTGGTGGAATTTCGAAAAGTTTCATCAAATTTCGAGAAATTTCTGCTATTTGGGGGATCTCACGTACTTTTATGGAATTTTGAAGAATTCAACGAAATTTTGTTGAAATTCCAGAAAATTTGAAATGAATTAAAATTTTGGAAATTCCATAGTTTTTCGATTAATCAGATATGCTATCGAGAACTTCCATGGAATTTTGAGTAAACTCATATAATTCGTTGGGATTCCAGAGTGCTCAGAGGAAATGCATTCGTGGAATTCTGAGGAATTTATTTGTACTTTCATGGAATCTTGAAGAATTATTTCATGGAATATTCATGAAAAACCGGAATATATCCAGGATACTTTAGGAAATTTCGCAGGATTCTTGAAAATTTCACAGGATTTAGGAGAGATCTATGAAATTTTGAGGAATACCAAGAATGTCGAGGAATAACATGGAATTTTGAGGAAATAAGTGTTCATCCATGAAATTTCAAATAATTTCAAGATATTCATAAAATTTACAGATTCTCAAAGAAACTGAAATCCTAAGGAGTTCCATAGAATTTTGAGAACTTTCATGAGGTGTCTAGAAATTTTAAGGATTCGAGTAATTCAATGAAATTTTGAAGAATTGTGACGAGTTTCAAAGAAATCCATGGATTTTGAGGAATTTCAAGGAATTTAAGAGGGATTCTATAGAATTTTAAAAGTTATCATACAATTTTGAGAGATCCTTTGGTATTCCAGGGAATTTCGATGGTTTTCAAATAGATCTGATGAATTTGAAAAAAAAAAACAATGAAAATATGTATATCATTCCATAGAATTTAAGGGGTTTCTCATGGAATTTTGAGGAGTATAGGGATATAGGGATGAATCCAAAAGAATCAACTGAAATATTCAATCCAGTGAATTCAGAAGATTTCCATGAAATTCCAGGAAGTTTTGTGTAATTTCATGGAATGTTGAAAGAATTTTCATGGAATTCGACGAATTCCACGACTTAATGAAATCGTAGGCTAGACATAAAGCTCATCGAACGAGGAGAATCCTTCTATCAAACCAGGATGGAGGCCATAGTGAAAGACCTGCAAGCGGGAGGCTACTTGGAGGAAGACGAGGGCCGCAAGGTGATGTGGGGCAGCCAGGTAAACTTAATTATGTTTTTTATTTTTCCGTCGACCTCGTATTAACGACTAAGTTTAATGTATATGAAATCGTTCATTAATGACCCCTATTAATGGACGATTTGTCCATTAATGCACGATTGTTTTATAGGCAACCAAACATACACCGCGTGCATTCATTGTTTATGCTATAACTAGCGGAATGTGCATTTAAATCGAAAATATGGATTTCATCGACGATTTTCCGTTAACGGTTTCGCCTTTCCAAGTTTCTGACACGATTTTAATCCCTGTTTTCTAACAAGGAAATTATTTCCTATGTTGATCATTTCGACAAATGTCAAATGACACTAATGTCAGTAACAAGGCTACTGGGTGATTCTTAGCAGTTTCCGGATGGATGATGAATTCGCGAACCAAGTTTTTGTAACCAACTTGTATATTAAAAGGCGATTAATGATCTCGAACATTTACGCACTCGCTTCACTCGCACGATAAAATATCTCGATCATTAATCGCCCTCATTAATACACTAGTTGGTTAAATAACTATTAATGGGCATCCATTCAGATATCGCATCCCCGCTTGAAAAGTGTCATAACTTTACGATAATTTTAAGTTTTGCATTATTAAAAGTCACACGACATGTTTCGCTAACACAGTAGCCTCATCAGGTGAAATACTGGTACAATGAAACAAACGATTGAGTTTTAATTTTATTTATTATTTGGCCAGCGTAGCCTCGTGGTCAAAGCGTCAATGTTCTATCCACGTTGGATTGCCGGCAGGTGGTTCGACTCCTACCACGACCGCAGACATTTTTCTTATGGCCTAAGAAAGTGTTTGGGGTCACACGTTAAAAGGCTCGCACAAGTTTCTCGAAGACTTCTGAGGGTTGCTCGTAAGGAGACAACCGAATGATGGATAAGAACAATTATAGAACAATCATTAGAGATCATTTACTTAATGATCAACTAGACCTCAATAGTTCACCACTATTGAATTTGTTTTCTTAATTGGTAATGTGTATTTGCTACAACCCTTTCACGTTAATCCGTTACACCGTATTTTGATGTAGATATTGAGTCTATTTTCCGAAAATGAAGGTTTATCGGGGAGGGGGGGGGATAATGAGGGTAACTATACAGTCTGTCCAAGATAAGGTTGAACAGCATGGGGATCTCGGAAACGGTAGGAGATACGAAGTCGCTTAAATGGGGAAAAAGTTGCGCATTCGGAGGCTCATATCAAGAGCCTTCGAAAATTTTGAAAATTATTTTTAGTTTTTGAGTTATATCGAAAAAAGTGAATTTTTGGAATTTATATATTTTTTTTCTCCGTTATTATCAGAGATACAGAAAAACTGAAAATACTTTTTCATTGCAACTTTTGATGAGGTTTAACGTGGTGATACCGATTTTTTTATGCGACGTTTCGTATTCGTGGAACCATCATCAACTTTTGTTTTTTATATACGGTCCTGATAATTTTTTCACAGATTCTGAAAGTTTTTTTCATTCTGAATTCAACCATGTATTATACAAGGTGGTTCATTTGTGTTTCGACCTATTTTTGGTTATCATCAATGTTTTTTCGAAACTCCAAAGGAAAAATGCCATCAGTTCCACTTATTTTGAAGGAAAATTAGTCAACACACTAATACCTCATCAACTGGTTTCAATCAACAACCCATTTCATTTTGCGGAAACAAAAATTCCATCCATACAAATTCAGAATATGTCAAGCGCTAAAACCAGGCGATGACGAAAGGCGCAAGACATTCTGTGAGTGGTATACCAGGAAATGTTAAAATTTTGCAGATTTCTTTCGAACAATCATCTGGACTGATGAAAGCATGGTCACTAATCATGGTAGCTTCGATAGAAAAAATACACATTATTATTCACGAGAAAATGAACATTTATACATTACAGCGAGACACCAACACCGTTTCGGCTTTAATATGTGGGTTGCAATATTTGGTACACGAATTATTGTTCCTTCTATTCACCATGAAACACAGACTTCCGAACGTTATAGAAATTCGCTTGAGAATCATCTTGAGGAAGCTCTGGATGATTTACCGATTGCGGAAGTTCAGAACTGTTGGTTTCAACAAGATGGCGCTCCGGTACATAATTCCAGAGAAGTCCGTGCGTTTTTATCCCTTGGCCGACGCGGTCGCCTGATTTTACACAGCTGGATTTTTTGTTAGAGGATATATCGAACTTTGTACACGCAAATAGCTTTGATGATGAAGAAGAACTAAGGGACAGTGTCTTTGAAGAATTCAATAGAATAACCCCAGAAATGCTTAGCAATGTCTTAGAAGCAACTGTGAGAAGAGGATATCTATGTTCAGAAAATAATGGTTATCATTTTGAACATTTGTTATGAGTGTTTCTGAAGGTATTGTCAAAGTTAAGTTGTTAAAGTAATTCGTGTAAGAATTCATCAACAATTTTAAACGCTGCATTGATCGAATGATGTAGTGAAATATTTTTTATTCACTTTTCAGTATTGAATAACTAATCCATCAAGTTTGACACTAAATGATCAGAAATAAGTGGAACTGATGGCTTTTTTCTTTTGGAAGTTCGAAGAAACATTGATGATGGATAGAAATAGGTCGAAACACATTCGAATCACCTTGTATAGTACATGGTTGAATTCAGAATAAAAAAACGTTCAGAATCTGTGAAAAAATTATCAGGACCGTATTTAAAAAACAAAAGTTGATGATGGTTCCACGAATACGAAACGTCGCATAAAAAAATCGGTATCACCACGTTAAACCTCATCAAAAGTTGCAATGAAAAAGTATTTTCAGTTTTTCTGTATCTCTGATAATAACGGAGAAAAAAAAATATATAAATTCCAAAAATTCACTTTTTTCGATATAACTCAAAAACTAAAAATAATTTTCAAAATTTTCGAAGGCTCTTGATATGAGCCTCCGAATGCGCAACTTTTTCCCCATTTAAGCGACTTCGTATCTCCTATCGTTTCCGAGATCCCCATGCTGTTCAACCTTATCTTGGACAGACTGTATATTATAGACGCTTATGATAGTTTGATTTGTGATTTGTTTGTCCAAAGAAGTTATATAATTAGTGATTGAAAATAAGTAGCATGAAAAAGCTGCTGGAATAAAATAGTTTGGCCGGTTACTTTAACATTACCTACATTCCGTATTTATCAAAACAATGATGGAAGTAAGATATGGTGTGCGTATTCGGCCATTATTACGTATTGAAAATTTCAGCAAAATAACTCGACCGCCTACTATGATTTCTCTACGTCACAACGGGCGAGACGTTGATTCTACATTTTCCCGCTAGATGGTGATGCTGCTATTGCTGCTGTGACGAGTGGAAATGAAATGGCAAAAGGCATTTTAGGTACGCGGAACATATGTAACAGTGGGATTATTCAACTCTGAATTCGAAAAATCTGCGACAATTTCAAAACTGACAGATGTCATAATTGTGCAATGTCGCCATCTGTTAGAAGGTCGACGGAACCATTGCTCTTGCTGTTCTCGAGAGGTCGAGTAAAATTTCTGAAACAAAAGCGCATCAGTAATTACAACATATCTTACTTCCATCACTATCAAAACCATATCTACCAAGATTTTCAGTTACAGTGACAACAACTATATGATACTTCCTCAAAGAAAAGGGAAGTGAGCACTTCCCGGATGGTTGCCGAAATATTATTTTTATTATTATTTTTATGTGTAGGGCGGTCAGAATATCCCGCTCACCGTCGTCAAATCAGACGGCGGTTTCACCTACGACACATCCGATCTGGCGGCGCTGAAGCAGCGGGTGGACGAAGAAAAATGTGACTGGATTATTTATGTGACGGACGCAGGGCAAGCTACGCATTTCAACACTTTGTTCGGTTGCGCTAGGAAAGCAGGGTTAGTATAGCAATATTCTTCTTAGCTTGTTACATTCTCACTATTGAGATCAATGGAGTTAGAAGGAAGTGAGGCGGATCTGAGTTGTCGATTGAATAAAAAGAACACGTTTTTATCTGTCAGGAAGGACAAGGGAAGAAAACATAACCCAACATAATAGAATCGAATTCCCATCAATGGTATAAGCATTATTTCCGTCTGTGATCACATCATAACTATTATATCTGGCCTGTTGGACTGCATGATTCAGCCTTAGAGTTGTAATAATATGTCTTTATTGGATTTTATCACCTATATCGAGGGATTTTGGAAAACAAATTAATTATTTTTTTTTTCAAAGGATTTAACATGTGTGCTGAAACTTTGAAGCTGAAAGCATGTCAAAATGAAAATATAATGTAACAACTTTATATTCAAGTTCTGGAATAATTCCAATAATACTTCTTATCTCTTTATTTATTAATTCTATATTCACATGTTTTTATATTATCCATGGATATCATCATCCCTAATACAGGGTGACAGACATATACTGAGGAATATTAAATTCTAGATCTAATATTCCCACAAAGCTCCCTATCTTCTAGAAATCATCACTCCTGTGATGAAACTTCCTCAAATTCGTAACATGGGCAGACTCTTCTTTCCCATTATTGTCATAATTCACATATGCTAATGTTCCTTGAATGTATTTCACTCTTGTTATCTTGAATGGTCCATTTATAACACAATCTTTTCCTATTCGCTGTTGTCGAATCAATATTGAATCCGCTATATTCAATTTTGGTGGTTTCAATCTATTTCCTTTATTAGCATTACTTTGTATCCTCTCTTTGTACTTTAACTGTTCTTCCGGAGATTTAGGTTTTTCGTCAAATGATATCTCCAAAGCCAACGTTTTATCAGCTTGCAAAATAGCTGGTTTCCCATACAATTTATAAAATGGTGAACATCCTAAATACTCATTGTGTGATTGATTATGGTGACGTACAGCAGTATCTAAGCACTTCTTCCAACCTCCAGGGAAATTTTGGTAGCATTTGATGAATTTTTTCAAATCTCTTATTGTTCTCTCAGCCAATCCATTTCCTGCAGGATGATATGGAGTCGTATGTACAATATTAATACCTCTCGTTGTGGCCCATTCATGAAATTCACCGGAAGTAAAAACTCTCCCGCAATCTGTCACAATATTTCTGACTTGATCCAAATAGGGTAATTTAGCAAAATATTGTTTCACAGATTTTCCATTTTCTTTCATTGCTTTTGCCGAAATGCATCGAGTTGCTTCATCTATGGCAATCAAAAAGGATTGTGTCGTTCTATTTAACTCTGATTTCTTTTGTAATTCGGCAAAATCGATGTGTATTGTTTCATACGCATTTTCAGAGCATTTAGTCAGATGAACGAAGTTTGGTTTTGGCATGTACTTGAATTTCGTCATCTGGCAAACTTTGCATGTCTGTACGTAATATTTAATGTCTTTCGTCATATTTTTCCAGTAAAATCTTTGTTTCAATTTGTAATAAGTCTTATAGTAACCATCGTGTCCTCCTGATAAACAATCATCATGATATAATTTTAATATTTCCTTCACCATTTCTCTAGATTTCACTGCATATCTACCATTTTCTAATTTCTCCAAATTGTCCGCAATCAATAAGTTACACCAAAAAGATTCACTTATATTATCAGGTGTCTCAATGCATAACCTGGATATAGCATCAGCGTCTTGTAATTCCTTTCCAGTTTTATGATTCACGGTTATATCAAAACTCCTCAAAAATATTTGCCATCTAGCCAACCTATCTCGTAAATTACCAGTGGATAGCAATTGAGTCAATGCTCGATGGTCGGTGTGAACTGTAAACTGTCTTCCCTCTAAATAGGTTCGGTAATGCTTAACTGCTTTGACGACTGCCAAACATTCTTTTTCAGTTACCGAGTAATTGATTTCACATTTGGAAAAGGTATATGAATAATAACTAATGACCCTCAATTGTCTATTCTTCACTTCTTCATGATCTCTTTGGTATAAAACAGCACCACACCCATAGTAAGATGCATCTGTTGACATTTCAAATGTTAGACGACGATTGGGAATTCTCAAAATAGGCTCAGATGTTATTATTTCTTTCAACTTGTTGAATGCAGTCTCACATTCCAAAGACCAAATGAATTGTCTGTCTTTACATTTCAACGCCTCTAATGGTTTCGCTATCTTACTGTAGTCTTTGATAAAACTTCTGAAATGATTGGTGAGTCCAGTAAAACACTGCAATGATTTGATATTATAAGGTCGCTTCATGTTCTTAACTTTTTCTGTAATTTCATTCTTCATCTTTTTAGTGTCTCCATCTATTTCTCTTCCCAAAAATATTACTTTTGGAACACAAAAAACACATTTTTTATAGCTTATTTTGAAGTTTCTTTCATTTAATTTTTTCAAAATTTTTAGTGTTAGTTCTTCACACTCTTGGAATGTATATCCTCCACACATTATGTCATCTATAAATGCTACAACATTATCTTCCAAGAGTTCTCCAAGTACATCCTGTATAATACGTTGGAACTTAGCGCTAGAGTTTTTCCATCCAAATGGTAGTCTTCGGAATTCATAATGTCCTTCTTCAGTAACGAACGCTGTGAATTTACTGGTTTGATCAGAGATGCCTACATTCCAAAATCCATCCTTCAGATCTATTTTTGTGAAATATCTACACCCCCCAAACTTTTCGGTTATATCATTGACAAATGGAAACGGAAATGGATCTAATTCAGTTTGCTCATTCACTTGTCTATAGTCAATACATAATCGAAAACTGTCATCACTTTTTGTTTTTATAACACATGGTGAAGAATAAGGTGAAGATGATGTTCTTATGATTCCATTATTCAGCATATCCTTTATTTTTTCTCGTATCCATATTTGTTTACTTTGAGAAAAACGGTATGGCTTCAATTTAACTATCTTAGCATCATCTTTTAACTTGAAATCAGTTTCGTAACTAGATGGTTTATTATCGAGGTCGCCCAGTATATTTGGAAAATTCCTAAGCAATGTATTTTCTGTAAAACATATTCGTTCATACTCTTTGTAGTTTTTCTTGAAGATATTCAGTCTCTGTAATGTTCCTCGTCCTATTATCAAATCAAATGGCAAAGTGTTCACAACAACAGGATTAATCTCTACAATAACATTATTGAAATTAATTTTCATAATACACTTGTGATTGCATTTTGTTACACCAGCCAAACTTCTTATTTGAACTTTAGCCTCGAATGTGTTCAATGATAATCTTTCTGTCACATTTTTGCTAATAAGATCAATATCAGAACCAGTATCGAAAAGAGTTTTCAATTGCAGTCCATTTACAGTTATGAACTCTATATTGTCATCATTTTTTATAGCAGAATATGTTGAATAGCTATTATAACTTTCAAAATCTTTTATTTCACCTTGTACATCTTCATCATAGTTGATAAGATTACAATTATGTTCATTTCCGCGAAACGGTTGTCGTCTTTCCACTTCTTGGTTTGCCTTGAATTTTTGATTTTCAGTTATTCCCATTTTCTGATGTGGATTCGTATTTTGCCTACCGTCTACATATCTTGAACTCTGTGATTCTTGATAACTTCTTTCAAATTTGATGTGCTTAAGTAACTGAAGTAGTTCTGTTTTATTCTGAATTTCTTTGTAGCAAATCTGTTTTTGAATATTGTATGGGAGTCCCAGAATTAGGAAGGCAATAACAGATCCTTCAGATAAAGAGTCATCAGCATAGTACAAAAGATGTTGTTTTTCATAAAAATATTCCAATACTGAACCTTGATGAAATCTGTATGACAATGCTTTGTTCCATTTTGTTACTTGGTCTTCATCAAATACTTTGATGAATGATTCCCGCCATTCTGCCCAAGTAGAAAATCTGCTTGACTCGCATAATTTTTGTTCATACCACTGCAGAGCGATACCATCTAAACTGCATCTCATATTCAAGATTTTTTCTTCATCTGTAGTCCATTTATTGTGGGAAGCTATCATTTCGAAAGTTTTCATCCAAGAGTTTGGGTTTTTCCCTGTTCCATCAAATGAGTTGATAGTTTTTTGCTTCGTCGAATCCTTAATGAGTGACAACCATTTTGACATCATCATATCAAGCTCAGATTTACCAATTGATAAACTCCGCTCTTCATTCATGTGGGTGTCTCCAGATTCCTCTCCTTTATCATAATTGATTTGGATCGGGTTATTGTTTGCCGACTGCGCCATATTTGTAACAACTTTATATTCAAGTTCTGGAATAATTCCAATAATACTTCTTATCTCTTTATTTATTAATTCTATATTCACATGTTTTTATATTATCCATGGATATCATCATCCCTAATACAGGGTGACAGACATATACTGAGGAATATTAAATTCTAGATCTAATATTCCCACATATAACCTCACAATTTTCAGCATAGAACCACAGAATTACTAGAATTAATCCAGTCTCACCTTTTTCTCACTACAACAACAGATCAATAGCAAGCTCAGCTCAGTTGGGGTGAGGGGGAAGAAATAGTCTCAATAAGTTGTAATACAACTGAGCTTCTGAGCTTCACTGAGAATCTTGGTTAATCTCAGTCAAAGTTGGTAACAAGAATATTACTTATATAGATGTATAGAAAGTCAAATGGTGTTATCACTTCCTACTGAAAAGGAGTTTCGAAATCTCTCGATATCGCCTACTTTGTAAAAAAAGCGAGGCGTGGGAGAATCTTGCTAAATTTTCGAAGTTTCAAACCAAAGTCACAGGCATCATGACACATTCACAATTTTTTGTTTAAATGGAAACGGTGCGTCATATTTTCGACTTCCAATGGTGAATTCATGAACGACACGAAGTCCTAACTCACTTTTGCTACATAAAATGAAACGAATATTCGGATTTTTGAATAATCCTCACACATTGCTACAGTCAGTCCATGATGAAAGCACAATACACTAACTCAACTAATAATATAATATCAATACCCTGCTAATGAACTACTAATGCTCCCAATTTATAATATTCCTATTTGAAATTTTAACAAAATCTTGAATATGCCGAAACCACCGAGAACATTACCCTCGTGACATCAGATTATGTCAAAATCAAGATGTTTCCGCACGGATCATTTGTTGCGCCCAGTTCAAATTCATATTGATTCGTAAGGCATTTTGAAATCATTCTCACGTTCCGAACTCGCATGCAATTATTTATATCGAGAGCAAGTCTTACGAAACAATTGGAGAGTGGGCGAACCAGAGGAATTATGAACATCTCAGTTAGTATCACATAGAGTCACTGGTTCTTATTAGTTTGATAAAAGTTCGGACACATCTGAACTTTTGTCCTTTTTTATTTTCTAAGTTACAATGCTTGAGTGAATAAAAGAATGGGACATATATTCTGCTATTTGTCTTTTCAATGTTCCTAATTCGCGATAGAAAATAACATGTCGCTTCACCTGACGGCAACAACTTGAACACTTCTGAGCGGTTTGTTTTAATGGAGTGACCAATAAGTTCAAACAAAGAACAAATGGGAACCAATGAAAACAAAGTAAACAGACCGCTTTGCCAGCTTTTTATTGTCAGATACGATTTTAGAGGTTATATTTTCTCTCAAATCAATCCCACTTGACTATCTCAACAGTTTGTTTATTCGAAAGCGGATTTTTCTACTCTGAAGTTTATGAACAAAGAGTTATCCACAACCAAACCCTAAAGAACAAAATGTAAATACTGTCTGTAGGTCAACTGACAGTACTGAATCTGCTGTGGAAGTGACAGATGCTTGTGAGCAGACATACTATTCGCGGGAATCAATGTTACCAGGTAGCGCTCGGTTTTCATCGTTCCATGTCAAAGCCACGTCAAAACTGGTGGAAAACAAACTCAATCCTCACTCAATCCCATTAGTGCCATCAGCTTATGTACTGTGTACTGTTAAGAGTGATAAGTTTTCGAATTTCTTGACATTAATTGTCAATATTCGATCGAAAACGCTGAAAATGCCTGTTGTAGATGTTGTTTTGGCAGATATTTTGCTCTATTCAGATGGAAAACCAGTAGTGGAAGGAGAAGCAGTTCTCCGTGCTTATCATGTGATTTTGTATGAGGCAGAAGACTTCAACAAAAGGCACATTTTTGCACTTTGTCTACGAACTTCGGCGATGAAATTTTCCCCACATGAAGTAAAATTGAAGTTGGGGTCCAGAGGAACTCCTGTAGAACAATGGATTTGTATTTGTTCATGCAAAGCAGGACAATCTGGATATGGTAAACATGTTGTAGCTGTTCTTTTATATATCAATTGATTTGCTCGTCATAATTAGTTTGAATTGTTTGAACTATCACCAATTCTTCACCCGTTCACTGTTCACTGAACTAATAAAAATGTAATAATGTGAAAAAAATTAAACAACTCAACCATCATCACTACCAACAGTGCCAACACTTTATGTTATTGACAAGTTTGACTACAGCTACACCAAGCTGAATGCAATGTAGTCTATGCACTTTATCCATAGGCAACAGTTTGTTTTCCCCCAGTTTGAAGTTCGTATTATGTAACCTAGATGTCGCCCACTTCGTGAATCTCGCGAATAGCCATAGTGGAAATAATTGAAATTTTTTCTTTGCCTTTACTTCAAACTGATTCATGAACAGTTAGGCCAAGAAATGTGATACCTATGTATTTGTATTATTTTGTATCCACTTGTTTCATTAATTATTTCAATCAATCAATTTTAATAGATGTCCAGGAGTTCCTGGAATATGGCGGAATAATAAATTCCAGTGAATCATTATTTTTTTATCCTTCCATTTAGGTTATTGACTGAAAAAATTCGAGTGGATCATGTTGGTTTCGGCGTGGTCCTCGGTGAGGACAAGAAGAAGTTCAAAACGAGGTCCGGGGATACGGTACGATTGCTGGATTTGCTGGACGAAGGGTTGAAAAGGGCGCTGGATAAACTCAAGGAAAAGGAAAGGGAGAAGGTAAAAACTTAACATTTCTAAATCATACTAATTGATGTGGAAGTGAGATTGAATTTTTTCTAGGAAAATTAAGATCTTTATTTTCTGCAGGAAATATTTGAATTTAGTAATTTTCAGTCTTACTCTTGACGGTAAAACTGCATTTATCATGCGATGGTTTTTTTTTTCGTAAATTGTTTTTGGTACTCACTTTTTTTTTGTCTGAAAAACACGAATTCGATAATGAAAATGTGAACAAACCATTATTCATAAAGATATTTCACTATAAAGTTACAAATTTAACCTTGTTTTCCGCCTGTCTTCTGGATCGCATTTATAACAATTTGCCCTTCTTTTTTCATCATTGGACAATTTATATATCGACTTATTTTTTTCTATTATATGAGTCAACTAGAATTATAATTTTCTTGTGATTTATCCATATTTAGTGAAAAGAAGAAAGGATATTATTTAAAATAATGGCGTGTGTAGTGTTATTTAAAAGCAATCTGTTGACATTTGACATCTCGTATTTGGATTGACTATTGATGAAATGGCTGTCATCTGGTATAGGTCGCGTGCAAGAACTGTCAGATAACCGACCCTGGAGGCAAAACATATTTGTTTACAAGTGATAGAAATAGTTTTCCACAATTATTTTGGCATATGAATCGTATTTTCCCGCTATTCATCAATTCGCCAATGCCATCACATTGTGCTGTTGTAAAATGCACAAAAACTGCAGCAGAAGATGAAGAAATCCGGATGGTACATTATGATTCAAAAGTAAGTACCTACTATAGTCACTCACATAGTTTTCATTTTTGAAATTTGGTTATTTCTCTGATTTCTCATCGGAATTCCTTCTGCAATATGAGTTAATAGGAATATACCTGAAATTTCTAGAATAATGCAAGAAGATTGGATTCATGCAATCAATCGAGAGGACTGGTCTGACATGCTGACGATCGTGTGTGTTGTAGACATTTTCAATCTATTAGCAGTATTAGCTTGTATTGCAGAAGTGGCAGAAGGCAGAAGGAATTTCAATAAGGAATGACAACATTTCATAATGATAACTATGTGAGATTACCATTCACCTAAAAAATCATATTCCTTAGTCTCTTGCTGCATTTTTTGTGCATTGTACAACAGCACAATGCGAAGGCATGCTTGAATTAATGAATAACGCAAGAAACACGAATCGTATGCCAAAATATTGTGAAAAACTATTTCAACCTTTTGATTCCTCTGTAACCAAATAAAAAAGTGAGGTTGTGTTTCAATAATTCACAGAAGAATGAGGTTGTGTTTCAATATTTTGCCTCCAGGGTCGGTCTTCGTGCACGCGACCTATGCTTGTTCACTAATTATGAAAAACTCGCCTAAAAATCATATTTCCTGAAACCCTGAAACATATTTCTGTATTGTGTATTTGTTATGGAGCGCACGAAAGGGAATGTCTATAATGTTCGTGCGTATCTAGGGAGAATAGGGAGAGAATGTAGATATTGATGGCTCTCTTGAAACTTTTGGAAAGAATTTCCAATCTATTGAAAATGTTGCAGATGCTTCTGCAAGATTTTATCGAAGATCAAATTATTACAAACAATCTAAATTTCATCATGGCGTGGAATATATGAGACAATTCGGTACCACAAACTCATGTCAGTCAAATTTCGCAAAAGCCAATCAATTCTTGTTTTTCTGACATAAAATAGGATGAAATGAGTGAAAAAGAATGGCTTTCTTCTTCTTCTTCTCTTTGGGTTTATTGGATTTCTGTCTCCTTTCGGTAACACTTTCTCCAGATCAGGTAATTAATTTTTTCAAGAATAAATACTAGGTTATGTAATAATCACAATGGCCTGAAGCCGAGTCATCAGTGTTCATAAGATTCTACCGGCGTAGAAATAATGGAGCACGTTTGACTTCAAGTATGGCCCCCTTATCCGATGAATCCGTCATCATCCGGCCTCTATACCGGCGTAGAGATAAAAGAGCCTGATATTCCTCACACACACTTGATAAACTTCACATTAAATATTGGATTTCAATCCATATCAGGTAATTAGAAAATTATGGACTTTACACACATTAATCTGACTTCTGGCCTGTTTCTCCTACCGTGGCCAAAAGTCGAATCCGAAAAGAATGGCTTTATTCACATTGACTTACTTACTTCAGGAGGGAAGCAAGGGAAAAAACGATTAAAAACACCTCAAAAAATCAAAACCATAGACAACGATCTCGATCTCAATTTGTTTTTCAGGTTTTGACTCCTGAAGAACTCAAACAAGCCCAAGAAGCCATCGCCTATGGCTGTATCAAGTATGCCGATTTATCACACAACAGGAATCATGAGTACGTTTTCTCTTTCGATAAAATGTTGGAGGACAAAGGCAACACTGCCGTTTACCTTCTATATGCGTACACAAGAATCAGATCCATCGCCAGGAACGCTAATTTCACCCCCGAAAAGATCAAGGAACTAGCTAAAACTTGTCAGATATCTTTGGACCACGAGAAAGAATGGAAATTAGGGAAAGTTCTCTCTCGTTTTCCTGATGTTTTGTTGAAGATTACGAAAGATTTGTGTTTGCATCACATTTGTGAATATATGTATGAAATATCGACTACATTTACTGAATTTTATGATAGCTGTTATTGTATAGAGCGGGACTCTTCAGGTGATGTTGTTAAAGTCAATCATGGTCGGATCTTGTTGGCTGAAGCTACAGCTATGATTTTGGAAAAGTGTTTTAGCATCATTGGTATGAAACCTGTATCTAGGATGTGAAATGATAATAAACCGTTTGTATACTTTGTTGAAAAACCCGTTGTTTTCTTGAAGAAGGAAATGAATTACCCTTTCCCACTGCTGGGATTTGCAATCTCCACTTTCCCATATTATATTGAAAAAAACTTTCTCACTTCTTTTTACAGCATCGGTAGACTTCAACATATTCAATATTATATTAGAGTCCTCCAAGTCAAATTCTTTTTTCGATTTCGGATACAAATTAGAATTGGCTGTAAACTTGTTATTTTTATTTTTAATATTCTGGCGACTGCCCGGTCACTGAGATTCCCATACTAGAAATAAATTCATAACTTTTTTCCACTGTGAAAAGAGGAAAATGGCTCTGTTGGAACGTAGACAATTGCATCAGAATCCTCCATGCAGAATTTAAAGGCTCTACGAAGATTTCCAATTTTTTGATTTTCGGAAAAGAATTAGAATTTGTATACAGAATGTCCTCGAAGTGCTGAACACGGATATGAACTCAGTTTCCCTATATCTGCCCTAGTTTTTCAGTTATTTTGAATATTCTGGAGACTGCCCGGTCACTGAGATTCCTTTACTAGAAATGAATTCATAACTTTTTTCTACTGTGAAAACCGACTAATGACTGTTCTGGGACGTAGACAATTGCATCAGAACCCTCCATGCCGAATTTAGAGGCTCTACGAAGATTTCGAATTTTTTGTGCGAAAAATAAACAAGGTTAACCCCTTGCTCTTTTTTCTATTTCGGATAAGAAATAGAATTGGCTGAAACCTTGTATACAGGGTGTACTCGAAGTGCTGAACACGGATATGAACTCAGTTTCCCTATATCTGCCATAGTTTTTCAGTTATTTTGAATAATCTGGCGACTGCCCGGTCACTGAGATTCCCATACTAGAAATGAATTCATAACTTTTTTCTACTGTGAAAACAGACGAATGGCTGTTCTGGGACGTATACAATTGAATCAGAACCCTCCATGCCGAATTTAGAGGCTCTACGAAGATTTCGAATTTTTTGTGCGAAAAATAAACAAGGTTAACCCCTTGCTCTTTTTTCGATTTCGGATAAGAAATAGACCTGGCTGAAAACTTGTATACAGGGTGTTCTCGAAGCGTTGAACACGGATATGAACTCAGTTTCCCTATATCTGCCATAGTTTTTCAGTTATTTTGAATATTATGGAGACTGCCCGGTCACTAAGATTCCCATACTAGAAATGAATTCATAACTTTTTTCTACTGTGAAAACCGACGAATGACTGTGCTGGGACGTAGACAATCGCATCAGAACCCTCCATGCCGAATTTAGAGGCTCTACGAAGATTTCGAATTTTTTGTGCGAAAAATAAACAAGGTTAACCCCTTGCTCTTTTTTCGATTTCGGATAAGAAATAGAATTGGCTGAAAACTTGTATACAGGGTGTTCTCGAAGTGCCGAACACGGATATGAACTCAGTTTCCTTGTATCTGCCATAGTTTTTCAGTTATTTTGAATATTCTGGAGACCGCCCGGTCACTGAGATTCCCATACTAAAAATGAATTCATAACTTTTTTCTACTGTGAAAACCGACGTAGACAATTGCATCAGATTCCTCTATGCCGAATTTGGAGGCTCTACGAAGATTTCGAATTTCTTGTGCGGAAAATAAACAAGGTTAACCCCTTGCTCTTTTTTCGATTTCGGATAAAAAATAGAACTGGCTGAAAACTTGTAAACAGGGTGTTCTCAAAGTGCTGAACACGGATATGAACTCAGTTTCCCTATATCTGCCATAGTTTTTCAGTTATTTTGAATATTCTGGAGACTGCCCGGTCACTGAGATTCCCATACTAAAAATGAATTCATAACTTTTTTCTACTGTGAAAACCGACGAATGGCTGTTCTGGGACGTAGACAATTGCATCAGAACCCTCCATGCCGAATTTAGAGGCTCTACGAAGATTTCGAATTTTTTGTGCGAAAAATAAACAAGGTTAACCCCTTGCTCTTTTTTCGATTTCGGATTAGAAATAGACTTGGCTGAAACCTTGTATACAGGGTGTACTCGAAGTGCTGAACACGGATATGAACTCAGTTTCCCTATATCTGCCATAGTTTTTCAGTTATTTTGAATAATCTGGCGACTGCCCGGTCACTGAGATTCCCATACTAGAAATGAATTCATAACTTTTTTCTACTGTGAAAACAGACGAATGGCTGTTCTGGGACGTATACAATTGAATCAGAACCCTCCATGCCGAATTTAGAGGCTCTACGAAGATTTCGAATTTTTTGTGCGAAAAATAAACAAGGTTAACCCCTTGCTCTTTTTTCGATTTCGGATAAGAAATAGACCTGGCTGAAAACTTGTATACAGGGTGTTCTCGAAGCGTTGAACACGGATATGAACTCAGTTTCCCTATATCTGCCATAGTTTTTCAGTTATTTTGAATATTATGGAGACTGCCCGGTCACTAAGATTCCCATACTAGAAATGAATTCATAACTTTTTTCTACTGTGAAAACCGACGAATGACTGTGCTGGGACGTAGACAATCGCATCAGAACCCTCCATGCCGAATTTAGAGGCTCTACGAAGATTTCGAATTTTTTGTGCGAAAAATAAACAAGGTTAACCCCTTGCTCTTTTTTCGATTTCGGATAAGAAATAGAATTGGCTGAAAACTTGTATACAGGGTGTTCTCGAAGTGCCGAACACGGATATGAACTCAGTTTCCTTGTATCTGCCATAGTTTTTCAGTTATTTTGAATATTCTGGAGACCGCCCGGTCACTGAGATTCCCATACTAAAAATGAATTCATAACTTTTTTCTACTGTGAAAACCGACGTAGACAATTGCATCAGATTCCTCTATGCCGAATTTGGAGGCTCTACGAAGATTTCGAATTTCTTGTGCGGAAAATAAACAAGGTTAACCCCTTGCTCTTTTTTCGATTTCGGATAAAAAATAGAACTGGCTGAAAACTTGTAAACAGGGTGTTCTCAAAGTGCTGAACACGGATATGAACTCAGTTTCCCTATATCTGCCATAGTTTTTCAGTTATTTTGAATATTCTGGAGACTGCCCGGTCACTGAGATTCCCATACTAAAAATGAATTCATAACTTTTTTCTACTGTGAAAACCGACGAATGGCTGTTCTGGGACGTAGACAATTGCATCAGAACCCTCCATGCCGAATTTAGAGGCTCTACGAAGATTTCGAATTTTTTGTGCGAAAAATAAACAAGGTTAACCCCTTGCTCTTTTTTCGATTTCGGATTAGAAATAGACTTGGCTGAAACCTTGTATACAGGGTGTACTCGAAGTGCTGAACACGGATATGAACTCAGTTTCCCTATATCTGCCATAGTTTTTCAGTTATTTTGAATAATCTGGCGACTGCCCGGTCACTGAGATTCCCATACTAGAAATGAATTCATAACTTTTTTCTACTGTGAAAACAGACGAATGGCTGTTCTGGGACGTATACAATTGAATCAGAACCCTCCATGCCGAATTTAGAGGCTCTACGAAGATTTCGAATTTTTTGTGCGAAAAATAAACAAGGTTAACCCCTTGCTCTTTTTTCGATTTCGGATAAGAAATAGACCTGGCTGAAAACTTGTATACAGGGTGTTCTCGAAGCGTTGAACACGGATATGAACTCAGTTTCCCTATATCTGCCATAGTTTTTCAGTTATTTTGAATATTATGGAGACTGCCCGGTCACTAAGATTCCCATACTAGAAATGAATTCATAACTTTTTTCTACTGTGAAAACCGACGAATGACTGTGCTGGGACGTAGACAATCGCATCAGAACCCTCCATGCCGAATTTAGAGGCTCTACGAAGATTTCGAATTTTTTGTGCGAAAAATAAACAAGGTTAACCCCTTGCTCTTTTTTCGATTTCGGATAAGAAATAGAATTGGCTGAAAACTTGTATACAGGGTGTTCTCGAAGTGCCGAACACGGATATGAACTCAGTTTCCTTGTATCTGCCATAGTTTTTCAGTTATTTTGAATATTCTGGAGACCGCCCGGTCACTGAGATTCCCATACTAAAAATGAATTCATAACTTTTTTCTACTGTGAAAACCGACGTAGACAATTGCATCAGATTCCTCTATGCCGAATTTGGAGGCTCTACGAAGATTTCGAATTTCTTGTGCGGAAAATAAACAAGGTTAACCCCTTGCTCTTTTTTCGATTTCGGATAAAAAATAGAACTGGCTGAAAACTTGTAAACAGGGTGTTCTCAAAGTGCTGAACACGGATATGAACTCAGTTTCCCTATATCTGCCATAGTTTTTCAGTTATTTTGAATATTCTGGAGACTGCCCGGTCACTGAGATTCCCATACTAAAAATGAATTCATAACTTTTTTCTACTGTGAAAACCGACGAATGGCTGTTCTGGGACGTAGACAATTGCATCAGAACCCTCCATGCCGAATTTAGAGGCTCTACGAAGATTTCGAATTTTTTGTGCGAAAAATAAACAAGGTTAACCCCTTGCTCTTTTTTCGATTTCGGATTAGAAATAGACTTGGCTGAAAACTTATATACAGGGTGTTCTCGAAGTACTGCGAACACGGATATGAACTCAGTTTCCCTATATCTGCCCTAGTTTTTCAGTAATTTTGGATAATCTGGAGACTGCCCGGTCACTGAGATTCCCATACTAGAAATGAACTCATATAACTCTTTTCTACTGTGAAAACCGACGAATGACTGTGCTGGGACGTAGACAATTGCATCAGAATCCTCCATGCCGAATTTCGAGGCTCTATGAATATTTCGAATTCTTTGTGCGAAAAATAAACAAGGTTAACTCCTTGCTCTTTTTTCTATTTCGGATAAGAAATAGAATTGGCTGAAAACTTGTATACAGGGTGTTCTCAAAGTGCTGAACACGGATATGAATTCAGTTTCCCTATATCTGATCTAGTTTTTCAGTTATTTTGAATAATCTGGAGACTGCCCGGTCACTGAGATTCCCATACTAGAAATGAATTCATAACTTTTTTCTACTGTGAAAACGGACGAATGGCTGTTCTGGGACGTCGACAATTGCATCAGAATCCTCCATGCCGAATTTAGAGGCTCTACGAAAATTTCGAATTTTTTGTGCGAAAAATAAACAAGGTTAACCCCTTGCTCTTTTTTCGATTTCGGATAAGAAATAGAATTGACTGAAAACTTGTATACAGGGTGTTCTCGAAGTGCGGAACACGGATATGAACTCAGTTTCCTTGTATCTGCCCTAGTTTTTCAGTTATTTTGAATATTCTGGAGACTGCCCGGTCACTGAGATTTCCATACTAGAAATGAACACATAACTTTTTTCTACTGTGAAAACCGACTAATGACTGTTCTGGGACGTAGACAATTGCATCAGAACCCTCCATGCCGAATTTAGAGGCTCTACGAAGATTTCGAATTTTTTGTGCGAAAAATAAACAAGGTTAACCCCTTGCTCTTTTTTCGATTTTGGATAAGAAATAGAATTGACTGAAAACTTGTATACAGGGTGTTCTCGAAGTGCGGAACACGGATATGAACTCAGTTTCCTTGTATCTGCCCTAGTTTTTCAGTTATTTTGAATATTCTGGAGACTGCCCGGTCACTGAGATTCCCATATTAAAAATGAATTCATAACTTGTTTCTACTGTGAAAACCGACTAATGACTGTGCTGGGACGTCGACAATTGCATCAGAATCCTCCATGCCGAATTTAGAGGCTCTACGAAGATTTCGAATTTTTGTGCGAAAAATAAACAAGGTTTAACCCCTTGCTCTTTTTTCTATTTCGGATAAGAAATAGAATTGGCTGAAAACTTGTATACAGGGTGTTCTCAAAGTGCTGAACACGGATATGAATTCAGTTTCCCTATATCTGATCTAGTTTTTCAGTTATTTTGAATAATCTGGAGACTGCCCGGTCACTGAGATTCCCATACTAGAAATGAATTCATAACTTTTTTCTACTGTGAAAACGGACGAATGGCTGTTCTGGGACGTCGACAATTGCATCAGAATCCTCCATGCCGAATTTAGAGGCTCTACGAAAATTTCGAATTTTTTGTGCGAAAAATAAACAAGGTTAACCCCTTGCTCTTTTTTCGATTTGGGATAAGAAATAGAATTGACTGAAAACTTGTATACAGGGTGTTCTCGAAGTGCGGAACACGGATATGAACTCAGTTTCCTTGTATCTGCCCTAGTTTTTCAGTTATTTTGAATATTCTGGAGACTGCCCGGTCACTGAGATTTCCATACTAGAAATGAACACATAACTTTTTTCTACTGTGAAAACCGACTAATGACTGTTCTGGGACGTAGACAATTGCATCAGAACCCTCCATGCCGAATTTAGAGGCTCTACGAAGATTTCGAATTTTTTGTGCGAAAAATAAACAAGGTTAACCCCTTGCTCTTTTTTCGATTTTGGATAAGAAATAGAATTGACTGAAAACTTGTATACAGGGTGTTCTCGAAGTGCGGAACACGGATATGAACTCAGTTTCCTTGTATCTGCCCTAGTTTTTCAGTTATTTTGAATATTCTGGAGACTGCCCGGTCACTGAGATTCCCATATTAAAAATGAATTCATAACTTGTTTCTACTGTGAAAACCGACTAATGACTGTGCTGGGACGTCGACAATTGCATCAGAATCCTCCATGCCGAATTTAGAGGCTCTACGAAGATTTCGAATTTTTGTGCGAAAAATAAACAAGGTTTAACCCCTTGCTCTTTTTTCTATTTCGGATAAGAAATAGAATTAGCTGAAAACTTGTATACAGGGTGTTCTCGAAGTGCTGAACACGGATATGAACTCAGTTTCCCTCTATCTGCCCTAGTTTTTCAGTTATTTTTAATAATCTGGAGACTGCTCGGTCACTGAGATTCATACACTAGAAAAGAATTCAACACTTTTTAATACATTCTGTTAATAAAACACCTTCATGAAATCTGTGAATTCATTTATTTGATCTGTCTGACAAAGAATCATTTTAAACACTGGATACATAAATATTCAAATACAAATAATATCTCTTCATAAAAATTTCAATAATATCTCGGTAGGTATCTTTTCAATTTTCGTTATATTGCTCTTCAGAATCAGATAACAGTCCTACAAGCTATGAGTATATACAAGAATTTCAAGTTTTGATCGTAGGTCCCATTTTCAATCAAATATTATTACAACAAGTTCAGAGCAATATTGTATAATTAAAAAATACCTTCAAATGTACTCCCAATAAAATATAAAATTCAAAACTTAAACATTAGTCTTTGGTTTTTGTATCATCAGATCCTTATTCATAGAGATTCAGTTTGGCACATAAAAAATGAGTACTTAAATAAATGAGACGAGTTTATGACAGTGTGAGACCAAGTCTCGCAAGGGCCATATTTTTACGCAATCTAACGATCTCCCAGTAAACGTCATGTGCTGAAAAAAAAAACAGTTATCAATACAGGGTGTTTCACAGGTAAAGGGAAATATTTCAATGGTAGATAGGGGTCACCAAGGTGGTTCTGAAAATACCATATTTGATAGGTCTTAGAGTTTTCATAACGGAGATACAGGGCGATTTATCGATTTCGAATAATTATTCATTCGTCTATAAGTATTGAACTACTCAGTATATTTTTCTAAAATTTGGTATGGAGCTCAAACTAGGGACGTTGAATTCATTCACCTATCGGGCGAAGAGAAAATCCAGGTTCGGCTTCAGGAAAAATTCACATTTATTCGAAATATTGAAATAACACACTGTATGTAATAATTTACAGAGTTCATCAAATGAATCGTAAAGAGGAGGAAAAACTGAACTGGATTTGATGCTTTTTGTTTTCCCGCCACCAATTCTCATCGTAACAATCATAAACAGAAAGCTGAAAGTATGTCAATTTGAAGAGTATTGAAATTATGAAACCAGTGTCAATTATGATTATTCGATCTATTTTAGTCAAAAAATCGCTCGGAAGAACTTACTAAGTCTCACAGTTTTTATAACGGAGATACAGGGTGAATTATCGGTTTTGAATAATTATTCACTCGTCCATAAGTATAAAACTATCCAGTAACATTTTCTCAAATATGGTATGTAGCTTACTTGGGACGATGGATTCATTAACCTATCAGGCGGAATTATAATTCGATAATTCACCCTGTATCTCTGTTATAAAGACTATGAGACTTTTCCTGAAGCTGAACCTGATGTATTTCCATTCTGCCTGATAGGTCAATGAATCAATCCATCGTCCCAAGTAAGCTCAATACCAAATTTTGAAAATATTACTGCGATGGGTAGTTTAATACTTTTGGACGAGTGGTAATTCACCCTGTATTTCTGTTATAAAGACTGTAAGACTAAGTAAGTTCTTTCGAACGATCATTTAACAAGAATATATCGAATAATCATAATTGAAAGTGGTTTCATAATTTTAATACTCTTGAAATTGACATACTTTTAGCTTCCTGTTTATGATTGTTACGATGAGAATTGGTGGCGGAAAGACAAAAAGCATCAATTCCAGTTCAGTTTTTCCTCCTCTTCACGATTCCTTTAATGAACTTTGTCAATTATCACATACAGTGTGTTATTTTAATATTTCGAATAAATGTAAATTTTTCCTGAAGCCAAACCTGGATTTTCACTTCGCCCGATAGGTGAATGCATTCAAAGTCCCAAGTTTAAGCTCCATACCAAATTTTAGAGAAATATACTGGGTAGTTCAATACTTATAGACAAATGAATAATTATTCGAAATCGATAAATCGCCCTGTATCTCCGTTATGAAAAATCTAAGACCTATCAAATATGGTATTTTCAGAACCACCTTGGTGACCCGTATCTACCATTGAAATATTTCCCTTTACCTGTGAAACACCCTGTATAAGAGACAAACGACAAACTTCAAAACACTGAGATTCAAGAAAATCTATCTTTGTCAGTTCCCTTGGCATTCTAGAATAATTTAGTACATAAATGCACTAGTGTTGCAATTACCTTCTCTGTGAATCATGGGTTATGCGTTCGTTTTGTCTCATTTTATTTCGATTCAGTTCAAAATGAGATAATGACAAAATTCAACTCGGTACATTGATTTTTGCATGAATTATTGTTGAATCAGAAGGGCAATACAAAGGAATTTCGACAGACTTTCATCATCATCAGACGTTCATCACGATGATTACCATAAAGAGTGATTTAAAATTCAATGTAAATATTTTAAGGCCATACTGTTGGGATCAAATTAAGACTGTCTTTTACTGCACTTCATTTTCTTCTTGCTTCAAAAATTATGTGAACCCAGTTTCGGGGTAGTTGGATGGGGTCTACACTTAGGAGAGGGTGGTTTCATTCAGAAAGAGAAGACGAACTGATATACAGGGTGTCCCATTTGAAAAAATCGCATGGACTTGAATCGAAGTGGACGAAAATGAAAGAAATAGTTGAATTGAAGCATACTGTATGAATACCGATGAAGATCAGATTACTACGCGCTACATTGGTATTTTTTACGTCAATCCACCAGACAAAATTCAGATCTTCAAAGAAACAGCTCAATCACAGTTATTTCATTCAGAGCCTGCATCACTCCCTATTTTTTCGAAAAAATTATCAACTTGACAACGGCGCTTTGTGGCGGAGAAGAAATTCAGTGCTGAGTGGGCAATGAAGGGACCATATTAATGACAGAAAAATAAATGGGTTGTTCTATTTGAAAAATAAAATTTTTTTGTTATAACGGAAAAATGCAACACCCTGTGGCAGGAACTATTTTCAAAATGTGGCCTTCGTGGTACCATAAAACTTTTTTCCATATAATATTACAGCATTATCGAGATATCGAGCAAATACGCACTGTTGGGACACCCGGTATTAACAAAAAGTCTTATTTTGATCCCAACAATATGTTATTGAAATATTCACATCGAATTCCGAGTCACCCTATATATTTCATTTAAATATGCACATTCAAATTGAATTCAGGCATTTGTGTTATTGGCTAGTTAATCTATGATAATATGCGAATCGGAAACTTACCAGAGCTTTTTACTAATCCTCGTTCGATATATTTGAGATAATTTAAAAAATCACAGACAGCAATTATCTGTAACGAAAATAAAAAAATAATTAGTATATCGGATGTATATAAACAACTCTGTAAACAGTGTATTTTTTATTATCGTCGATTTAATGTTGCTTACCCTATTTCGACATATTTGTGATATGCTGTACCAGTTATCGGTTTCACCAATATTCATTCTATAAAAACATAACCTTGGGACTTCCATTAGTGCGCATTTTCTGAAAATTAGAAAAATAAATAAATGTTAGTTCGTTTGTATAAATAAGATAAATTTCAAACACATTCCCCATTACCAAATAAAGATACGAACATAGTAATGGATTCTGCGAAAATACTATGTACCTATACTTATATTTTACTCTCTTAAAAAAAAACAGACCAAAGTAGGTAACAAACATTATTTTTCATGTACCAAGTTTTCTGGCAAACCCTCAAAACTTTTGCATAATAATGATCTTCAACTAATATCGGTACTTCTACTCTCAATAGCAATGTTCGATATTGAATAAATGTGTATTGAAAACAATAAAAGTGTCTCAAGACTGATCCTTGTGCCACACCACATTCAATTTCTATACAGAAGCTACACACACAATCGTCAACACATTAAAAAGACAGCTTGCAGTTATTGATATAGAATGTAATAAGGTTGGTGAATTTCAAAAACCTCAAGTGACATGAAAACAAAGGTTTTCTTTTATACAGTGTGTCCCACTTACCATGCTCACCATGGGTATCTTTTTAACGGTGAGAGATACGAGGTCGGTTCCATGACACCAAATGTGGAGTTTGTCAAGGCCAACTATAATGTGAAAAAATATTTTGATAAAATCTATTCGTTTTTGTTTTGTACGCAAAAAACAGATTTTGATCATTTTCATGTCTCCTCCTTAACTTCTTCATTTATGAAATTATTCAAATAGGAATTTCACATTCTCATGGCAGTTTTTCAAAGTGATTTCGAAAAAAATATGAAATTTATACCAACTCTTCTAGAATTTGAGATATCAGCACCAACTTTAGTTTTTCAAATGTAGGACATAGCTCACCATAACTTAGTAACTAATAACTTTTATTTCTCTTACCGATGATATGTCGCAGTAATAGTTTCGTGTTGATAACAACGGAGTTATCGTCATTTATACAAAAACAAAAAATTATTCGGAAGCCGCCATCTTGAATTTATGAATTTTAACAAAGAAATCATGATCTCCGACCTCAAAAACCCCCACTTACCAATTTTGAATGGAATCGGACCAAATCTTGTCGGCCATCTTGGAGCAGCCATTTTTTTTTAATTTCAACAAAAAATCCATAACTCCGATTAACTTGAAATTTGGCAGGTATCCATAATCTCGGTGACAATACATTATGGAATTTTTGTTGAAATAAAAAAAAATGGCTGCTCCAAGATTTGGTCCGATTCCATTCAAAATTGGTAAGTGGGGGTTTTTGAGGTCGGAGATCATGATTTCTTTGTTAAAATTCATAAATTCAAGATGGCGGCTTCCAAATAATTTTTTGTTTTTGTATAAATGACGATAACTCCGTTGTTATCAACACAAAACTATAACTGCGACATATCATCTGTAAGAGGAAAAAAAGTTATTTGTAACTAAGTCATAGTGAGCTATAAAACCTACATTTGAAGAACTAAAGTTGGTGCTGATATCTCAAATTCTAGAAGAGTTGGTATAAATTTCATATTTTTTCGAAATCACTTTGAAAAACTGCCATGAGAATGTGAAATTCCTATTTGAATATTTTCATAAATAAAGAAGTAACGGAGGAGCCATGAAAATGGTCAAAATCTGTTTTTTGCGGATAAAACAAAAACGAATAGATTTTATCGAAATATTTTACCACATTATAGTTGGCCTTGACAAACTCCACATTTGCTGTCATTTAACCGACCTCGTATCTCTCACCGTTAAAAAGATATCCATGGTGAGCATGATAAGTGGGACACACTGTATACAATCAGATTTCATCAAAAAAAAGCCATTTTAGTATTGAAACTTGAATTGAAATGTTGCTTCTTTTTACATTGGTAGAGATTTTTATGTTGGCATCTTGGAGCGAATAAGTCTCACACATGTAGTAAAATGTGATATTCACTCACTTAGGGAACATAGCTTTCGTTTTGTCACCGACAGCTTCTACGAGGATGGTGCCCGATTCCACGGCGCTGCCGACCTTCCGTGACAAATCCTCGTTGTTGAAGCGCAAGCACAAGTGGATGTCTTCGATGTAGATTCGTTGGATGAATGGTTCGCTCTTCTCCAATACCGGTTTCTGGCGCCACGTAAGGAACTCTTTGTGAATCACCGGATCGACCTGTGTAGGTTGTAAAATAAAATGTGTAGGTTTTGTTACTAACTCCATGCGCCACTTTAGGAGCAGCACTGTTAATTGGAACGCAATAGTGAATCGTGCAGGACTATTCCCAGCCGATGCTCCGAATATTTACAACATTCAATTCGTAAATTAAATATTGTAAAGAATTGCCTTGCTCTGGCAGGGAATCGAATTCACGATCTCGCGGATTGATAAAATGGGGTGATTTAAGTGAAATTTCATGAGCCGTTTCAAAGTTACGGAGCAATAGCCGATTTGAAAATTGTGACTTCAGAGCCCCCTAGCGCCCAAACTGAGCAACTTTGACCTGAGGTAAGTTTGCTAAATAAATAGAATTAAACCGAAATTCTATACCTTGATCATTTTGTAGGCGATTATTTTCATTACTTTCAAGACATTAGTAAATAAAATCTGGTTTTTGATTAAAAAAATCCTGATTTTTTCGCAATTTTGTCTATGATAGAAATCAGATTCTAATAAAATGTGAGTAAACGAAGAATAAATAATATCTGGTAGAAGTCCATAATTTCTCAGAGTGGAATGTAGTAGTAGATACTAAATAATAAATAACTTACTAAGCAAAAATTGTTTTGGAAACATACACGGAGAACCTATACGAATTTAGAAAATCAAACTCCTTTTTTTTCGAATGGAATGACATTCAAGTCAGGTTGGGTCACATTTTTTCAATCATCTTTCTAGCCGTTCTTCCACCACTATCAATTGACTTCAAGGTATTGAAGCTTTTTGTAAAAATAATGCTCTTCAACTCAATCTTAATGATATATTACTGGCACCAAACACTGAATTTCGAAATTGCCTATCTCCCGAACCGTCCATCACTATCGATGTTGTGGCATTTTCTATCGCAACACATCGTACAATAAATCGTTGGCTCCAAATATCGATGCCAAAAAATCCATGGGATTGAGGTCTGGTGCACCAGGTGGCCACAGACCATCATCTCCACGCTCAAGATGACATCACTAATATTCCAATCTCCCCTTACCTCTAATCCCTCCTTGGCCTCCACCTCGCTGGCGATGTGCACGACCTCTTTCACAGGGGAGTCCGGAGGGGAGATCTCCCTGCCGTACTTGAGGTTGAAGTGGGAGGGTGACCGGCGGTGTCGTTTTGCGAAGATGGCAGCACCTGTCGACAAAATTTCCGGCCCATGTAGACGACAACAGTGGATAATAATAGACAGAAACATGCAACAGTTTTCTGAAGGCTGAAATTTCGATATTTTGTAGTATTTAGGGTGTATACCAATAGCCTGCCGACCAGTTTAGTTAGCCAATAGATTATTATCGACAAAAATATGAATTTTTTCAGTAAATAATAATCCCCGCTTCAAGTCACTTATGTGAAGTTGGCACCAACTTTTTTGAAAAACTGATTTTTTATCGGAGTTCTGGGTAGATACGATAGAGTTCTGGAGTTCCTGACAAAAAATTTCAATAACTCTGGTTAATTGGAGTTCCTGATATATTTCAACGATAGTTCCGGCGAAATAACAAAGTTATTCCTAATTTTAATACGGACATTCATACGCTCATGTGGCATCCACCACTTTCTAAAGTTCGGATCGGAGTTCTGGGTAGCACCAGTCGAGTTCCACATACTATCTAGGTAACTTTTTTCTCTAAAATCGAAACTTTAGTTTTCATAAGCGGAAAAGAGGGACCAATTGAAAAAAAATGTTTTGTGAACGATTTGGAAAGGAGAGACAATAGAGGAGTTCTGATCGGAGTTCTGGGTAGCACCAGTCGAGTTCTACATACTATCTTGATAACTTTTTCCTCTTAAATCAAAATTTTAGTTTTTATAAGCGGAAAAGAGGGACCGATTGAAAAAAATATGTTTTGTGAACGATTTGGAAAGGAGAAAAAATAGAGAAGTTCTGATCGGAGTTCTGGGTAGCACCAGTCGAGTTCTCTTTATTGTCTAGATAACTTTATCCTCTAAAATCGAAACTTTAGTTTTTATAAGCGGAAACGAGGGACCGATTGAAAAAAAATATAAAAGAAGAGACAATAGAGGAGTTCTGATCGGAGTTCTGGGTAGCACCAGTCGAGTAGTTCTCTCTACTACCTAGATAACTTTTTCTCTAAAATCGAAACTTCAGTTTTTATAGGCGGAAACGAGGGACCGACTGAAAAAAAAGTTTTGTGAAGGATTTGGAAAGGAGAGACAATAGAGGAGTTCTGATCGGAGTCCTGGGTAGCACCAGTCGAGTTCCCTTTACTATCTCGATAACTTTTTTCTCTGAAATCGAAACTTCAGTTTTTACATGCGGAAAAAAGGGACCAATTGAAAAAAAAAAGTTTTGTGAACGATTTGGAAAGGAGAAACAATAGTGGAGTTCTGTAGATTCTATCCAGAACTCCGATCAGAACTCCTCTATTGTCTCTCCATTCCAAATCGTCCACAAAACATTTTTTTTTTCAATTGGTTCTTCTTTTCCGCTTATAAAAACTGAAGTTTGGATTTTAAAGAAAAAAGTTATAAAGAAAGTGTGTAGAACTCGACTGGTGCTACCCAGAACTCCGATCAGAACTCCTCTGTTGTCTCTCCTTTCCAAATCGTCCACAAAACATTTTTTTTTCAAATCGTTCTTCTTTTCCGCTTATAAAAACTAAAGTTTTGATTTTAAAGAAAAAAAGTTATCGAGATAGTGTGTAGAACTCGACTGGTGTACCCAGAACTCCGATCACAACTCCTCTGTTGTCTCTCCTTTCCAAATCGTTCACAAAACATACTTTTTTTCAGTCAGTCCCTTGTTTTCGCTCATGGAAACTAAAGTTTCGATTTTAGAGAACAAAATTACCTAGATAGTATGTGGAACTCAACTGGTGCTGCCCAGAACTCCGATCCGAACTTTAGAAAGTGGTAGATGCTACATGAGCGTATGGATGTCCGTATTAAAAATAGGAATAACCATGTTATTTCGCCGGAACTATCGTTGAAATATATCAGAAACTCCAGAAATCTTTCAAATACGTCGAAATTTCTCACCAGAACTCTTTTCTGTGAAAACAGCGGCGCCGCGTGGAGTTGGCACCCACAATTTTGTTTTTCAGTTATTTTCTACAATCAACCAGAACTATTGAAATTTTTTGTCAGGAACTCCAGAACTTCTATCGTATCTACCCAGAACTCCGATAAAAATTCAGTTTTTCAAAAAATTCGGCGCCAACTTCAGATAAGTCTTCAAGTCCTGTTACGTTTGATGCAAAATTGATGTATCTATCATCAATTGATTTGTTCAGTACTAAAATGATGTCAAAATCATTTATCGAAATATCATCAAACTACTTCATGTATCTAACCAAAGTTAAGGACAGTTTTGTCATAGTTACAATTGGAAGAAATAAAAAAATATGGAGTACTAAAAGACACATGTGTAAAATTGGAATAGAAGAACTTTTCTTAGTAAACTCCTTTGGAATTCGAACGAATAAACCTATTTTCAGTGAAAAACTGTACACTGAGAGAAACTGGATATTAAAAATATCTACCAGCTTTGATTGTAATAACCATTATAAGGAAATCTCCTATTCCTGATCATTTTATCATTACAACAGTATTCTCTTCATTCTGTAATAATAAAAATCGATTTCTTAAATCATTTGTAATACCCTTGAATGGACATTTGCTACCATCATAACGCAGGTGTGTTATGACATTATGAGAATTTTATAAATTCTAGTCCATTTAGATTTTTTATTGACATAGCTCGTTTTGTGAATTATGCTCATTGGTGAATTCAGATAATGTTTGTCCCAATAATCATAGCTGTTTGGGTTTCTTTCATCAGTATTGGGGCTGACAAAGATACAGATCGCGTTCATTTCACTGCTGCTCTTGGTCATGGGTGCCCGTGTTCAATTATTGTTCAATGGTTTCGATCGTCCGAATCGATAGAGCCGTGTCTTGTAGGTGAATGTGTGTGATGTACCAAAGTTTTGTTTTAGTGCTGGCTGTGAACCGATCTGTGGAATACACCATGCATTGCATTATTTCAATGAAAAAAGTATTCTCCATACCCACTTTTCACTGCCTAAAATTGGTTTATTTCAAAAACAAAATGATCGATCAGATTCTGAATAAAAATATCTGGGTTTCTGTTAGGGAAGTTTTATTGACAATTCTCATCATAACTCCGAAGGAAGGGTAAATATAAGTATTCAACTTCTCATTTCTTGATAAATTCGTCAGTAATGCATATAGATGATATTTCTCCGAAAAAATCAATGAGTAATGTCAAAAAACTTCGACAGATAAGTACCCAAATATTTCAATTCAGAGACTAAACGTATTTTTTTTCGAAAACAATAACTTTGGATCATGAAAAGTGATAGTGTGGATAGGATATTTATTTTCATTGCAGTAATTCAAAGCACGTTTTCATAAAAATGTTGATTAGATAACCTTATTACCACTGTTTGATGAATATACTAGAGTAGAAGAATATTGGGATAACTGTTGAAAATGAGCTATATTATAATAGCATGTCAAAATGTCAGGTTTCATGCAGATATCAGATAACTATAATGAAATGAGACGTATTACTGCGTTACCTCAAGATGGTTGTGCCAGTAATAAAAACATGCTGTTTTATGTCGATAGTCTAATAACCACTGTAGAGTGGAGAGTTACTGCGACATTTTATGGGAATAATTCCTATTCGACATTCTGTGTTATCATAGAAACTAGAACAAGTAGTAGTCTAGTAGTTATTCAGCAGCGGTGTTTTTATACAAGTTTACAAATTGAATAAGGTGCCATAACTACAAGTCACCTGAAAATTCACTTCATCTATGGTAGCAAATGAACACATCTGTCCCCTATTTATTGCAGATATCGTAATAACGGTTATCAGATTTCCAATTATGATAACTCAAGTTTTCTCTCAGTGTAACTTCGGATCAGCGAAAGTCACGTGACTGCGACCGAGTAGGCCATCTTCAATCTTTTTTTAATCAAAGAATCAAAACCTATCGCCCAAAATCGAATTTCGACATAAATAATTATTGAAAGTTTTGCCCATCTGATGTCAATTGTATGAATGACACTGTATAGGTGCCGGTCTTATGGTACGCGGTGACCGTGACGCGAGATTGCCGTTTTACTCCCACCCCAGATAGTTCCTATAGAAGTTATCCCCTCAAAAATTGAAATTAATAAATGTATTTAAGATGTAGTCCAGTAGTATGGTATGTTATACGTTTCTTGATTTTTTTAGTTCGAAGCTAATGCATTATTAGTGCTTACCAGGTTCATCTTTGAAAGCACCAATTTGCGGATGCAGATGCGGGTTAGGGGAGCTGGGAGTCGATGTTAGGACCAGAGTTTTTAGAGCTGCCACCTCGGCCGTCAGAACGTCAACCTTCATCTGGCTCTCCTTGAGAGCTTTTTCGGCTGCCGCCTGTTTTTCATTCGCCTCACGCACCATATTGTGTGCTTCCTATAATCATATTGGTAATTATAGTTTACCACTCTTCCCCAGAAAACGCCGAATGACGATGACATGAGTCATTTTGACATCGATAAAAAGGGTGCATCATTTTTTATCAGCAGTAATTACATAAGTGGTGATAATTTCTTTTATTTCTGACAGTGACATTATAAGCTTATATCGTCATAGTTACGATATCTATAATGAGGGTCATAACTCCCTTGGGATGTTATAGATGCTATAATTCCCTCTAGCTGAAATTAAATAAGAAATGCATAGCAACAACCATGCAATAACGTAGCGATAAGGAATCTCCTATTCGCGGTAGTCAAGATCATCATCTGACGTTCTGATGACATTGAAACTATACGGAAGAACTTCCAATCGGGAAGGTATCTTATGAATGAAATCAGTCAGAAATAAAATTATCTATGTATCACGGGAATTACTGAGCCTCAATAACCTCAGGCAATTGCTGTCCCTCGGGCCAGAGGCCCTCGGGACGCAAACTTTGCCATCGGTAATTAAGGCCCTCATAATTCCCTTAATACATAAATAACTATTATAATTTTAACTAGAAGCACGAATCTTTGATCCTTTAGAAATCCTCGTCCACTCATGATTTTTCAATCTGGTTAAAATTAAAGAAAAATCACCACCAAGAATGTTATTCGGTGCGATTATTATTTCAACTATATCGCATACTAGATGAAGTATGGTTTTGAGAAACAGGCAGTTTTACAGCGATCAAAATGGATGGAGAAAAAAAAACTCTCGTGTATTTATAAGTGACAAACATTTGGAAACATGACAACCAGAATTATAGTGAGCAAATCTTTGATGGCGTTTTTATCAAACTTGCGTTGTCAGAAAAATATCTAATCTATGGAAATGTCGCGATTTTGAGAGTCCTCGAGTGGAGAAACAATTATGTGATTTACGTATTCAGTGAATTGTCCAACCGAATAACACTAATGCATTTTTTTGAGTCGTAATTAACTTGATATACGTAATTCGAATTTTGTTAGACAAAAAAACAAAATGGCAGCTATTCTGTTTAAAATTGGTATCTGAGGGTTTTCGGAGTCGGAGATTATGATTCTTCCGTCAAATTTTGTAAATTCGAGATGGCGGATCCAATATGGCGGACGAGTTTTGGTATTATGATCCGAATCTAGCCAAGATTTGAATCTGCGGGTTTTTCATGATCAGAGATTATGATTCTTTCGCCAAAATTTTTAAAATCAAGATGGCGGATCCAATATGGCGGAAGAGTTTAGTAATAATGATCCGATTGAAGATGGAGGATCCAATATGGTGGACAAGTTTTGCAATTATATTATCCGATTCTATTCATAGTTGGTATCTGGGGGTTAATAAGGTTGGTGATTATGATTATTCCGTCAAAATTGGGTACCTACAAAAAATTTGAGAACACTAACAAACAAAAGCTTTTGTAGTTAGCTGAACTAAAAAATAGAAAATAAATAGTAGTTTTAAAAACTAAAGAAACACCCTTCTATAGATAGCAGAATTAAAAAGAAGTAGAAGATAAAATAATAAAAGTGTATTGATAAATACACAACATGATGATAATATTTTCTATGTTGTGTATCAACAAACTTATATTATTTCATTTTCTACTTCTTTTTAGTTCTGCTATCTATAGAAGGGTGTTCATTTAGTATTTCAAACTACTATTTATTATCGGTGCAAAAATGCCTATCCCTCAAAACCATACTTCATCTAGTATGCGGTCATTCCTTTAATTTCTTGATCGTTGGGTATTGTTCACACGAAAATTCGCAAGATGAGCCGTTTGAGGAAATTTTGTCTGAAAAATTCACAAAAAATTGTCGAAAAGATTAATTATTTTCTTCGTCGACCTCGTATATCAACAGGTTCAATCAATGCTAACCAAATTTATCATCAATGATCCCTATCAATGATTAATTTGTCTATCAACGAACGAATGGGATTATAACTTACGGAATCTACATTTAAATCGGAAATATGGATTTGATTGAAGATATTACGTCAACTGATTAGTTTTCTAACGTTTTGAACCGACTTTACGTTTTTTAACACGAAATGAATGTATTTTCCGTTGTTGACAATTACGACAAATGAAAAATGTCACAAATGTCAGTGACAAGTCGAACAATCATTATAATTGCCATCATCAATACACTATAGTGGTTAAATGTGATTATTTAATTATTCGTCAAACGTATTGTTGGTATTTCTAAAGCTCCATATTTTCAAAATCCGTGAAACAATTTTCAACAACTAAGCAGCAATGTATAAGGGATTAAAATCCCTTTTTACTGATCGAGGTATCACTTCCGATGGGTCACCCTGTATGTGTATTTCAAATCTGTAATATACATGTGACAACTGTGGATGAATTCTTCAGAATGTATCATATATATATATATATATATACTTCGAAAATGCCGTCTGGATATAAAAAAAATCTCATTGGGTAATGACGATGTCATTTTCTAAATACCCATTCATTATACGGTATTAGAACATGTGGGATTCTTATTCATGCATATTAAACCTGCTTCTTCTGAGAATAATCAACATTTCATAAACTCATATATAATTTCGTGAGAAAATTACCAAAGAATTTTAATTGGGCGTGCAGAAAGTTTTATTCGCGGAACATCAAAACAATGCAATAGCAATAATTTACATAACATAATAGGTAGGTATTATTATAGTCAGTATAATGACATAGGCACTTGAGGTATATACAAACCATCAAAGTGGAAAAAACAGGAAGGTAGCTCGACATCCCGAAAAAAAAATCTTCATAACAATTTTTGGGTATTGTATTTTTAGTTTTGTCGTTCTATCGATGTTACAACACTGATGTTTTACCCTTACCAATAACCAAACCGATTTTTTGAACGCCTCGACACGTGTTTCGTTAACTATGTTTGCATCTTCAGGATGCTTTTTTCTACTGACATTCAATCTAACCAAATACAGGGTGGTTCATAATTCATAATTATGAAGCAGTTTCGACACAAAAAAATCCTGAAGTTGAAAAAATCGATCTATCACGCTCTATAATCATTCCCGCTAGACCCCAAGTGTGATAGATCGATGAAATCAGCTCTTCAGGAAGAATCTGAAAATCTGATGAACTACAGGGTGTTCTACTTAAAATAAGGAAGTTGATAATACTGATAAAGTGGCAACATTGGCGATAACATTTTCAAATCCACCACGTTTCGATATCACCCTGAACATAAATTCAAACAAAAATCTTTCAAACGGTTACCAAGATATTTACCTTTATATCCATTCTGATAAAATTTCATCAGTTTGCTACGACTATTTTACCATGTTGATACGTATTTATTCAATGTTTTTCAAGAGACAGCTGCATATATTCATACGGTAAAACTGCATTTATCATGCGATGGGTTTTTTTTTCGAAAAAATTGTTTGGTACTAATGTATTTTCGTCTGAGAAACGGGAATTTGATGATGAGAATGTGAACAAACCACTATTTATCGAGATATTTCAAGAAAAAGTTCGAAATTTCGCCTTTTTATATTGTCATTAGATGCTTTATATACTCATGATGTCCTTCAATAACACATTTTTATATAGAAAATTCAACAGGAAATGTGATTTTTATTTTCATATTTAGTGAACAAGCATACCAGATGACGGCCATTTAATCAATAGTCAATCCAAATACGAGATGTCAAATGTCAACAGATTGCTTTTGAATGACATTACACACGCCATTATTTCAAATGATATTCTTCCTTCTTCTCACTAAATATGGATAAATCACAAGAAAATCATATTTCTAGTTGACTTATATTATAGAAAAAAATGTGTCGTACATTGTGATATTATTATATAAAATTGTCAATGATGAAAAAAGGAGGGCAAATTGTTCTAAATGCGATCCAGAAGACAGGCGGAAAAGAAGGTGAAATTTGTAATTTTATACTGAAATATCTTGATAAATAATGGTTTGTTCACATTTTCATTATCAAATTCGTGTTTTTCAGACAAAAATAAGTAAGTAACATCGCATGGTAAATGCAGATTTACCATTCATACTCACAAAATCATGATCTGCTGTATATTTCTCGAGTTCCAATTGAAGTTCCTGCAAACTGAAACTCAGCCCTTTTTGGAGCCTTCTCGTTGGATGTGACATTTCCGAATAATAATGTAGGTGATGACTGACACTAATTATTTTAATTCCCTTTACGCGATTCCACTACTGACAAAAATAATGAACTGAAAGTATTTGTGTGCTTATTAACTAAAGGAATATGATAAAAAACACGACGGAAATAAAACCAACTAGTGGTTGATGGTTGACGAAGATTTTGCTAGAAAAACTAATGAGATAGGTAAACTGATACAGAGGCGGACCCAGGGGGCAATGATTGATGAACAATAATTTATCTGAAATTAGGATCTCAGTCCGCAATTGCTCTGTTTGCGACATACACAGGGTGATGAAGATAAAGAATAAAAATTGACAAGTACACTCCAAGAAAGTATTTTGAAAAATAAATTTTCGCACTGCCAATTCACATTCACGAAGATAACAGCAAACCTTATATTTATTCAAAATAATTTGAATATTCCGGTGCTGCATCGAACACTAAGAATCGAAATATCTCGAAATCGTCTCACTTTAGCGGATTTTCACAGAAGTATCTTTTCTGCTTGAAAATGTTCAGATCATGATTTCCTCAACCGATGAAGTGATAAATTACACTGAGAAAGAAGTTATGGCCATTCTAAACCATAAATAAGTCCATTGGTAAGCGCCCTCTAATGGCCACAGTGAAAAAGGGTCCGAATTCGTGTTTAGCATCCTAAAAAAACTCTAGATATCAATTTTCCAACTAATACGTGTAAAAATGTTTATAAATAATTCTGAGACATTCGATTTTTATTCTTCAACCTTACTACCCTGTATCTCGGGAACAATGCAATTTCGAACTGTAGTAAATTG